GAAACTAACTCTTGGTAGAATCTATTGAACCTTTAGATGACGATGTCAATTTTTTTGACATGCGAGGAGGTTGACTCTCCATACTGTGAAGTTTTACCAGATTTGGTACAAGGAAAGAAGTAATGTCCTTATTCAATAAATGGGTCCCAATAACAGAAGTACCGATTTTTCTATCAATAGGAAAAAACGAAAACTGCGTGAGTAAAAATATACAGGGTGTCCGTAAAGTATGTATACACTATTTGATCGTTAATATCTTTCTTCCCAACAAGTCTTTGCTTTGCTTCAGGTACCGTTTTGTAGAGCTGGCTTCCACTTAGATTTACAGCATGGAGCGAATCATCTATCGCTCTTCATTATTGTAGGATTACGGTATAAACTTCGACAAATTTTAGGCCATTGGAGGCTATATTCTGCCTCGGAACAAGACCAAACAAGCCAAAAACTCTTATACTACGGTAACGAGAGCCGCTGATTTCGATTTTGAAACTCCCATTTTACTGTGATGCTTCCTTCCTAAGTTATCCTCAGTAAATCGTAGTAACTCAATTCCCAGCATTTGTCAGAAATGTAATCACACCGTCAAAAGAGCCGAAAACACTTGTAAAAAGTTGTTAGGTGGAATCAGCATGCGCGAAATTCCTAGTACATGATTTTTCAGATTTTTTGAAGAAAAATTTTGTTAGGTGGTATAATTCACATTGGTTCCATATGCTGGAAGTTCGCACCGTAATCCTACAGTAATGAAAAGCGATACATGATTTACTCAATAATGTAAATCTAAGTTCAAGCCAGCTCCACAAAATGGTACCTGAAGCAAGGCAAAAGACTCGTTGGAAAGAAGAACGATATTAACGATCAAACAGTGTATACATTAAAGGACATCCTGTAGAAATGCTTGGTCATGGTAGAATAATATTGGCGTTTTCGTGCAGATATTTGGAAAACTCTTACAAAAATTATGTAAGAAGTATGCACACTGTATGCACACTGCACACACTATTATTGGAAATGTGAAGGAGTGGACAGAAACAGCGATGTTTAAGTAGCAGTACTCTCAAACAGAGTCTGCGTGTGCTTATGGTTTCGAACTTAACACTGAATGTTGTGGTTACGTTAACTAAGAAATACTTTTGCAATTATGTCACAGTTTGTAGAAATGTTACAGATAAAATGTTTATAAACCAATGATACCAGGGCTCGGCACGAGCTGGCACCAGGGAATTTTGAAAACGAAGTCCCCTTTGAAATTTGCCAATTTTTACGAAGTCCCCTTTGATCCTCAACGATATCCCCTCTAAAATCCTAAAAAAATCCCCAAAATCCCCCAAAAAACGAAACGTCGACTAAAAAAAAAAAAAAAAAAAAAAAAAAAAAAAAAAAAAGGTCGTCGCCACCAATTTTGCGTATGTCTTCGCCCACAAAAACGAAACCCCCTTTGCTTTTTGCCCCAAAAACGATATCCAGCTTGCCCCGTGCCAGCTGGTGCCAGGCCCTGAATGATACCTTCAAAAGAGCGATTTAAGGAATCAAATGGTCTAGTCTGAGCAAAATTTTCTTCTTGATGACATTCCAAAATACATGGTTTACCACATAGCAACCAGTATTTTTTCGACAAATTTTTTAAGAAATCGTCCATTGGAAGATATGGTAGACCCGAAAAAATGTGAGGATGGTACACACACATCCAATTTTGATATGGATCATTTGCATAAGAATGCTCAAATTTAAGCTTCGGACTTTATAAGTTCCGTGGATAAATGTCAGGAAAATCTCATATTGTCGATGATAGAAATTCAACACTTGTATGTTCCATTTGCGAACACAGCAGAGCACGTAAACAAAATTGAAAAGTGGTTTCCCTAGAAGGCCATGTAAGGACTTGGTCTCTTTTATAACTGATATAGTATAGAAAATATTGATAGTTGATAAGTGATAAAAGAGATTTGAGATTGCCCACGAAAGGTTTATAGTATTACAGTTATACAACTTTTTATATTATATATAGTTGCATGTCAGAGCGGTATAGCTTTTCAAGCAAACTAGTGTCCTAGCTTCCGTGCCAAGTCCCTAAAACAGTCTAAGAAACTTCAAATATTTCAAAAAGAGCTAATGATACGGCGTAAGTATTGAGCAGGAGATTTTACTGCAATCAGCTTTGCACAAAAGTACACTGACGGAGCATTAATGTGAGAGAGAGGAGAGATATCTTTAAGGTTGCGACTTGTTTTTTTAGATAAAAAGTACAACAGTAATGCAATGGACCGTAAACCACAGGACGCAGCGCACGTCCTTGTAAGGCAGGGAGGGGGAAAGAGCGAATTTTGTGAAATTTACAGATTACCAAGGCCATCGCTAACCGCGAAGACACTAGGATGGGTCCGAAGACGGCAGTGAGCGCGCGCGATGCGAGCGGCGGTCACTGCGAGGGTGGGGGCCGGTTAGCGGTGGTGACTAGCCGCACATCCGCGGCTAGTCACCGCCGCTCATCCGGTGTTAACTTACAGCGTATCAAATAACCCCTCGATAGACGAGTTCCCTTGAATAGGCGTGCGGTGAGTGCCGCTGCTGGCTGCATGCAAACAATGGGGCAGAATGATCTCTTGACAATCCGATGACGGCTGCCTGCAAAAAACAGCGCTGCATTCGTTTTTCACCCAACAAAGCACTCTGACAATCGGTTTACTCTATGCAATCAACGGCCACTCCAACTTGACCGCTCGCTTGACATATCGCAAGTTTTGGAAAAAACTGGAATTGCAAGTGATAGACGGAATTGTGACTAAGAATATCAGTTCCTCGCCCTTATGTCGACAACAATGTCAAGCGCTAATGAAGGAGTTCGATCCGCATGTTTACACATCGCTCCCAGTGCAATGCCAAGCACCTTATGGTTCAAAAGACCTGATGATTAATATAGTGCACTGCTGGCAACACTCCGCACTAAATCTTATATATAAAGCTGAATGTCTGTTTGTCTGTATGTCTGTCTGTATGTCTGTCTGTCTGTCTGTACGTATGTTCCGAATAGAAAATTCCATTTCTGAACCGATCGGGACCAAACTTGGCACACATACACTTCGGGCCCCGGCGGGTGTCATAGGCTACTTTTCGTATCGATCGATATCGATTTTATCGATTTTTTGCAAAATTTGAGCTACGGGGCTGGGATTTGGCACAGGGGGGTAATCGAGCATGCTGATCACCCCCGTGGGGATGATTAGCATGCTCGATTACACCCCTCTGCCAAATTCCAGCCCCCTAGCTCAAATTTTGCAAAAAATCGATAAAATCGATAAAAGTAATGCACGGTTTCGAAAACTAATATTGTATTCGTAATCAGCATGCTCGATTACACCCCTCTGCCAACTCCCGCCCCGTAGCTCAAATTTTGCAAAAAATCGATAAAAACATCGATCGATAACGAAAAGTGGACTGTGACACCCGCCGGGGCCCGAAGGGTATGTGTGCCAAGTTTGGTCCGGATCGGTTAAGAAATGGAATTTTCTATTCGGAACATACGGCGGAGCCGGGTAAGCCAGCTAGTTGTTTATAAAGCGCGGTTTTACCAGTTTGGCTTCATATCGCAATTTTTACGCGCAAATGCTGTCGCGTAGTCTCAACGTCTTGCCACTTATTGTTATAGCATATATTTCTCCTGCTTAATAGTCATATAGATGTTTGATATCAATGCTCCGTAGAGCAAGGGAACAAATCTGTATATAGGTGCAGCTTACACCAACTACGGTCCTTTCGCACATGCTACTGTATACCATGTAGCGATCAGCAGTTCACAAAGGGCGACACCTGATTAGCGGAATTTGTTTCCTCCCTTTTGAAATAAGCAACCACAACAAATCTTTTGGCTAAAAAGCACAGAAGGAAATCCCACTAATGGGCGTTATCTACGCGGACTACTGGTCCTTTTGCACATGCTAATGCATAACGTTGAGGATAGTAGTCCGCGAGCGCCGCATTCAACGGAGGACTCTATTTCTCCAGCCGTCATATGTAGGCCAAAAATACAACATAACTTGCTGAATCAAATGACAAATATAATAGAATTTCAAACCATACTGATTTACCGGGCTGCAAAATTATGCAGAAGCTTTGGCGAAATTGAAGTTTCAAGCAACCTTTATCCACAGAATTCCGCATTAATGGTCCACTGCAGAAGTAACACTTCACTCCAACACTTCAAAAGGTTCGGGCTTAGAACTTTACTCAGAACAAGAAGACTATATAAACTGAACTATAATACATGCGCATTGCGATCATCCAGTCTAAATGACCACATCATGCTTGAGACGACGAATAATGGCTAACTTATCTAAGCAACTGCGCAGAAAACTAGTAAGCATCTCCGTCTACATTGTATGATGTGGAAGAACTTGCGATGAAGGGAAAAGAGGACAGAGTTGAAGTTTGACATCGTAAAAATCTGGACCAAGGCTAAGAAAGTTTCGCACAGCAAATATATGTGCATATTTTTAACTCATCATTACCATGCAAAGTTATTAGTGGCGCATGATTTTTGCAGCACACTTTTTCTTTCAGCTCCAAAATCCAGCTTCTTCCAGAAAAAATTCTAGATTTGCCTCAAATCTAGTGCGTGACAGCATCCATCCAACGGCATACTATGCCGCAAGTGCACACAAAACCAGAAGTTCAAGACATTTTGTAAACATACTTAAATTCCCACTTTTTCTTTACTCTTTCTCCACCTCTCCTTGTGATGATTCTCCTACAATTTTTCCGCCTTGTATTACTCCACCTCTCCTATAGCGGCGATATGATGTCACTAGCCTTTCAAAAACGAAGGGTAGACATACCAATTAAAAAATCAAAAAATCATAGAAAATTATTCCGAGTGCATGGTGTAGCATTTTGGTACGGGAGGAGAAATAGCTTTCAAAAATTTTTGAAGAGCTATTCTCAATTAAAATGCCAGTGAAACATGAAGACGTAGATGAAATAATCCTACCAATTTGATATATGAGATGTTTCGCGCAACTGTTGTATTCAACTGCTACCGACAAAATTCTTTCAGAAGCACTCGATATATTTGTAAAAAGTGCGTGTGTACGACTTGCGGCAACCTACTCAGCTATTTGAACAGGAGGCAAACACTTTGCAAAAGCAAACGATGAAAAAACGGAATTTTTTGCTTCTATTTTCTGCTTTGTTGAGGTATGGTGGGTCAACGGAGGGAGATGAAAGTGTTTGCAATGAATCGGAGCCCCAGCAGCACTACACTGACATAAGCCAAATCGCAAACGAACGTCTTCTCGGATGTCCACAATGTGCGAAATATCGAGGATCGAGAAAATCGAGAATCGGTGCGGAAGGCGATTGACAGCACAATCAGGTTGTTCGTTCTGAGACTAGCGAAAGGAACATGCTATGCTATGTATAGCATGCCCAGGCTCGCCAGCTTATGATTGCAGCATCTTCGCAACCGCTCAAAAACCATACAGACCTACCTATTCAACACACTAGATTGAGGCACGATCATTGCGCTTTCGCTTCAACGATTTCTGAAAATGCTGTCCCTAACAACTTTAAAAACAATCCAAGTTTCTGAAGTACATCACACCTTTCTTTCAACGTTCTTTCCGCTCCGTAGCCTTCTTTTGCACCTCCAAGCATAAGTGACTGCAAAGGAATCTCTTCTTGTAGACACTCTCCATCTTTCACTGTCAATGTGAGCTGATGAATAGATGACATCAACAGACCCTTTTTATAGTTACAACACGAATACATTTTTCTCATATCGGCCAAGGAACTTCCATGCATTTCATTGTCATGCCTATCCTGTCGGTTTCTAAGTTGGTCTGTTACAAAATTACAGCGAGGAATCTACATAAGTTTACCTACACTTTTCATGCTGGTTGGTGCGAACCTGCGAAGCAGAGTTGAAGTTCTATCATATAATATCCAAAAAATAAAAACCTGCATTGTTCCTAACTCAGATGAAGTGACAAAGAGGGAACTAAACTATAAGATCGAAGATAGACCGAAATTTGTGAATTCTAGATTATTTTTTTGCACTGCACTCAAACTGTAGTGACTCAAATGGGCCATGATTGCTGCCACAGCACTTCATGCGCTCATACCTTCAACAAACTTACAATTCTCATAACTCCTTTCAAGCGCCGAAAAGACTTCAGCACTTCTTTTTGCTTCGGACAAACCCTTAAATTTTTGCTTCAAAAAATTCCCATAACTCCCCTCCCAAAAAGCTTTGCAGATAAAGAGATCAGATTTGGATATATGATAGCATGCATTTTATTGAGAGTCTCCACTTCGACCAAGTATCATTTCCTCGTTGATGTCAGTTTGCTATAAGTTTTCCTACATTCAGTTCTAGCCCAAAATACGTTTTGGCCTAAAAAGGCGTATTGCCAAAATGGGAGCGTATACCATTTGAAAGCTTATTGAGCTCTTTTCAATGGTTTGGCCGGCTGGATCAAAAAAAGCGTGATCGCTCTTTATGAGGAAATAATCTTGAAATAGGAATGCAAACTATGCGCGTATGTGTATTTGAACATATCTGGAAGTTTTGAGGTACTTAGGTTTAATCGAGGCAAAAACATTCGGATAACCAAATAACCAAATATCAAGTCGGTCCGAAAATCCGTGACATCCTTTGAACTAGTTCAAAAACATGGGGAAGACATGAGCAAACGTTTTCAGCAATATTTGATGCTGCTTTTTTCCTCTTTTCATGATTTTTCTGAGCTGTTTGCACTTGGGCTTTCAGAAATGATTGTCGAGTTTTCGAACCTATGCATTCTAAAGTTCTCTTGAACTTTCGGAAGAAATATTTGTTAGCAGCTGGACAGAGTGAACAAAGTGCAATACAGTAAACTTTATCAGCATCCGCAGCTGCGCTTTCAGTGTTTCACAAGACGTTTTTCCTGGAAGACTTCACTTTTGCTAGCTTATGCATAAAATACTTACAAACATATACTCGGAACGGGAAAGTGGTCACTCAGAACCAATGTTACAAAGCAAATGAGCGTCTACCTCTGCAAGAGATCATCTCAAATTTTCTGGAAATATGGGGCGCCGTCATGGCAAGAATTATGAGGATTTTATCACGGAAGAGTCCATCGGAAAGAAAAAACATCTGTTGAAAAGAGGAGAACAAGCTTCATGGAATGAACCCGAAACGCTCGCCAGTTTATTCCTATGACTTTAATTTGAATATGTTTGGTACCATAAAAAAACCCACCTATCATTGGAGAACTTCTAAAAGCCAAAATGAAAACTCCAAAAAATGACTGAAAGTCAAAATCTTTCGACATGTCGTGACTCCAGAACAACCTTTTTTAGCTGCAGAATAGTCTGGATCGGGAGTTATGGGAATTTTAATCACCAAGTTCTACACTGTTAGAGGCACCCTGTGATCATGGAAATCGTTCGAATGCGTTAAGCACTAGAGCATAAAGGTGCAGAAATAATGAGCGTTTTTCAAAACAACTTTTCTCCATCAAACTTTCTTCCTTGTGAAGAGTTAGTGAACTGTTGAGAAGCTCTTTTCAAGGTTTATTCGATAATAACTGAAAAAGGCTTTTAGCTTCATTTATTGGATACATAACTTCCAACGACCGCACTCGAAACCAGAATTTCATTGCAATTACTTTTGTGACCAGAACTTAAGCACGAATGATGATAATGTTCTGGAAAGTCAACTACTGTAAGTGATTGATATCGTCTACATTATGCACACTTTATTACATTTTTGGAAATGATCTGGGCTGAGATATTGGCGCTTCATCACGGATAGCCATTTTGGTCATTCTGTAGCCTATAAATTTCCTCTGGAGAAGGCAATCGCCGAAGTTTGCTCACTTTAGGCCCCCTGCTGATAGTTTTTGCAAAAACGTTTAGCTGTTTAGCGCGCAGAAAATAAAAAAAAATTTATAATTTGGAACACTATGAAACCTACGAAAAAATGTTGGAAAAACTGACAATTTTGGATGTTGATTTTCTTCCTTTTCGCAGATTTCTTTGTCCAAGTCCAAGGCCTTTTCCATCATCTTATGTACTACTGACTTGCGGCTACAAGATAAGCTACTTGTCTTTTACAGTAAGAAACTTTAAAGGAAGTCACATTTTTTTTTGGAAATGAGGCTCCAAAAAAACTATTATTGTTAATCAACTCATATTTTTCTGGTTTGTGATATGAATATGGGTGGACGAGCGCTGTATTGCAAAAGATTTGGCGCCTTTGATTGTCTTTATCGCATCGAAGAAGCAGATTTGTCAGAAACTTATAGCACTTCAAAGTGAGATCTCGCAAAACACTCATTACTTTCGCATCAACCTAATACAATAGGCATCTAAACTGTTTCATCTAGATCAAGCTCAAAAACATGAGCTTTGATAGTTGTGACTGTTCTCAGCATCGTAAATTTTCCGCAGCAGATTTAATAACTCCCAACCAAGCGTTCCGCAAAGGTTGTTTTGGAATCAGCGTTTCAAATTGCTTCGGATGGTACCTATGTCATGTCAAATTGCCGCTGCAACTTTTGGCACTTCCATTGTAAGTTTTTGTAAACCAAAAAGAAAACAAATAATATACAGGCCATTTATAATCCAGTTGCCCGCGCCTAGCTTCGAACACCAAGAGGTGTAGGCTGTTCACAAACGAGTGTGAGCGCATCTCCTTCAGACGTATTTTTATGAACGAAGTAACTTTTGGCCAAAACATAATGCGCAATGCCGAAACAACTGAATGTTGGTCGGAAAATCCACGGGCGGATGAGACCGCTTTTAGTGTGTCGCGGCAACCATTGGCCTATACTGGTCAAGACATGGCGCGGGAAATTATGTTTCAAAAAGCTTCGTTGATATTATCCTTTTACTTTAAGTACTTTCACTGTAGTAAAGGCAACGGTTAGACAGAGCACATGGTACAAACAAGAGAGCATTCGCCTGTAGACGTAACAAACCAAATCAGCCACCAAGCGCGATTTGCGCTGAAAAAAGTGCACACTAAGTTGATAGTCGAAAAGATTGCATGGAACAGGTGAGTGCATGCGCTGACTCCGGCTTCGATGCTGATCTGATGAGAACCGTCATAGCAGCTCGTCTCAATGCTTCGGCTAATGCGCAAGCACGCGTGATAATTGCCGCTTTTCGATACAAAGCGTTGGACCGGAAATCGCTCGCAACTCGGCCCAACCAGCGCGATGCAGCAACCCGGCTCAAATCCAATTTCCGGTCAGTGACATATGGCTGCTCAGCAACGCACTTGCACCTCACTGATAGAGTGTATAATTCATGAGCACTTCGAACTTTGCAAGACCACTTTTCGAGGCCCGCATGCACACATCCCTGCGGTCCATTATGAGCAGGTATTAGGGTGTGAGAACCTTCAGGGGCGGTATGTATCAATCGCCCGTCCAGGCAAGTTACCAGGACAGGTAATTTCCGCTTCATAGCTCGGTGCTCTGGGGATCTTTTTACTTGTTTGTTCATTTTTTGGAGACTCTACTACCCTAATATTGTAGCACAATGAGAAGCAGCACTTTGCTGTATAAGCTGAGATAATTCGTTATTTATATGTTCCCGAACGAGATCTCCCACCTATCTCCCACAATGTGAAAGAAATAAAGTGAAAAATCAATGACAAAATCTTCGATGAACCTGTGCTCGCGAGTTGGGCTTTATCGAAAAACTCAAAACTTGCGCATTTCATCTGTGCTACTAAAAACATGCGTAGCGCAGTGGTAATAGATCGACAGCAAAACTCTGTGACGTTTTCCATTGAGTTTTTGCGGATATAAATCACTAGTACTATTCCACATTAGTTGACCCAAAAAATGAAAATCGTGAATTTCGCTAAAACTTCGTCTAGGGGGGTTGATTGGTATGCTGAACACGAAAATGATGTTTATTTCGTGCGACAGCGCCATCCGCTGGAGTTACGGTAGGGCTAAGGTAAAGGCTCAAAATCACGGATTTGCCCGAAACTTGGTCCAGAGGGTTTATTCGGCCCGCTTGCCAAATATCACATTGGTTATGAACCATCGCGTCATTTTTTTCGGGTTAGGGTAGCTACACGGTAACGGGTGCAAAACATTGTTCCGCCTAAAACGGGTGTACGGCGATTCGGACGACCTGAGGCTTTGCACACACGACCATCGCCGCGCGCTACACACCCTGCTGCAGCTTTTGCCTAAGCAAAGCACAGAAAAAAGATACTTGCCGATTTGTGATTTTAACGCCTACCGTAAACCCACCCCATACAAGGAGACGTTTTCGTGCGGAGATAGTGTGATATTTATATTCAGCATGTCGAATAACCCCTCCGTGCGAAGTTACAGCGGATTTTGAGATTTTGGCCCCCTTCCGTGTACCCACCGTAACCCGAGAAAATGACGCTACGGTACAAAACCAATGTGATATTCAGCATCAGGGGGCCGAATAACCCCTCTGGGCCAAGTTTCGGCCAAATCCGTGATTTTGACCCCCTACCATAATCCTACCGTAACTCCACCGGATGGCGCTGTCGCACGAAATAAACATCATAATCGTGTTCAGCATGCCAAATAACCCCTATAGACGAAGTTTTAGCGAAATGTACGATTTTCACTTTTTGGGTCAACTAAGGTGGAATAGCGCCAAATAATTTTGAAAGTGAGCGTGATCAGTGGGGGATCCCTTTCGGGACCATACAAATTACGAATTATCTCACTTTATACAGCAAAGTGCGCTATTCATTGTGCTACAATATTAGGGTAGTAGAGCCCCCAAAATATGAGCGACAAGCAAGGACACAGATCCCCAGAGTACCGAGCTATGAAGCGGAAACTACTGTCCGGGCAACTTACCCGGACGGGCGATTGTTACATACCGCCCCAAAACTCAGATAGAGAAAGAAGAAGAAGGATATCTAGGGCAGCGAAATGTGACGCGTCCCCTATCACATCCTCTCCGCTTCCCGAGGGAATGTACAAGCCGACAGTATCTGGAGGAAAAGTATGTAAGAATTACAGTACCTGAAAGAAAAGTATGTAAGAATTTTCGTGCGCCTACAAATTGAAAAGCGCACTATATTGCCGACAGAAGGATTAGCAGTCTCCAATACCCTTTGTGAGGATGCGCAGAGCAGATTGGATTTTATGTAGATGAAGCTACCAAACCAGTGTGAACCTTACAATGATTTGCGAGGGTCAAAACCACTTTGAAATTCTACTGCTCCAAGTGGGATTCTGGGGAGGGGCTTTTTGCGTCATGACATGTCCGCAGGTGCGCTAAATCACCATTTTGAGCAATTGACCAGCAACTATATACACATATCATCGGCTACTAGATTGTGGCGAGGGTGGTCGCGATGGCCAAGCAATAATCAGTTGATCAGCTAAGTTTTAACACTGGGTTGTGCCACATCCCATTAACTTACCTTCAAAGCATTCAAATCTCTTTTTCCTATAGTTGCCACTGCATTATAGTTACCACTGGACAACCGCAACGTTGGTACGTCACCTCACTACCCCTCGCGGCAATTTGGGACCGATGGTACATCATTTTCTTTGTTGCCTAAAATACTCCATCCCTTAGAAAATGCCAGATTTGAAAATTGTAATTTATCAGCGTTTCCCTCACAAGAAAAATTCTCCCTTTCCTTTAGACTTACAGCGTTTCGATGGAAAGTTATACGTTAACTAGATGCCTTTTGCAGATAGCCTGTATTTAGGCTCCATAGCTTGGTAACTATCAATAAGTAGCATGTCATATACCTTTTTTCAAACCAGAGGTGAAAAATTGATCAAGCCTAGAAAAAAAACAAAATATATGACAGAAGAAGTGAATGAGCTTTAAAGAATCTTGTTGCGCTGACTTCTAATCATCAACCCGATTTTCATGTTCCTTCATAATCGACGCACCCGATGTGCGCCTCTATACAGTCAATTTTTACAACATAAGACACTAACAAACACTGCACTAAAAGCAGTGATAAGTGAGAGAGAGGTACAAATACAGAACAAGGAAAGCTTACGCGTGAGCGTTAGCTCTCCTCTAGGTCAACAATAAGGAGGCAATTGACTAGAAACTACATCACTACAACAATTACACAGAAAAAACGAAGGATTGAATGTCAATTCGGCGATGAAAGTGACTGGAAAGCACCATACTGGAGTATTGCAAATAATAACATCACTACTATTCTCAGAAATTACATAAGAAAACTATGATCATGACCCCTGCATACAGATAAAAATATAATCATGACTTATCTTTACTAGCTTTATGACATCTTTTACAACCTTTTTCACCCGATGTCTTCTTTCTGAACTTCGCTTGGCACTTCATATGAGACAATGACCCACACGTGCTGCATTTGTGCACCTTCTCCAACTGGAAAGGAAAAAGTGGCTCCTCGACATTTCCACAGAAAACACATGTCGTAGCATACTGCTTGCAATGCTAAAAAAAACCGGTTTATACATTATCTATCAGTTCGTACGTATGCTTATAGCGGTGGCGCTGAGAAGTTTATTTCTGGATGAAGAGAGTAACGTTCGTCTATCCTTACGCCACTGGTTTATATGTTTCGAAGAGATTCGTTTCTCGAAACAACTCGGACCGAACCTTGCAAGCAAAAAACTACACTTTGGGGCAGAGCGCGTACCATAGATTATCTTTCGTTTTCGATCGATGTCAACTGACTGATTTTCAGCTAACTTTGAGCTGGGTGACTGACACTGGCATAGAGGGGAGAGGGTGACATTCATAACCCGACTGCCTTTGTCAGTTTTCTCCACACTTTGGATAGGGGAGCTGAGAGTTTTCATGGGGGGGGGGGGAAAGGGAGCGACTGTGCCGATTACGAGCATATAAACTTTGGAAAACTTTCGATTGCTTTTAATACCCATGGATTTTTGCATTGGAGTCGGTAGAGCTGGGAGCTGATGCATGCAGTAATTACGATTACTATTTGTCGAGATCTGAGAGTACAAGAGTTACAAGAACAAGCTGATTAGAGAGCGTATGGCGGTAGGGCACTGACTTATGGATATGGGACAGGAGCAAAAAATTCCTAGCAGTGAGACAAAATGAAGATTTTCATGGTATACTAACAGGAAACAATTAGAGGGTATGTCAACTATTCCTAATACAATTAAAACATGCGGGAAGCATCGATTCATGTTAGTTAGTACTTTATCCATTCAAAATTACTCTCAAACCAATACAAAGCCCAAGAGTAGGCGATACTACAACAAACTCAGGAAAAATCAGCACTGGCCTTGGTGATGAAATTTTGAATGAACTAAAACAGCAATACTGATTAAAAGCTATGATTTTTTCAGTGCACTGTACAGTCGAGTAGATTTCCTGCTTAATATAGTGTCCCTGCAGACGCAACAACGTTGGGGCGTCAATAATTGCCTGACGAGTTCCCGAGCTAGTGTTTTCCAGTGTTTTCTTCGCTTATTCTATGCTTTCTAGGTGATTCGTTGCTGATAAAGAAGAAAAGGGTAAGTTAGAGAGTAGTTTCTGTTTTCTGAAAAGTTCTATCATCGCATATTCACAGATATCCATGGAAGCAGTTCGCGTCAGCTTCTTGTCTATTTTTTGTCACTTCGCATCTCTTTCTTCTTGTGAAGTACTTCTTTGAACGCTAGTGGATTTTTAAGATTGACTTATTGTCTTCATCACATGAAGTACTTGATTAAAATGCTATTTCTTATGGGTGAAAGCCGAAGTTGCTGCAAGACAAGCCAACTAGCATTCAAAGAAACGCCTCACAAGAAGGAGGAGGTTTGAAAGAGAAGAAGTTACAGAAGAAAAGGAAATGACAAAAAAAATAGACAAGGAGCTGACGCGAAATGCTTTCACGTGGATATCTGTGAATATGCGATGATAGAATTCTCAGAAAACAGAAACTATTCTCTAACTTACCCTTTTCTTCTTTATTAGCAACGAATCACTAAAAAGCATGAAATAAGCAAAGAAAACATTGGAAAACACTAGCTCGGGAACTCGCAAGGCAATTATTGATGCCCTGGCGTTGTCGCGTCTGCAGGGACACTATATTAAGCAGGAAATGTACTCGACTGTATGTATGAAAAATTACTTACGGTAATTTGCATATGCAAAATTATAATAAAAAATGTGATATTAGAAATTACCTATGCGCTTGTATATAGATGCTTCATATAGTGACCGCTGAAAATTCCTCCAAAATTTTCATCGAAAAAAATCTTACTTCGCAAGCTTCTATGTGACACTTCGCATAGTAAGCTATTGGTTCCAACAAAGAGCTCATGTCCTTGTTATGTACACGCGTAAGATCGGATAAAGAGAACAGATCCACAGAGTGCAGCAAATGTTGCTCCAGCGATGTGAACAGCGTTTTTAGACTGGAAAACTCACAATCTGAGATCATGAGAATGATATCAAAGCAATGGAACCACTCACTTCCCGCATTTCGTTACGGTTTCCTCGGCATCAGAGCAATCCTTGATATAGTCCCACATGTAAGACAATTTTTCTCGCAAGACAATGACATGCTTGAGAACCCGTATTTTTTCAACCTGAAAATCAATTAGACGTTTGCATGCCTTCTCTTCACGATCTGGGAAAGAGTGAAACTGATGAAGCTTACGATATGTGGTGCTACTGAGCATACATTGATAGCAGGCACATCGTGAATTTCGTTCAGGAAGTGGAAGGCGATGTCCGACACAGGAAACTCGCTAAACTCTTTCAAGATGAGGTAATAGACGAAATACACTATTAATGATATTACAGAAACATTAATCGTAGCTTCATTCGTGTTGAGATGCACTTTAGAAACCGTATACAGATTAGTCGATGTTAAACATACTAGGATGCTTGCTGGAGGGAGGAAAGGTTGCAGAGCACTTAAACTCACTTGAAATTCCATGTATGCAGTATTCTGGCCGGAATGATATATTTTGATCCCTGATGACAACACTGACAAAATACTTTGCCATAATAATCACAGTACCTGAAATTTGCAAATGAGAGCTTGTCTGAAGCTACTACACGTCAATCACATGACTGTCCCGAATAAAAATTAGCTCATCTTCATATTCTACGTAATGTAGAAAGCTGAGAAGATATGGCTTTGACTCTATGGCATGTTTTCGGTTTATTTCTGATTGCACAATTCATTTATTTATAGATCCAACACAATCTAGGTGCGTCCCATTAACAAAAGCGAGGAAACTGTTAAAAACCAAGTTCGTTGCGCCAATGCTTGTTACTACAACATCAAAGATTGTCTTTGCCGTGACTTTGAAGGCTCGGCAGATGATGATTAAGCAGTTCAATCAGCCAAATTCGAAGCGATATTCAGATGTAAACCGAAGCAACTATGTGGCTAGGAGAAGTACGAAATGGATCTAAGCAAAGCCACCTAGCTGCTTCACTACCAACATTCTCCTATCCCAGACGGAAAGCGAAATCATGTTGAACCGGAGAAGGAAAACTAACGAAAGAATCAAAGTGCATAAATAACAACACAACAAACCCACTTCACCCGTTTCATATACTCCTTTTCTATACGGATTCCGCATCCAGCACATCGATTATTTTGCGCTTCAAGTATCGTCTTGATGCTGCAAAACATCCGGATACTGTAAAACGAAACAGAATGCATCATTATGCATCAAAATAAAAACCACAACAGTAAATGTATGTTTCGACCTTTCCGACTTCGACAGCGAAAAAATCCATTCTTCATGAACTGGAGAGAATCTTTCAGCTACTGGTTCACTTCCATGATCATCGCTCTTCGACTTATCGTCATGTGACGTGCTTGGAAGAGACATCATCTCAAGATAAGTTAAGTATAGAAGAACAAATAACTAATCTTTCCGCTTACGGTTTCAGCGCGTTGAATGAGCTTTTCTACCCACTTGGCCACCCTAGGATCCCGAATTTGCTCCGTTTCGACAAAGCTGAATACTACGATGTTTTTCGCACAGTACGATAATTGAAGAAAATATGTTCAAGCAGCAAAGTGTAGTAAGAAAGAATTTGAACACAAATCACCGCACCTTTCCAACGCGACCACCGACAAATCCGTCCACGACGAACTTGATTCTTTCGATGATCCATTAGCATGTCTAGGATAACGAGGTCTGAACGAAGTTATAGAGCTAGATGAACAAAAAAGCATAGAGAGTACCTCCTTCCGCGGAAGAAGGATGAAACTTGACTAGATGGGCCGGGATCCGCAGAAACTGCTTTGTCGTCGCCTTCAGCTGCAGGAATGAAAGAAGTCAAAGAATCACTGCAATCTCCTTCGCCAGGCAAGTGATTCACAGCCAAGGGAAACTTGGGGTCAATCTGAAACATGATATCATCAGTCTAAACTCGTGTTAAAGAGAAAAAAACCTCGTTGATAAGTTTAGACAACTCAGGATCCTTTGACATTTCGTTGAACCACCTGGCCTCCTCCATAGCACATAAAGACAATTGCAAAGAATACATGTAGATGTTCGACTGAATTACTTTCATTTTGAAAAACAAAGTACAAATCGTGACCACACCTCTTCCAAATCTTTGGACACATTGGAATCCTGTAGTCGCAGCTGTCTGAGCTCTTCCTCCATCGACTCCCAGTATGGTCTTTGAACAATTTGTGGAGCAGGTGCAAGTGCAGTGAAGTACAAGCTGTCGACCCAGCTACACTAAACCAAAACTTTCTAATAATAATTGAATTAAAAACTTGTTTACATGATGGCTTGTATTACGACCTCAACCGCATTAAAAGGTAAGTTTCTGTCTAAAAATTCAATTCGAGATCCGAAGAATAAACATTGCCTCGCTCAATGCATCAATGTCCACAGTGATCTCAGCTTGAAAAACTAGAGCCCCATTGTAAATACAACAAATTGGGTTCCACAAATGCACAAATGCGGCATAAGAATACTTTGTAATTTATGGAAACGGATAAAATAGCAAAACAGCATGAAGCTTACATCAAACACATTAGCAGTTGTGGATTCGTCTGCAAAAGGTTCGCTGCTGGTTTCTTGCTCTGCTATCAAAGACGGTTCCTCTATTGTCAAAGTCGCTTCTTCATGATCTCCAGAACCAGAAGAAAGACTATCACGGGAAAGTTCTGCTGCTTGCGCGGTAGGAGGAACGTAAGAGGACGAATCGTTTTCGGATATGGACCTGAACAACCATAGGTAAGGACAATCGGATAATGTAACCCCTGTTTCAAACAGTGATTGAACACAAAAAGTATCGTATAATAGGGACTTCAACCGATTGCTCAAGTCTCGCGAAAGGTACAATTTGAAGGGAAAAGATTGTTCGGAAGATGGACGTGGCAAGGGTCGCTATTGTACTGCATCAGAATCTCACAACCCTCAGATTTGGGTGGAAAGTGCTTATGATAGAAAAGGTAAATGAAAACCTGGGACGGCAGTGAAGTGAAAGTTCTGAAGCTGATTTGAACTCTGAGTAGTTAGAAAATGCAGGGCTTTGCTGAACTGACATGTGTAGATCACCATCATCAGAGCTAGCCAAACTAAATGAGTAATTTAAAAGCTGCACATAAATAACAAGGAAGAACCTTGTAAAAGAGATATTATCCACTTCAACAAGACTTTCGTCCTCCTCATCATCCGACACCCGTTTGCGCAATATTCTCCGTTCCATCCATGCAAGCGTGATCTAATAACAAGCATGAATATAGAGAATGCTGAAACACAAGCAACCGCCATAAACATGTGGAAACCACGAACAAGGGGTAAAAAACCCAAGAGTTTCAGCTATGGAGTTCTAGGATAATCTACAAAAACAAACAGAAAAGCGGCTGTTGACTTATTCAACACCGCTCAACATATGTGAGCATTGAGGGACCCGTCATACTTCGCCGAAAAAAGCCCAAAGAAGCCCGAAAAAGCCCAAAAAAGCCCGAAGAAGCCCAAAAAGCCCAAGAGCGCCAGAAAGAGCCGGAACACTTCTCGCACGTTTTGGCGCTAAAGCATGTGTGTTGACTTCGCAATCGAGCCTTTTTGTCATTTTCTGTCGTCCGCATGATAAGATAATGTCAGAATTCTACCAAAAGTTCGTTTCTACATTCTGGCTCTTTCTGGCGCTTTCGGGCTTTTTTGGGCTTTTTCGGGCGCTTTGGGCTTTTTCGAGCTTTTTTGGGCTTTTTTGGGCGCTTTTGGGCTTTTTTCGGCGAAGTATGACGGGTCCCTGAAGGTGCACACTCTTTGAACTCAAATTCATCATTTCGGGTGCACCTATAATGAAAATCAAAGTAGCGATACCAACTAAACTGAAATGCGCTCGCAAAGAACAAGCTAAAAAAATTCAGAAGAACCAGAACGTTCTTCGTTGTCTCAACAGCGAAACAGAACACGTCCGTAACACTTGAAAGACGACACGGATCGAGGAAAGACTTCGATACATTGTATGTCAGGAACAAGCCACAACGTTAAACAGTTAGAAACCTAAATCACAAAAAATCTCGAAAATTCTCGATTTCTGTTGAGAAAGAAACTCGTTCTCTGCAAAAAGAAAGCAACAGTTTGAAAGAATACAATACAAGAGGCAAACGAACTCCAACGCTGAGGAGTTGCGATGAGTCATGCATTTCTGCGCATTTGTAGTTTAGGTGTTTCATCGATCAAACGGCGTTGTGACAGCAAGGGTACACATAGACCAACACCAAATATGAAGTCTGAAAACCGCTTCTTCATTCTGGAATGGATGTTAACTTTGCAGATAAAGCGATTTTCTTTTGAAAAACGTGAAGTCTGAGCACGCACATACCAATTACGCCGATAAGTTTCATTACGATTATTAGCCCACTTTAATATAGAAAAGTTGTAAAAAAGCATTAGGAGCATAATCTGACTTATGCGGTCTGCTGAGCACAGCTTTGCCATGTACTGTGCACAAATATCTGTGTTCCAGAAAACTCAAAGCCAACACAAGGCAGCTCTTGCAACCCATGCTATAGAAGCACTGACGTTCAAGCTCGGAGCTAGAATAATCAAAAAATCGAGCTAATTTAAGTCATTTCGGCATAAAATCAAACCCTGGCTACCTTGAATGACTGGCGATCCTGCTCCAAGCGCACGGAGGTGCGCGCCCGACAAGAAATGCCGCCAATCGGAAGAATACAAACATCTTCAACGAAGTAAGGGGGGGGCACGCGGAAGGCGACAATGCGCGCAAAATGCAAGCAGTGTAAAATCGCTCTTGCTAACTTTTACAGAATTTTACTTGTGGCATCGAGTCATGTATCGTTCGTTCGCTTTCACTAGAGTGGGCGGCAGGGCCCGGCACCGATGGTTTGGGGTCAAACTGAACTTCGTTTTTGGAGTTAGAAGCAACGGGGACATCGTTTTTATGAGGTCCTGGAGGAAGCGCCAAAAAAACACGACGAACATGTCAGGTTTTACGAGTTGAACGTGTTCTTTCGCAAGCGCGCGAATTTCAAATACAAGGCTCAAACAAACAAATGGCTTGTTTACAGCTCACAAACAATCACATGGCTCCGAATTTGGGCTATGAGTCTACAATATTACTCCAAACTATGTTATGTAAAAAGTTCCCAAAACTTATGTGTCTGAATACTCGTTCCAGATTTGTTGGTTTCTAGACCAACCACCGAACCAACTGGGTTGGTTCGGAGCATAAATTTCGGAGAGTTCACATAAGTTTTAAACCTTTTTGATTTGGACGATTAAACGCTCAAAAATCTATTATATAGTGAAGAGAGCGAATCAAACCATTGCCTCTCCTCTCTTCTTTTGAGCCAAAAGTAGTGCAGTTCTGCGCGTTGATAGATATTGCGCTCCAATCACATGCGGTGTCCTTTGAACTATGTGGCGAAAAATGCATCGCCGGATCGTTGAGGCCACAGATTTGGTTGGCCTAGGAGGTTTTCGATTTCCGAGCACTAAAGTGGTGCTATACCCAATGGCAGAGCCTTTAATTTACTCGAAATGTATTCTTTTTGCTTTTTTGTTATACTATATAACTCAAAATGCGCTTTTTTCGCTTTTTTATTGTTATTTTGGTTGAATAAGGATTTCCCTATTGATTTTTACAACGAGAGGGACTTCGTAAATTTTCGAAAAGTCATGGGGACTTCGTTTCCAGAAACGCTTCAAACCAACGCGTGCCGGGCCCTGGTGGGCGGACCACTGCAGACATGACATGACATGTAATCGGTCGATAAACCTCCATCCTAGAGCATTGTTTTTTGTACTCTCTCGCCATCCAAAGCCGCCGCGCGTGTACGTAGACAGTGCTCCGCCCACTCTAGCGAAAGCGAGCAAACGATATCTGCCCCCACCCCCCCCCCCCCCCCTCCCTACCTTGGCTCCGTGTCACTTCAGCGACGAAGATTTGAAAGGCACAAAATTTGAGGAATGTCGCCGTCCGCACCACACCCAAGCAAGGGAATTCAATATATATTGGGGTTAACGGTAAAAAATGGGACACTTACGAAATAACTGGAGGTTACTCACGAAAGAGAAGTGATTAGATTTTCCAGTTTTATAGGTATCAGAATATGTTATTCTCTTTCAGATAATACCTATATAAGTTATTTATATGACCAATAATTTTTATACTTGCTGAAATGCAAAGTTAATCACTTCGATAAATCATCAACTTTGAGCAGTATCTGCGCAGTGAAACAGGTGAGACCACCCAAAGTACCACTGCTGAAGTGGATGGTGGGACAGTCAACAAACCCACGACGGCTTGATGGCCTCAACTTTCAGACTCAAGAGATATGGCCATTAGCAGCATCGAGAACGAAGACACGCGTTATTCAATTCTTTGCAGGTGAACGCAGTTTTCTAGGTCCCATCTGATAGAGCTCTTTACGCTTTATCCATCCATATGCAGCTTACACAGACTTTATCTACCTCCGGAAAATATAGGGCAAAACATGATCCTGGTTTTTTTATTGCGCCAAAATGGCTATTTCTTAGGTTTTTTTTCGCTTTTCTTCTGAAACTGAAAACAAATCTCATGCATTTGACATATCATTTGAAAGAGCATGAAGAGCTCTTTCGAATGGTATGTCACTTGCTTCACAAGTTCACGGTATAGCAGCGCAAGATTGAGAATTGTTCACAAAACCCTGTCTGACTCACAGCGTCACGCGTACGGTTATGAGGGAGGAGCGGTAAGCGTTGCCAGAATAATAGGCGAAAGTCGGTCATGTAAGCGATGTTTGAGTTGCAGCCTGCTTGTTGTTGTAAGAACAAAAAATCTCAAAATGTAATAAAAATCAAGCTACCCCATTTTTTACCGTTCAGCCTAATACAAATGCTACCAATGTCATTAATTCTTTCTATCGTCCGTTTGATGTTCTTTTTGTAATGTGTTCTATACTTACCCCAGAGTCCGTCTTTCCGGTGGTCACAACATGTTTGCAGAGTAGACATTGCTCAGACAGTGCGGCAGGTACCATCTTTGAATATTCCATTTTTTATCATTGTTAGAACCTTTTCTTCATTCGTTAAAAACTTGGTCCTCCTGGCTACCTAGTGATTTGATTGATACTCTAATTACACCTAAAGGCATACCTTTTTCGATTTTTCAAGCGAGCCGCTCAGCCGCTTCACTGTGCTTCGCAAAACCATCCTTATACACGCGCGTCTCTACACAAACCCACAATACAGAAATTTTTGAGTTTTATATATATATACAGATTCAACACAGTAATACAAGGTACATGCAAGGGAAAAAGTGAGGTGACAATTGATCAGACAGTGACATTCAATCGGATTCGGATTCTTCAGAAAGTACGAGTTCCTTTGGACTTTCAGAACCTGATTTACGCTGGGCACCTTTCTTTGACTTTCGTCCTTTCTTTTTTAAGGTAGTCTTCGCCGGAAGCTGTTGCGTTCTTGCCGCCATTTCCGCTAGAGATGAGGAAGAACCTGGAGAATATGGGGACCGCTCACTCCGCTGAGTACAGTCGAGTAGATTTTCCGCTCAATGTAGTGTGCTCGCACTGAAGGTGAAAGGCAGTAAAATTTGTGCGTAAAGAAATAGCTATGCCTGTGACGCGGGCCATTTGCGCGCGCAAAATGTTGCCATTGCTGGCGTGGCTACTTGTTCACGCGCAAATTTTGCCGCATTTCACTTTCAGTGCAAGCACACCATAATTAAACGAAAAATCTACTTGGTACAAAACTGGAACGTACCAGTTCTTTTAGCTAATTTCGTCAAAGCAGTTTCAACTCGCTTTGTCAGAGTCGTTCGTTGCTCCTCAGGAGACTGCTGCAATGTGTGAGTATACGAAGTAATGTGGCGTTGATAGGACGCTTTGCCCAAGATAAAGTCGTTCCATCTTTGAAATGCGACCAATGTTTGCTGAAAGGTGTGAATTAGCCCCCTGATTCGACTGGAAAAATTGAAAGTTACTTTGTCGAATTTCTCATCATCCCATCCAAGCCTGGCATAAAGAAGTGAACGCACTTTCTCAATATCTACCTTTCTCCAACGAAACTTCTCTGCAGATCTATCCACATTTGGTCGGAAGTAAGCTGTGACAATATCGGGGTTTACAATCTTAACACTAGTTATGAAGATCTCCCTTCAAAAGTTATACATTCTCTAGTCAAAAAAGTCAAAGATCCTCACAGATTTGATTCTGTCAAAATCGTTATTCTTTTTGATCAAAGCACGTAGTTTTCTTCGCGTAGCCACAGGTTCAGGTGGTGGAGCGTCAGATTCGAGGGTCAACAACCACTCGTTCAAATTTATGAGCGTAGAAAGGGTCTGAAACGAGCTATAGTCAGGTCGAAATGTAGTAAATGGTTGGAAGCGACCTATCGATTCCGAATACACACCTCAGCTTCTTGGTCTGCGGCTGAATCGGTGTTTCGCTTCACAGCAAATTCAGAAAGTAATTCTAGTGCGCTGACGATGCCTACCCCAGCTAAGCCAGGAGAGTAATCACCACCGGAGATCAAAGCTAACCCGACAAAATCTGACTGACAGAGTCCTGAAGAAGATAATCATTGAAGATGTAGATGAAAGTAGCTTGTGTGAAAAGACAGAAAAGTATGCACATTTTCCCTTACAATTTCTGAAGATGATAAACAGAAAGAAACAGACCTAACGACTGCCGCACAATGCGCGACTCATACTTCTGAACGTTCTTGTTCTTAGAAAAAAGATGTCGATAGACATTTCTTACACCAAAAGCCCACACATCACTGTCATCTGATACCACTCCCTACAACAAAGTAATAGGAGGCCTGCAATGTGGAAGAATCTCACTCGATTTTTGTTTACCTGCACTAATCCTAGTCGCTCGAGTTCAACACACTGAGCTTCGGCTTCACCTGGTGCTTCAACCCACGGGAAACCGCAAGCAGTCAGAAAGTCCTGCGACCGGGAAAAATTCCGCATACAGAACACAAAGTGTTTATAAAGGTACCTGTAGATCTTTATAGCATTCTGTGTCTCGAGTACGTATAGGATCAACATCGCCTTGACCCTTGCGCTCCAACCATTCCACGTCATCATCCTAAACTACCACTTCAAAAGAATAATATGGGAGGGTGCATGAGAAGAGATTCACTAGTGCTGGCTCCCAATCTTCTTCGGCATCAGCAGATGTAGACGGCTGTGGTTCTGCAGGCTTTTCATTTGCCGATACGTTAGCTGCGTCAGCTGCATCAGAAATGGACTGACTCTGCTCAGGCAATGACGTCTTCCCCTTTTCATCATTAAGAAACTGTTCCACCAATGGGTCAGATGGAACATCAATAAAGTCATCGGTACCAGAGTCGGATGACCAATCATCTGTTCGAAGTATGACTAAAAGAGTAGCGAGAATGGTATTTTAGAACGTCAACGTAGTCAAAACGGTACCTGCGTCAGCTTTCCTATGACCAGCGTTACGCTTTGCCAAGTCTTCTATCATAGCCGTTTTGCTATAAAACTCTTCATCACCGGAGTCTTCACTGGACGATCCCTGATAAGCAGATAACAGTTTTGGGCGCTATTTGCAGAACGGAGCCGCTGCGTCCGCATGGAGGATTTGTCGAACGAGATTGTAGACTGGGTGAAAAGAAGTATACAAAAAAGTCACACCTCATCTTCGTTGTCAGCAAGAGCAAAGAGTGGGTGCTGGGAATAAGAATCAGGTAGAAATTCTTTAGGTAGATCATAGTCGCGATTCTCGCAAAGCTAAATATTTGTTGATGACTTTTTTTGGTACAGGCATTGGGAAAATGACTCCTACATGCTGAATTTGATTGTTTATCTGACTTCGAGCAAGAAGTCGTTGCAGTTGGAAATTGCTGAACGTCTTTGAGTCAGAAGGGATCTAAATTCCTTCTCCAGAAAAAAAAGATGAAAATACATAAACAGTCAGAGCAGACCTGCGACGGCTTGAGTCGAGATGCTCGAATCCTTTCCCGCTCCTCCATCAAGAAATCTATCACTCGCGCAGGTGGAATATCCTCAGGTTCGGCCTTTTTTTCGCCAACTACAACGATGTCCTCGTCGTCGGAACTCAGATCGACAACTTCGCTGAAATTATTTTTGCTCTAACAGGTGCTGCACTTATATAGCTTCTCTAAGGCTTGAGATATACCTGACGATAGAAGTATAGCGGGTGTTGGCGAATCGCTGATGTCTGCGCTGCCTTTAGCTGCTCGTGGCTGCTGCGCTGGGTACGCTTTGAGTGCATGAACGAAGTAGCCTTACCCATTACTATGCTTAGCTTAGGCCATTATGAAAGTAAGTCTTGAGAACTACCAAAATTGAAAAATATGATTACATGAGATCCAAGAAAGTCATCCTGTTTATCAACAATTTTTCTTAAGTAGCATAAAATGGCAAACCAAGTATTGCATCTACTGAGTAAATAATCATTTGACAAATATCCAAACGAGTGTCGCAGAAGAACTTGATGTGTGCTTGAGACAAAAACCAAACAATCTAGGTCATAGCTGCCGTTAATGTATTGCGGTGTATTGGTAACATCCCACTAAATCGTTGAAATCCTCTAGCTTTTCATTGTTGCTCCTTTGACTTCACTTTTGCTTCGCAAAAGTTCTGTGCAGTCGTTCGGATCCAATTCCTTGTCGACTTTGTCAATTCTTCAATGAACTTCTTATTGACCCATTGCGCTTTGGTCTTGCAAATTTGTCATGGTTCAGTATCGAAACAAGTTCTAGAAATCCTTCAGAAGTTCAAAAATATGTTAAAAATGGACAAAACCGAGCAAAAACAGCGTTAGCAGCATGGAGCAGCTGGAAGAAGCTCACCAAAAGTGAGCTTCATATCGCGTAGCAGCAAGGAGCAGCGAGGAGCAGCAACGAGCAGCAAGCAGCAGCCAGAGCAGCGCAGCATCGCTAGCTATAGCGGGTCTGTTTCGCGTTGGCTGCAGCAGCTAGGAGCAGCAGCGTCGCCTGGCGTCAATCGATACGCACAAAAGACGTTGCTGCTCGCAGCGTTTTATCGTCAGCTATAGCCACCCATCGTCAAGTATATCTCAAGCCTAACGTACGCAGTAGTGGGCGGCAAAATGTCGAAGAGGTCGTTCTCAAATCGCTGGCGTTTGTTAGAAGCTGCGGTAAGTTTGTTTTTTACAGCCTCAATCTCTGACTGTGTTTGAGAACCTGAAATTCCTTTCACATTTTGGACGACTCTTCTCAAAGTCACTTAGTGGCAATCATTATAATGTTTCACCGAAAAGTTTTGTTAAAAAAATTACCGTTTTATACGGCTACATCGAAAACGTATGAGAGGGAGCAGATGCGCACTGTCTCTGCGTGCGACGCAGGGGCTACACTACTTTGAAAAGTGACGTTCTCACCTGATGCAAGGTCCAGTAGATGACGTTTCTTAGCTTGAGTGAGGGCGATGTCTTCAGCATGTTTACGGAGACGCCTTTCACCCTACGACAGCCATAATCAAAGGTTCACAATATTCAGTGAAAGAAAAATATACGCACCAAAACTTTGCTTTTGAAAACCGGTACACCTTCGCCATCGAAAACGAAGACAGGTCTTATTTTGTAGTAAAGAAGTTTGCACAAACGTGAGACCAGCAATGCAAGATGAGGACATCGAATGTCTCCGGGATAGCCTAGCTGTGCTTGATAGATCCATATCGAAACGTCTGAATTACTGATTAGCGCTTGGGATTTGGGCGTATTTGTTATCGCTGTTAGCGGTGTTATGAGTGTCACCGCTTTTACCAGTGTTACTATTGCTCATTGTGATTTTTCTGCCTTGTTACCGGTCTTCCGCTTGGGTGAATAAATAACAAATTATCAGTCTTGCAGTCTCAATCGTTTGCAAGACAGCCGCCTGGTAACTGCGGTTGTCTTTACTACCTTTCCGATGAAAAGAAATCACCAATCTGCGGTACTTGAACGGAGAAATTAGACTGCAGGAGCGACTAATCACATTTGCGGAAGTTCTCAAAAGTCTAAGGCTATTGCAATGAGCAATAGTAACACTGGACATCGGTAGTAATGTGTGAGCGAAACCTTGTGAAAGCTTATTATGAAGCAAGCACTGACCAAACACTTTGCAAACTGTACGCAACTAAAACCAGAAAGAATTCCTTCAAAGCATACGATCTTGTTCTAGGAAACCTTACCAACTGCCAAAATCTTCCCCTCCAAAAACTCCAGCGATACTGGTTGACAAGTTGGTTCGACTAAGGGCCAAAGACCAGCAATTCCCATGTTTGCACTCCAGTATTCAAAAAATTTGGAGCAGCTAAAACGTTCACATTAACCACATTCTAAGTGATTTCGGTAGTTCAGTCACATCATATCTAGTAGATGGCACACGACTTAACTGGACAATCATTTATTAGGCGTGAAGAAGTAGTAGTACATCGAAAAGAAACGACATATCACAATCCACAAAAACCTAGTTTTTTTTTATCTTGCAGCTTACAGCATATGAGACCCTGACACAGAAAGCTCGTAACTCATCTTTGAAACAATACAATCGCTATACATTAAGTAAAATATTATACATAAATTTACAAGCAACAGCAACACGAATCTTTAATTTGACTATAGATTATTCACATTTACGAAAGCTGGTCAAAGATTTCAGAAAGCATTAGCACGAGATTTATTAATAATTTACACTTTAGCAGAGCGCTCATGCGGCGGTTTCGTTCGATCTACGAGACGAAGCAGCTCGTACAAGGCTGTTGCCAAACCTTGGTCAAGAGGATCAAGCACAGCCCGTTGAAGCGCTTTCGGGATCGTGGTTCGATGGTCAAAAATCTGAAGCAACAGATAAAAACTACAACCAGTCGCGCAAAACAATTCACCTGTAGTTTTCGGAGAATTTCGTCGATCACAGGTGGGTTCCATCGAAAACGATCGATGAATCTGATTTTTGGATCAACAGCCCACTTCTCGCACAGATAACGCCTTCTATCGGTTTTTAGCGATGGTTTCTCAACGGGTAAAGGCGAATCCTAAGGTTTAATAGTTTGTTTTAAAACACCTTCTCCAATATTGGCTGACTCATAGATCTGATGACAAATGTATAGTCCCCTCCACAGATCGTGCTACCCTTGGTCTGCGTCTCAGACCTGCCACGTGTGGCTAACATGTTGCCAACGTGGCAACAACATGTTTGTTGTTGCCACGTTGGCAACAAAATGTTCTGCCAACATGCCCCAACATGTTGGCAGAACATTTTGGCCACGCCAACATGTTGCTGCATGTTGCCAACGTGTTGCTGCCAACGTTGCCGATGTGTTAGTCACACGTGGCACGTCCGCGACGCCACAAGGGTAGCACGATCTGTGGAGGGGACGTATGTGGCGCGACTCGACATTCTCCGACAACACCTCCGCGTGAACAAATTGCTGCGCTTGAGATGCTGGCAACCTGCGCGCAAGATGGTCGCAGTGCGCAAATTATCAAGCTTTGCTCTTCGTTTGCGCGCGTGTTGTCGACAAATGCCAAGACGCGGGTAGATCCACTACATACATTTGCTTTCCAATCTACTAGCCTTGACACACAAAACCATACCGACACTTGAATGTAGCTTTTTAGTAGCTCCGGCAAGAAGCTGACTTGAGCATTGAAGTCTGTTTGTACACAGACTGCATCAAGAAAATCACAAACAAGAGTCGAGTGCACCTAAAAAGGAGAAATTACGTTATAAAGGTGTACATTTGGATAAATAAAAATCACTTACCTCTGGCCTCTCGTCTTCATCCAGTTCCTCCACATCACATTCATTTATTTGATCAGAAACAAGCACGGCCTCCAGTGCTGGAAACTGAAACAGTTCCAGAACACTGTGCTGTCCTCTAGTGCTTGGCGCGGGGGCCTAAAAGCCACATCATTATGTCTCAAGTTATGCATAGAGAACTGAAGAAAACTGACGTCAGCAGCAACCGGTGCAAGCCCGATCTGTTTCAACGCATCCCCAATAAGATAATCGAGACTTGTAGAAATAGAGGCATTCTGCCGCATGATACTGTTCCGGTTTTGCTGCAAGAATCAGTGGCCACTAAGCAGGAGAAAACTCGAAAAATCACATCTCAAACAGGAGGCTACCTGAACACGACATACGGTCGCCATGTTTTCTGTAGTGAATTTAGGCACATCAGCTACGTTGTCAGACGCCCTCCTTCCTTGTAGACCCAAACGAATGACAAGCTTCTGTCGAACCGCAACCCCTGAATGATGGAGACGACTGTTGTTTAGCCGTGAATATACTGGATGAAAACAGTTGTCAAGTGAGAAAGTTGTGTTCAGTGGATCCGAGATCTAATCAGTGCACTCAAAGCAACAGAATGTAGAAAAATGATTCCATCTGCTTTCTTTTGATTAAAGGCTTGTGAAACAGGTGTAGGCGATTCACTGCGCAAAAACAGGACGTCACTACGGACGCTGTCGGCGTCTCGCTGAACGAGCGCTCTTTCATTTCTTGTCGTGTGCGTTTCTCCCTTGCGCGAACTGCCTTGTTCAGACTGACGGCGTCCAGTCTTACGTTACAATAGAACTACTCTGATTAGCGGATCTCTCCAAATGGCATTTCCGTATTTTTACCAGTAGCGTCCATGACCGAGTCGTAGATTACAAAGCAAACAATACTTTTTCTTTGGCAAACTTCTCCTAACAGACAATAATTTGAAAAATGATTGAACAGGTAACTTCGCTATCGTGTAGCCATGTAGCCACAAGTGGTTCACAAACACTTATATCAGAAATTTTCAAGATTTGCACAAAATAGGTAAATTGCAAAATCGAAGCTAAATTCTGGCTTTCATTCTGGTCAAAAATCCCCAAAATTTTCTTTGGTTACAGAAACAAGTAGCTTCAGAAACTCAAATACCGCGCTACCAGCAGCAAGAGAACTTCTACAATTATTTTCTTGAAAATGTTTTAGTAGATATTATAATGGTCACAGAGAGCACATTTCCAAGTTTTGGATCCCTTAAAAAATTTTCCGCTTGAATATTGGCGAGTGTTGGCACTGCAGAATCCAACATATGCACTCGATTGTACACAGCAGATATTCACAAACCTATTACATCTTGTTCCCTATCAATATATGAGAATTTTGCTTCGGGGGTGAACACGATTCCAGGGTATCGCAGGTGGAATAAGGCCCAACTAAAAGCGTCAGATTACTACAAAATTCCAGAAAGAAAAAATATGATGTACCTGTGCGCGTTCATTTCGCCATGCATGCATGCTAGCGATACTTTTCCAGCTTCTAATCCAACAAAACCACCGACTACTGTCTCTCCATGCTGTGGAATCGGCAGAATTTTTTCTTTGAACTGTATTTCGGTAACTGAATCTAGCACCTAAACAAATTGACAAAATGTCCATGATGCAAAGCGCAGCATAATCTAGATTACTTTCTGCCAATACTGCGTTGCGCATGCAACTGGCGGCACAGCCTCATCCTTCGACTGAGGAGCAGATGCTGATGAACTATCTTGCTGGATACCCCAGACCATCTTTGAGCTTTTCAGTTGTTCCTTAAAACGTATTTGGACACGCTCACTTTCTCAGTTGATTTAATTTACCTCAAAGAATGTTTTCAGCTTATTGACTATCTTCTGGATATCATCCACTGTATTTCTCGTGATCACCACTTGCAGATCCTCCCACGATCCTCTCACATTCAAGCGTACGCACGCTCGTATATACTGCAAAAGTGACAATTTTGCTCACTATCCAGACGTGTTTCAAACAGAAAAGGTGAAGCTAATGCAAACAAATTCCAAGTATGATAAAACGGGAAGAAATGGACAGGGAAACAAATTCGGTCATTAAGCGCCGTGTCCGCGGATTTATTTGCCTCAGACGGAATACGCGAGAGGAGTACAAAAGATCAGTAGTCCGCGGACGCATGCCTATTGAAAAAATTTGTCCCGATAATCGTGTGAAAGAGGTGAAATTCTAGAAAATAGTTTTCAAGATGATCTAAGGAGACCATGGCTGCAAAAATTAATTTTGTGATGACGGACGGAGAGTGACATCAAGAAGGGAAACAGCAGCGCCACTCGAAAGATTCTCTAGGAAGTTTTTGCAAGTCTACAATTCCTTTTCGAAAACAGGGACTGGCTTTACATGCCCGCAAATTTTCCACAATAAATTTGAATTTACAGGTCTTATAAAAACTAGGTGGGAAATGGGTCCTCGCCTATTAACATACTATGAGTCACTATTCCTATTTCGTACAAAATCACCCATTTCCTTTTCTACCAAATGCCAGTTGCCTGCTCCCACAGTGTTTTCCTAATCAGCATGCTTACTTACGCTTTTGAGACAGCTACTCCCAGCTCTTCACTCCACACCTTCCCAAACTTGATATAATCGGTAATTGGTGGGAATTAAAAAAAAATTCACTTTCTTTACCACCATGCTCATTTTCCCCGTGTTAACTCGCAGTTGACAAAAAAGTAGCCTATGACTCCCTCCCCGTCCCCCCGCCCCAAACACTTTGGGTGCAAAGTTTGGTCCGGAACACCCCATGTCAATTACGTGCACCTTTCTGCGTTAAACCAATCGTCCGCAACGCGAGAGCCTTACGCGCGGACCTCCATTCAGTAAGGAAAACTTGAATTCCCACACATAGCGAACGTAATGAGAAGCTTTGGCATGCGATCACGCCGAAAAAAGGGAATACGTTATTGTCACAAGATCTGAATATTACCTCGCCATGTTCGTTCTTCTCTCGCGAAAATTCATCTCCTAATGATATGGCTGGTTTTTCACATCGTCCAATTAGTATCGCTCGACTCATCCATTCTATTCTTGCAGCCAACCAACGTAGTTGAACTTTCGCTCCATTGCGAGGTGGTTGCTGTATGAAAAGGACTGTATGTTCAACTTTTGAGAAGAGAGGTTAGAAAGAACTCACATTGGCTAGCCGGGCGTGAGAAGCGGAAAGTAGTAACCGACTCAAAGCGATCTCTCCGCTGATTGCGCCACCGTGAGCTGTCAGTTCGCTTGAATCGAGTTTGAACGTTAACGTTACGTTTCTTTCCGAGCGAGAGTTCAGCTATAGTGAAAAATACAATATCGCAAGGGCAATCCTAGAATACAAACCTTAGCTATGGCTCTCAAGAGCCCTCGACGAGCCTTCCACGATGTATTGCCCATAGTATTTGACATTTGCGCGTTAACGTTCAATTCTTTCCATTGGACAGCCAGAAGTACTGTAGCGGACCATGCTTTGTCGTTTCGCACTGTTGTCGGTCCAGAACTGTGAGAAGATTTCAGTGAGATCACGCGACTAATGTGGTTACTTATTAACTGTACCTAGAAACAATTAAGTTTCGACTAGCAATGGTGCTCGGCTGACTAGCAGGTTCACGGGACATTGCTTGATCCCCAAAGAATACTCTACGCGCGATCGCAGCACGATACCATGGTTTTGGGAATGCTATCAATTCGCTGAGTCTTCGCATGTCATAATTGAAATTCGCAGCACCGATGTTAGACGTCAGAACGAACTGAAATGGTTGAATTCACAGGTCAAGAAGAATATAAACCACGCGAAGGACATACTTTCACTCTATTGTCCGCTTCAATGGAGGAGTTCTTACTGCGAGAAATTACAAACGAAAGATGATCAAGAGTGAGAGATAGCGCATCATGGGCGGTTGATTGCTAAACAATTATTTTGTTTGACAGCAACATGCGAGAACTTTGCCCAGACCTGATGTGGACTGTAAATACTTAGGGAAAACGCGCTCAAAGTTGCTGAAACATCAATGCCCCCAACGTAAGCATCTTCCACTGTTCGGCGTGTAGAAGCCATCAGCGACAAACATGGTAATTTCAACAAGCAATCTGCAGCCGAGCTTCGCTGAATTATTTTGCTAGTTTGCCTATAACAAAGCTGAGCTCTATCCATGCCAGCGCCGTGCCACCACCGTACTGAGGTCCACGCTCATGCGCCCAGTATTGATCGTTAGCGGTTCCAGCACGGCGCCAGCATGGCACTACTACGACGACGCTGGCACGGGCAACGTTCGACACATCCTAAGACACTTGCATACCTGCTGCTGCCCATCGAATCTGATCGTACTGCTTTGCACCGTCAGAAAGAAAAGAACATCAATTGGGAGAGCACTTGTGTCCATTCCGACGATATGCGCTACACCTTCCTGCGGTTCTGCTGACGGTACGGAAGTGACTGTGGCCCCCGACGAAATTGGTAGCGGGTCAAGAACCTAGACAAAAAATTAGGTTACTCACATAAGCAGTTACACAGCGTACTTGTTCAAGATAATCAGCGAGATGAGGAGTAACCACTGTTTCTGTAGGCATCGAAGCTAGAGCTGCTGACAGATAAAAACATCCGCGTTTCCTTTGCAAAGAAACATTAGCCGTCTAAACGCACTGTTTCTAGCAAAGATAAATTACATGAAAGAGTAGAAGCTCACGCTTGTAGAGGGATGCGCAGTTGCATCAACCATCGATGCACTCTGTTTCAGCTGATGATCGGCAAGGGCTGTAGTAATCGAAGAGGGAATTAAGGAATCTCCGGATACGTAGTATCCCTTCATATCGAGACTAAATTGTTGAGACATTGTTGAAGAACTCGCTGAAGCACCGTTCACTAGATCTGATTTGATAAGATTTAGTTGCGGTCACTCGTGATTATCCTACCGACAAGAGAAGGCCCCCAAGTAGAAGTAGCCGATTGAGATGTGATATACAGTGACCGCCAAAAAGTTGCGGACAAGCCTCCCTCCCTTTATCATCGCTCTTTTTCAGAGAAAAAACAAGGACAAAAAAATGTAATAATTGCATGAGATGATAGAGCTCTTCAAGATCTACAACCTGCACTTCGCGCTTTTTGAGAAACATATATTCTAAAAATTTTAGGAATCTTTTTCTAAAAAAGTCCGAAAATGGCCGCGTCACAATGTCGCGGACAATAATTCTTCGAACGCAAAAATTTTCTTTTGAGTCCTTATTGAAGCGGGCAAGTAATCCGAGCGGGTAAGCATACTACTTACGTACTACATACTATACAGAGCTCGTCAAGAGCTACACACTGGTTATGGTTGCTTCCCAAAAAACACAAGCTTGAGTCTTATTTTGCTTTTTTCAAAAAACTTCTAATTCCCTTTTTCAAGCTAAGTTTCTTCACACGAAAATCTATTCAAGACACCTCAACAAAGCCGTTTGGATAAATGGATGCTCTTTGCCATTCTCTATGCATTAGACGTGTGCTGGTGAGTTTCTTTGCTGAAAATGGCTCTTGGCAGTGCTTGCACATGATCCCACCTGCACCTCACCACTAACTTGTACCGCTTTGCAGGCTTGTAACTCGGCCTGCAGTCAATGTATGAGCCTGCAATTAGGCTCATTCGAAGGAAAGAGACTTCCACTACACGATGGTTTGCAAATGAGATGAGCATGAGAGATAACGGAGATTTTACGGGGAAAAAGCGCGGCCTCGTTGGTAGACTAAAAAATTTCCAACCAAGGTCAAGCAAAGCTCCTTTCGTTCCCATTTTCATCTCGGAAGCTCAGAACTAATAACTTTCTTGTAATGATTCAGTTTCGAGCTTCTAAGGCAATTTTGGTGTCGATAAGAGCCTTCACACCAATCACCACTGAGGCCGCGCTTTTTCAACCCATCAGTAAAATCTCAGTTATCTCTCGTGCTAATCTTTTTTGCATACCATCCTGTAGAGGAAGTCATTGCAGGCTGATTGCAGGCTCACACATTGACTGCAGGCCGAGTTACAAGCCTGCAAAGCGGTACAAGTCAGTGGTGAGGTGCAGGTGGGGACATGTGTAAGCACTGCCAAGAACCATTTTCAGCAAAAAAAACTTATCAGCACACGTCCGATGCATAGATAATGGCAAAGAGCATCCATTTTATCCAAACGGCTTTGTTGGGATGTCTTAAAAAGGTTTCCGTGTGAAGAAATTTGGCTTGAAAAAGGGAATTAGAAGTTATTTTTTGAAAAGCAAAATAAAACTCAAGCTTGTGTTTTTTGGAAAGCAACCATAACCAGTGTGTAGCTCTTGACGAGCTCTGGGTAGTAGTATGCTTATTCGTTGGCATTAGTTGTGTTTCCGCTTTAAAATAGGACTCAAAAAACTTTTTACGTTCGAAGAATTATTGTCCGCGACATTGTGACGCGGCCATTTTTGGACTTTTTCTAGAAAAAGACTTTCAAAATTTTTAGAATACAAGTTTCTCAAAAAACGCAAAGTGTAGGTTGTAGATCTTGAAGGGCTCTATCACCACATGCAATTATAACATCTTTTCATCCTTGTTTTCCCTCTGAAAATGAGCGATGAAAAAGGAAGGGAGGCTTGTCCGCAACTTTTTGGCGGTCACTGTATACTCAAACTGAGAGCTTGGAGGTTGTCTCAAATCTGCGTTCACTAGCTGCAAAGTATTGATTTACAAGTTACAGCTTCTTGATTCGGCGCATACATGTCTAGAGAAGGCATAAATAACCAATCGAGGGGGTGTAGTGTGGTGGTAAATGTCCAGGACTTCGTAGGCGATCGATCAGGGTTCGAATCCTTTTTGCATGCACCCTACGTTCCTCTTGAATCCAGATTTCACACGTTTCATGTATTTTGCGAAAAACGACAACAGCATACGAGTTGATCTATTCCAACCCCTGAACTTTCGAAAATAAATTTCCTAACTTGCAAAAATTGCTGCCAATTATTCAGCATTAAATTAATTGTATTTATTAGGTTGAACCGAAAGTTCTGTCGCACGATTTTCAAGAAATCATAACTTCTTTCCGTCACGACGATTTTGCGCAATTCAAATTTTATCTGAAAGCGTAAAGCATGTAGTTTCCAAATGTTCTCTGGGGACTTTCCAGCATGCTCAGGTTGCAAAGATAAAAATGATAGAACGAGATTATCCGAAATTCGGAATTTTTAAGCAAGAATTCTGAAAATTTAGAAACTGTGCGGTAAAATCCATAAAAGCAATTATACTGATTTTTCTTATATTTGATTACTAAACTTGACTCGGTTAGTAATCAAATATAAGAAAAATCAGAATAATTGCTTTTATGGATTTTATCGCACAGTTTCTGAATTTTCAGAATTCTTGTTTAAAAATTCCGAATTTCGGATAATCTCGTTCTATCATTTTTATCTTTGCAACCTGAGCATGCTGGAAAGTCCCCAGAGAACATTTGGAAACTACATGCTTTACGCTTTCAGATAAAATTTGAGTTGCGCAAAATCGTTGTGAGGCAAAGAAGTTATGATTTTTTGAAAATAGTGCGACAGAACTTTCGGTTCAACCTAATACTTTGTCAAAATACTCTGCAATAAATAGCCATTTAATGAGAACATATGTGGTTCCATTAGAAAATCTCGAACATAGATGTTCCTATGTTTTGTCCATTACGCTCCTACTGAGGATAATATCGCAATGTTTCGCAGCCAATGAACACATAGTTGAGATAAACCTACCTCGGAAGCTTTCACTCCAAGTTTATGTCACATGTCAATCGGCCACTTTGACTTGGTGACATTCCCTTGTAAGAATGCCCAGTCCCGCAGCAAAAAGTAGACTCCAAAGCGCTAGAAAATCGCTCGAGAAAATAGATACGACGGGTGTCGCCACGCTCATCGTAAGTAATCTATGGCTAGTGAGCCGAGAGGTGGACTAGAGGGACTCAAAGATGTTAAAAATCTATTTTATACAATGGCTTCTGAGACCTACAGGGTCCTTCAAAATTTACTAGTCACAATTTTCACACCATCCACGTTGATGGGCGTTTTGACACCAGCCGCATCCACCTTCAGGAGGGTTTCTCTTGTTTCTTTTGCAGTAGAACTTGATCAATTACCTAGGGCGCAGCTCTCCTATTGTCCTGCATTGAAATCTCACCATCTCGGATTTGCTTTAGAACTATAGCATTATTAATGCATGTGGTACCCACCTGGGCATGCTGAATCTCGTCAGATTCACTAATTGACTCGACGAAAATGTTTTTGCGCGTAGATCTTTTGAAGATGGCTTCTTCACCATTAACGGCACCATTGCTGACTGCTCTTGCTTGGGAGCCGTTCGCAAAGTGCATCTACCTGACTCGATGCTGACCTGTAAGATACGGATGAGTCAGACATGAGCAAAAAAACTGAGGCTATTTCAGAGAGGTGTGTTTTGCCTTTGGAGTAGTTTACCTGCACATCAATAGCCATCTTCACATTTTCGGTTGGGCCCTTATCATCCGAATCAGCTACACGTCCTTCAGGTGTTATCTTGGCAGCCCGAGGAAGACTATCGAAAGCTTCCGACAATTTCTGTAATCTCATGCATAACTTTCTACATATCCACTGTACTGCGGAGTGAGTCAGACATAAGCAAAGAATTGAGGCTATTTCAAAGAGGTGTGTTTTGTCTGTGCAAATGCCAATCAGCCAAGAACTGACCGATCCTCTTCTAGTTCTCTCCCCTTGCTTCGCTGTATTTTTACGTCGACGAATTTTCTCAATCATACTTCTGCGGAACTCTTTGAAACGAATCAATTCATATTGACGCAGCTTCTTGCGTTCAGCTTCGATTCGCTTCTCAGAGGCTTTACATGCTACCAAATCTGACACAAGAGTGGACTGTTCATGCATCTGCAAAGATCATTTCATAAATTAGGTGAAGAAGCTTATAATCACAATTCATTGTAAGCATGAAAAGACAAAATCTTACGGCAAACCTTTCTTTCCATCCATGGCACCCTTTCTTCTGGCCGAAGTGTTTTCAATTCGCTGCCGCCTTCAACCTGAACCAAAGAACTGACATAAATGGGCGTTTGCTTAAAAGGAAAAAACGGTAAGATTAATCGTCTAGAAAGTTGAAAATCATGTTGAGGTACTGTGCACCCAAAGCGAGATTGGTGAGATTGAAAGGCCTTACAATAGCGAGGCCCCTAAACAAGTAGTCAAGTACCGCGCAAGAGGTGTGCTACGAAGCGAAAAAAATCGCTCTAGAAGGTTGATGCGGTCGCCACACTCATCGATTTGGGTTAAAGGTTATGAGCATGAAACTAGACTCATTACCATCCTAGAGTCCACTTTCGTTTTACCTTTAGACTACCCATGTTGATGGGCTTGGCGGCTATACTCGTAACAAACGAAAATTTTCATCAAATGAACGAATAGATTGGTTTTTGAGAATTTTTCGAGCGACTGGATATCGAATCACTCTTTTCGAGTTCTTCGAACGAACGAACGAATATTATTCGATTGCCGATTTTCATAGGCTTCGAATTCCAATATTCAAAAATTCGGATGCAGTATTCGAATATGCAAGAAAGCACGCGTATGAGACACGCGAATAAACATTCTAACACTTAGATTCGAATATGTACTTTTCTCTTGCTCGAACATTCGAATATCGATCGACTGCTTTTCAGTATCTCTCGAATATTCATATAATCGAATAGGCAATTTTTTTCTGCACCAATGAATAAATAAGGGAATAAGGTCCTTTTAACTTATTCGACTATTCGAATAACCGAATAATCTCACTTTGTTGATTATTCGACCATTTGAATGCTCGAATAGTCGAATATTTCGAATGAATTGTTCGAATCCGAATGTTCACTTCCAACTATAGGGCGCGGAAAAAGTACTGTCCCTCCAACTTGTCTCCTGAAATACCTCAAGCATAAAGCAAATCAGTAGTTTTTTGATTCCCATACGTAGGCGAGATCCTTGAGATTAAATAAAGATAAGTTCGATTTGAAACTGTTTGCTTCTGTCCATTTGAACGAGTGATAACAGCGCGCAAGAACATTAACGATGCGCCGATAGCATACAGGCGCAATTTTGGACCGTAACTATACCACCAGCAATGATATAAGGTTCAAATTAAGCTGGTATGTAACGCATGATCTCTTCTCCAATATTCTATACCCACTGTAGATGAACTATGGATTGGTGATTCTTGCTCTGGCCGAATAAGGAAGATTATATCACACGCAAATCGCAAAAATTCTCGAAAAGAGGTGAGTCACGACTGCGCTTGCTTAACGAATTGGATCCATACTATGCTTCGAAGTTCCAAATTACAACAAAAGTGACAGGAATAATAAAAAGAGCATCGGACATCGTCTACAGCACGATTTTGGAGCGATAAACGATTATACCTAGTCTTTGTGCCACGTTTTCTGAACGCACTCTGCTGCGCCGCAGCCACTTCCTCGTTAGAAAAATTCACAGCTTTTCTACTAGTGCAATTGCTGACTGGCTACTTTCAGAATATTTCGGTATCCACTACCACATTCCTTAACCAGTAGAGGATTTCTCAATTTCGCGTGACAAACAAAATAATTTCCCAAAAATCTTCACACTTCTTCACATCTGCAATAGGGAGTTGCAAGATTTGATATGAAAAGGGCTGCGAAAAGGGATCCGCCACCGGGTCTCTATGTAGATCTTTGAGGCCAGTTTTTGTAAAATGCTAGAATATATCCACATCTTGGGAAATTTGTCAGATTTACCAGAAAAATCTGTGAATTACGCCGATTTTTTGAACTATATTTTGAGGGACAGTATTTTTTCCGCACCCTGGATTGGCGACCAAACCATATCCAATACTGTGGGGTGATTTTTTCGCTTAGGAATACAACTCTTGCAGCGGGACTTGGGCATTTACTTAATTAAGGGAATTGCTAGCGTACTTCAAAATCTCAACGAACTTAGTCTTGGGAGGACATTGCCGTTAGATTCTGACACTTTGTAACAAAAGAGCTGATTTCCGTGGTTTCTTCTATGTTGCACCTTGATTGTGTAAGTAAAATAAGATAAAGAAGTAATCATTAACATTTACCAGATGATCCTCATCTTCTGATATGTGAGAAGCCTTATCATCAAACTCCTCTTCGTTGTCACCAAGCGATGAGAAGGTATTCACAACCATTTTCGCCAGTTTTCCTATGTCGAGAATTTACTGTATGTGATTACGTCAATTCACGTTATGATGTACCTATTCTCTGATCTAGGTCAATCACCATTCCACGCATTTGTGCCCTTACACTGAGAACCCATTTCGCGCCGGCAGCATCAGCTGAGGCCTGAATACGGTATGAGTACAAGGAGTGCGATTATCAAATTCCTAGGTAGACATACTTGTGAGCACAGCTGATATGTTCCTTGAGGGAAGAAGAAGTAATTGGTTTGTGTTTCGCCTGTGGCCTCCATGATACTTTCGGACAGCGACTAAAACTTGTGCATTGCTTGAATTCAAACTACTAACAAGGGAATGGTCAGAAGTCGAAGTGGCCAATCTATACAGGCTGCATACCATCAGATGCAGCATATAACGCTGACTCTAAATCTGTCTTCCTTATCTGCAGAGCGATTTTGTGGACGAAATTATAAGCCGTTGAAGGCCATTATTTTGCTAAGAAATTGTCCGCGTAAAGTGCAAACTTGGCCGTACAAACGCATTCTCAGCTAATGTTGGACCAAAGCATGGAACTAGGTCACTTCATATGACTCGTACCTAAAGGTGAGTTGAAAGAGCAATAATGTGAATTTCGCAATTTTTTTATGCGATTTTTTCGCAGTAAAGCTGCTCACAACTTCGTCTACAAAGGCGCTCTTCAGATATGGAAGACGATTTGAAATCAGCATTTTATGCTGCATCGAATGGTGTGCAGCTTGTATGGATTGACCACTTCGGCCCGTATGCACGTACATCCCCGCGGGGAGGGGAGAGGATCTGAGAGAGGAAGCGCCATATCTCACTGCTCTAGATATCTTTCTTCTTTCTTCTCTATCGTGCTTATGAGGGTTCTCATACCCTTATACCTGCTCATAATAGATGCCAGGTTACTGCTATACAAGATTGAATATTCACTATTTCTTCCGATCCCCTGGGGATCCCCAGGGGATCATCTCACATCTTCAAAGTCGTTTATCTTCCTGAAAAATAAATGAAAACGCTGCAAAATTGTACTGAAGATATACTATGATATTGCTGAGCATGTTTTCGACACAAGGAATTGAATCTGAAGATTTTGATTTTTTCGATAATCCCTGGCTCGCGAGCAGCGGTTCATCGAAGATTTTGATATCTTGAGATTTCACTCATTTCTACCATAAATATGTTTAGCAGTGCTGTAGTATATCCACAGTACAATTTTAGAACATTTCATCGAGTTTTTAGAAGGATAAATAACTTTGAAAATGTGAGGTGATCCCCTGGGGATCCCCAGGGGATCAGACGAAATAGTGAATATCTAATCTTGTATGGTAGTAACCTGGCATGCGTTATGCGCAAGAATCAGTGTATGAGAACCTTCAAAAGCAAGACAGAGAAAAAAGAAGAAAGATACATAGACTAGCGAGATATGACGCTTCCCCTCTCAGATCCCCTCCCCTCCCCGCGGGGATGTACGTGCATACGGGCCTTCGACTTCTGACCATTCCCTTGTAAGTGGATGGAAACGAAGAGCACTGATGTATACGAGAATAGCAAACAGTCTGATATGTTTCAAAATTTTTTTAGACAACCTAGCTTTGTACAAAAATTTTCTTGAGGGTTTTCAGTTAATCCAGTTATAGGCCTGCAAAGAAAAAAGCATTCCAAAAATTTCTTTCGGAAAGAGTTTCGAATGAAGAAGGTTTACACTCTTCTTCATTCAAAATACTATCTGTCGCCACCAGAGCAAGATTTCTCGGACCGCCACTTCAAGGTGGTAGTGTAAAGGTGTTTGGAACCAAGCGCGCACTTCGAAAATTCTTTTGGGATGTCTCTCAATTTTTGCAGGCCCGTAACCCCTAATTTTCAGAAAAGGGAGCGCGGCTCCTGCCACACCTCCGAAGATTCTTTACAAAACTAATTCAACGCTTTGAACGCTGTCACATTATTTAAATTATTTACAAGCATCAACAGTACTTGCACATTTTTGCACATTTTTATGTCTCATGTAAGTTACTCGCAAGAATTTTGAAGACCCATGCTAAGGGGGAGGGCGCCCCTCAGTCCGCGACCGCTGAGTAGGTATCCTATACATAAATCTGGAAGCCTAATCGTATATTACGTATTCAACAACGTTTACTTCCGGGGTGCCAAAATCAGAACAACGCGGTTTTTCCCTTGGCATATTAACAACTACATTTTTTGAGATTCACTTTCAAAGGCCGACTAGATACGTAGAAAACAAGTCTGAAAAACAACATCCCCGAATATATGACACCCGACTTTAATTCCTGTGAAGAAAAAAAATGAAACCCAGATCACTATACTTCTGTTACAGAAGTTGGATTATTGGCATCGCTCAGTTGAATATGAATAACATATACAGAGCCAGCTACTTTGATACACTTCTGCTCAGATGCCGAGCTTCTCTCTTCCACAACCCCACCTCCACGCATATCTAATTTACAGGGCTGAATTCAGAAGGGAAATTTAAAAAATGGAGCAGATGGAATGGAACAATTTCAGCTGTCGAATTTAGTATATGTAACACGCACGGAAAGTGTTAAATGGCACTGTCTCATTCGATAATCCCACGCTAGGCACTATACAGTGCTGGCCATAATTATAAGGCCACTCTAGAAATCGTTGTAATTTTCGTTCTTGTCAATGAATCTGTGTGAAACTTTGCTGTATTGTGCGCATGTCAACCCACCATTACCTCTCAAAACGGCTTCCAGTCTCGTTGTTTGTACGGAGAAAAACGAAAAATTTGAAAAAGCCCTCAAAGGCACCGTCCACCCAAAATGGAGGTTGGCGAGATTATGATGGCATATTAGTGTGGGCCCACATACTAGGCAAACCCCCAAATTTCGCCGCAAAAGACTGCTTCTGGAGCGAGAAATCCGCTCCGGAAGTAGCAAAGTAGGCGCAGAGGGTTCTCGAAACAGGGATTTTGGGGGTTTCGCGGATTTTCGACTCCATATTCGGAATCAGGGCTTTCAGAAGGCCTGAAGGCGACAAAAACATTGAATTCGAGATTTTGTGGACGGTGCCTCTAATGAAAGCTGGACAAAATTATGAAGCTAGGTTTTTCTAATCACTATCGCCTTCGCTGATTCTCAACTTTTTTGGTCAATTACATCCCAATATGAAACATTTGCAACACTGCGGCCTGTCATCCTACTCAAATAGAAGTCACTGCATTTTTTGCTTTCAAAAGCAAGTCAATCTGCTTTAACAAGAAACTGGTTTAAAGAGTTTTCAAGCCCTTGTTCATTTCAGATAGCAATAAAATCTACTGAGCATTTTCGATAAATGAGGTGAGGAGCGCTTCCATAAACTCTGCGTAATCGCTGATAATCGCCGTCAACCGTAATCGCTGATTGACGGATAGACTCCAACCTCACCATAGGGTTGACGCACTTTTGCACCACGAAACTCGATTTTCAAGCAACAGAAAATACTGTAATGTAGCCATTACAACAGCCATCAGCAGCGAACTTGTGCGCATGGCTAGGAAGAAATTTCGGGATTGAGCACTCTGACTCAGCCGCACTTGACATCCACTGAATGTTGAGTGGAGCACCCTGCACAATCAAAGCCAACTCAGATCGCGAGATAAAACAGGAGACACTTAAAACTTCAAAATCTCAGCTAATCTCATTCATCGGGTGAAATATGACATGAAACACAGAGGGAAATAAGGATATCTAGGGTTATATCGAATCTTCTGCTCGCAAGGAATTTTTGAGAAGTTTATCAGTTTTAAATCGCAACTGCATCACTAGGGGAAATCAGAAGTTGTTGCAAAAGCTGCATCACCATGTAGGCAGTGTGATAAATCAAATCCAGCGCTTCATGAACATTGCAAACAGAGTTTCGTGGTGCAAAAGTGCGTCAACCCTATGGTGAGGTTGGAGTCTGTCCGTCAATCAGCGATTACGATTGACGGCGATTATCAGCGATTACGCTGAGTTTATGGAAGCGCTCCTCACCACATCTATCGAAAATGCTCAGTAGATTTTATTGCTATCATTTGGAACAAACAAGGGCTTGAAAACTCCTCAAACCAGCTTCTTGTCAAAGCAGATTGACTTTTGATGCTTTTGAAAGCAAAAAATGCAGTGATCGCTTCTATTTGAGTAGGATGACAGACCGTAGGTGTTGCAGATGTTTCATATTTTGGGATGTAATTGTACAAAGAAATTTGAGAGTGAACGAATGCAATAGTGATTAGAAAAACCAAGTGGCTTTATGATTTTGTCCAGCTTTCATTAACACCGTCCACCCAAAATCTCGAATTCAATGTTTTTGTCGCCTTCAGGCCTTCTGAAAGCCCTGATTCCGAATATGGAGTCGAAAATCCGCGAAACCCCCAAAAATCCTTGTTTCGAGAACCCTCTGCAACAAGCGCAGGCCAGATAAAGCATGCAAGTGATGGTCGCCCCGCCTACTTTGCTACTTCCGGAGCGGATTTCTCGCTCCAAAGCAGTCTTTTGCGACGAAGCTTGGGGGTTTGCCTAGTGTGGGGGCCTACACTGTATGCCATCATAATCTCGCCAATCTCCATTTTGGGTGGACGGTGCATTTAAGGGCTTTTTCAAATTTTTTCGTTTTTCTCCGTTCAAACAACGAGACTGGAAGTCGTTTTGAGGGGTATGGTAGGTTGACATGCGCATAATACAGCAAAGTTTCAGACAGATTCATTGACAAGAACGAGAATTACGACGATTTCTAGAGTGGCCTTATAATTATGGCCAGCACTGTATGAAACTTTCCTGTAGGCGGATTTGATTTGCTTACACTGATATATTAGGTTGTTGCAAAAATAATGTCCGTTTTTCTAGGTCTATATTTCAAACAACTTTTTCCATCAAACTTTCTTTTTCTATATAAAATTAGCATGCCATTGGAAACCTCTCTTCATGTACTTTCTAATGGTGGTGGGATTAGGCTGCTCTCATCATTTGTGAGAATTTTACCAGCATTTTGCGTATCCGCACTCAAAATCGGAATCTCATAGCTTTCACTTTCTTGACCACAATTCAAAAGCAAATAAAAGATTCTTCTAAAAGCATAGCACTTGTATTGGATGAAGATTGTTTACCTATTGCGTTCCTATATAGATTTTTGAAGACATATAGACTGAGAAATTGACGCCTCGAAATAGATACTCGCTGCTGGCGTTCTATGGGTCAGAAATTTCTCATAATTAAGCAATCGCCAAAGCTTTGCCCACTTCTGTAAGCTTGAGATTAGCACACCTTAACTAGAATATTTGAAGAGAAACTAGCTATTCAGTGCGCGAAGAATTCCAAATTTTTACAATTTGGCACTTATAAACCTACAACAAATGAGCTCAAAAAAGTAAACTTTTTTGAATTTTTAACTTTTCTTTTCGCAGAACTCTTTCGTTGGACTCTTTTCTATACATACTTGAATCTATAGCCTGCTGCTACAAAATAAGCTGATTGCCAGCCATACGAACAAAATATGAAGAGAGCTGTAAACTCTTAAAGGCGAGGTTTTCAAAAGAAAAAAAACTCTCAGTTTTTTGACGCGTGGTTTTCTTCCCGTCTGCGATATCAGTATGATCAGGTGAGCGCTAAATTACGAAGGGTTTGCTGCTTCTGATGGTCCTAACCGCATTCAAAGTTATGAAGACTGAACGAAGTTATAGCCCTCGAAAGTGAAAATTTGCAAAACGGACATTATTCTTGCAACAACCTAATACTTTCCTACAATGAAAGTTGTACAAAGATGGCGGAATTTTTGATTTTATGCGTTGTACAATTATGCAAATAACTTGCATTTATTTGAAGACATTCTAATCTATACGACGTTCTACTGATTTCTTTTCAATACAAAGAAAAACTGCAACCCACCAGTTCATCAAAGTTGTCAATAAAGTTGAGCTTGAAGCCGTGAAAAGAAGCCTGGCATGCCAGTTCCTTCATTATACATACAGTAACATCACTTTTCTAAAATTCTTGATATATAAACAATCTTCATGGCCAGGCACTGGATCTACCTGTAGAGATAATACTAAAGCTGGCATGCCGTCTGTCAGATCTTGGCTGTAAAGTGGCATGCAAACGTACATCCCGTTGTTTATAGCCAGGGTCAGATTTACATCAAAATCCTGTGAAATTATACTTTTACATCATCAAATGACCCAGCTGAATTACCAGGCAAGAACTAAATCTATTCTTTTTGGGGGAAACTTACATTTCTCACCTGACTAGCTTGAGGTGGTGAGAACATTGCATGTTGGAAACTATTGGTCCTAGTCTTAGCGGCTCGCACAACACGACTTCTTTCATCTCTCCAATAGTCGTAAGTATTCTTGTAATTCAGCCACAGAAGAATTGCCTATCAGGGTATGAGTTTACACTTAAGATACACACATTATGATGCTAAAAATCCACGTATTCCACACACTTGAGAGTCATGGGATTTCGGTGCCGTATAATAGCAGGAACCCTATTTGAAATATGTCCAAGTCCAGCTGCAAAAGGTGAAATTAGAAACTGCTCCAGTGAAGCGGCTGGCGACTTCGCCCATCAACGCGAGTGGTCCGGAGATAACAAATTCAAAATTGACATCCAACGGTCTTTCATCGTAATAATCATATTTTCGACTTTCTAGTTACCTTGAACACCTTCGCACTCATTATCCTCAGACCACATTAATGGGAGGAGTAATCGCGGCTCTTCTATCTCCTGGAGGGGTTTTTCCGTTTCTAAGTTCATCTTCTGCAACTTGATTTGGCTGGTACTTAAAGGCAGTGTTCAAGTAAAAAGTCGATTCTGAGATTTTGTGCTTACCCGGTCGCCATGCTGAGCCCGAATAAACCACAGTGGAGAGCGCGAAAACGCCAAAAAGGCCCTAAAGCTGGAGGGAGATCGCAGGTGGGCGGGGCCGTTCATACCGTGACGTCACTCTCCCAGGCTTTAGGAGCGATCTTCTCGGTTCCGATTTTATGCTATGCTATGCGTTTCGCAGTTGGCTGGTGGTGATGATAGGGCGACTAGCGGAAGCTAAAAGGTCGCTCCTGAAGCTGGGAAAATTGGTTTTTATTTTGCTATTGCTTTTATTACTTTTTGACGCCACTATGTGAACGGCCCCGCCCACCTGCAATTTCCCTCCCCCGTTAGAGCTTTTTTTTGCCGTTTTCGCGTTCTCCAGTGTTGATTTTCGGATTCAGCATAGCGAATAGACCCAGGTAAGCATAAAATCTCGAAATCGACTTTTTGTTTGGACACCGCCTTCAATTAACGCTCCATCATTCAAGTTCAAAATCACCATTCACTTCTAAATGGGCGAATAATATGATAATAACCTTGTCGATAGCACTTGATTTGACGAGCAGAATTGGACGATTCAGGGCAATATGGTACGAATAAGACTGATGTGACGAGCTTTCCTTGTTTTCGACTCGCACCTAAAAATATTGAATTTCAATATAGATATTGCCACAACTTCGCTTGTCTCCCTAAATGACGCTGACGATAATCATAACTAAACCCGTTAAATATATTCACTAGCTTTTACCTGCGTCATGAAAGTAGCATATTCTTGCAGTTCGGGCTGCAGCTCTTCGTACTGAGCCACTTTCACCAGCTGTCCCAATTTTGCATTAAATTGTACTGCAGCAGCTCCAAAAAGCCGCTCTTTAGCTGAGCCATGTTCCTTCACTACCTGGAATAACATTGGTCAGAACCGTTCGTGCGTCTGGAATACGGAACATACCCAACGATTGGTCAACTCAGCATCCAGACTTTCGACAGTAAAACGGACCGCTGTAGCTGTAGGCGTGGCGGCAGTCAATTGCAACCACGGAACACCTTGTCCCTTTACCTGAAACACACCATGACTTAAGACTCTGTGAAAAAAAAAAGGATTTACTAACCGTCAAGAAAAACAGCAATGTAGGTTGCTTTTCCGCAGGTACAGATTGCGCAGCAGTAGGAGACCACCCAGATCGTTCAGCTTTAAGACGACTGACCAACGCGGAGAGTTCGCTGCGGAATGATTGCTCAGCGAAAAGAATCTGGTTAAGCAGATCCGTTGTGAAAGAGTGATTGACTTGGCCTAAAGTTGGTATTTGTTTTACGTGAAAGGTTCACTAATGGTGGTATAGGCCCACTTACACCGTTCGCGCGCGAAGCTAATTTAGCGCTTGAGGTGAGGGAGTGGGAAAACAATTCCCACTCCCTCACCTCAAGCGGATAGACCAATCTATTACATGGAAACGGAAAACTATCATGGTTTCAAGCCTGTAGCTTATCTGTGCTAATACTTACAACTGCGTTGGACATGACTAATCTACAAACGTGAACGAGCTCAATTTCCCTCCCTTGCTCCGCCCTACTCAAAACCGACTAACCGCAGCCGACCTGATGACCAATCAGACGTTCAGCGGCTTTAATGAGAGCTGAACTCACCTAGTGTAACACTCATTTTCAGATAGCCTCCTTCCCTGTACAATAGGGTTTTACTGGTCGTTGGGGCAGCATCTCCTTTATCTACGGTATACTCCCCGTTCACAGCTATGGCCGGTAAAGCCAAAGTGAAAGTGTCCATGGGTTTACCAGCAGATGAAACGCAAAATTCTGCCTGATGGCTGTCAATACCTGCAGTCCATTTTGCAGCATCACCTGAAAATGCATCCATAATAGATTCACGGTGATTTTCAGCAGAACTTACCTGTTACACCACTGCTTGATGCTCTGTTCAGCTTGTAGCGAGCGAGCAAACTAGGTAGCAATCTCGCTCGCAACTCAATACTTGAAGTTTCGAAATTGAACTTCACTTTTGCGACAGGTGCACGTGGCCTTGCTTTCGCTGGCTCAGCTTTCCCGAACCAAGGAGCCGGAGCACCGGGCTCAACCATCGGTAGCTCCTGTAATGCACTACAAAATACGAGTTTGTCTAGGTGACTTGGTTGAAATCTTGAAGTTCTGACACTCATCAGTTTTGAACATGAGTTTTCGACATGTGATTCAATCACGCTTTTTCGCCTTATCTGAAATCGTGGCGTAATCTGTACAGGCTTCCGCGCACACTCAAGAGAGCATTTTTCCAAATTTCGAAACAGTTGCCGCGGCGTAAATCCTGAGCACAGTATTTCTAGGCTTGTTTAGAGAGTAATTCACTGCTGCGCCATCCCATTTTAATATGCAATTGATATAAATAGACTTCACAACCGCTCACAGACCATACCCTCCCGCAACTTGCCATATAACTTCCCGCCCGAGAGATTTTCGTGCAATTGGCCACCTTCATCAAACAGAGGGCAGGGCTCGACAGGTGGCTTATAAGCAAGTTGGATATCATTTTTAGGACAAACATTGTATGGGTTATCGTTTTTTGAGGCCGAAAAGACATAAAAATTGCGAAAATTTTTTTTAGTTGACGTTTCGTTTTTTGAGGATCTTCTAACGTCTAGGGTTAAGAGTCAAAGGGGACTTCGTAAAAATTCGCGAAAGTCAATGGGACTTCGTTTTTTCGCATTTTCCAAAAGCCACCTCGTGCCGAGCCCTGTTCAAAGGGGACTTAGACATCATTCAGCTAGTAGTGACGGTTTGGCATCATGTTTTACCAAAAACTTACTGCAAGATTGACATCCGAAATCAAGACTGAATTACTGATTGCTAACGGTTGAGCGCTCAGACGATTGAACTGCTGCTCGAGCTGAAAAAGTTGGGATTTAGTTTCGCAAATAAGCACTTATCAATGCCATTGGAACACATCACTTAGCAGAAACGACTGAAAATCACCGAACCTGTGGTCCATGTCTCATCACTACGTCATGAAGCGAGTGAGCCGCCATTGGTAATTCTCCTTCTATAGAGCCAAGCATTATGTGGAGCGTTGTGAGTGGTTCCTCAGAGTTCGCATCACCAGATCTTCTTAAAAAAAAACAGCTGAAAACCAGCTTCACGGACTTTTACGTAATCACTTAACAGTTGCATGAGGAAGCCTCAAATTGGAATCTAAAATCTAGTTTTTGTTAGCTTGAATATTTTGAGATAACTTCTCCATCTTTATTGTTAGCATAGCGCAATCTGTACTTTGTTTTAATGCTGGCGGCAAATACATGAAGACTGAAGCAGAAAACGGCGTAAGCTAATTTCCATTTCATGTCAGAAATGAATGACAACGAAACTTACACAGATAAGTAAGCATACCTGGTCAATTTGGATGTGCTTTCATGCAGCGTACAATTCACAATGTGTGTATTTTGCTTAGCATTCTCAGACTCCATCAAAGCAAGACTAGCCTTTCTGAAGCAATTTGTTGGCAGACTATCAACATTTCAAGAACTTGCCTCAATTTCATGTCGATCACATCTGCAGGGAGCTTTTGAAGAGTCTGGTTTGCTGACAGAATCTTAGTGCTACGCTCGTAACTTGGATTGTGCTGCTGTGTCACCTCAATCAGTTGCACCATCAACGATACATACAAGTCCGTAAGTATCGACTCTAGACGGATCGAATCGATGGCTACGTTACCAACAATCTTCGTCAGCACCTCAAACAAGGTCTCTCATTCGCTTATTAAAGACTAATTCCTTTCGCCTACATCTCCTCTTTTCTTTTTTGTACTGCGACTGCGATTTTTCTCAAAATCGCGCATCATATCTAGTACTCGCTCATCCCACGACAATGACGCATGAGTTTTCGCGGTGGCATTTGACTGTACGGATACTGGAGAACGAGCCTTAATAGCATGCAATTGCGTATTTCAAGGACAAAAGTCGCTTACGGCTGATGGGGAAACACTTGGGCGCCGTTTTGAATCGACTGGGATATCGATGCAATTCTTCACCACCAGCATAATCTCCTTGATCAAGCATACGGAGCACAACGCCACCACAAATCGCACATTTTCCACATTTCCACTGTATGTCAGATCGCACTGAAAATCTCTGAGTAACTTGACAAATTTGCATCTACTAACACATAAAGTCTTCAGTGTGCATACGCTGTAAATGCCAAAAAAAAATTATATCGGAACATGATAGAAGAACCTAAAAAAAACAAAGTCTTAGACAAATGTGGACCTATGAAGAAATATATCCATAAAGTTACAGTCATTCTCCTCAAAAGGTAAGGGACGAGAGAGGTGCGGATGGGGCGAAAAGAAAACCAGAAGGATCTAAAAGGGGACAAAAGGATAAAGGATAAAGGATTCGGCGTCTTCAATACCCTTTGAGGGCATACGCCGAACGCACACACTAACTTCATAGTCGAAGAGGCAAATGTATGCGTGCGAGCCTATTACAGTGACTTGCGGGGGCCAGCCGTTTTCAAGTCAGTGCTTTTATCCTCCCAGATTACTCTGGTACCTTACCAGCCCGGAGGGTAGAGGGCTTGGTTGGCCCAGGGGCGGGGATCGAACCTGCGTCCGATCTGGTCATAGCGGCGCCTCATACCACTACGCCACTCGTCCCCCCTAAAAGGGGACAAGGATGGAAAATTCGATGAGTACCAGGAATGCTTCCAAAGCAAACCCGATTTGTTTTGTCACTGGCTACACAAAAAGTAAATTTTTCGGGGAAGGAGAGGGGGAGACGAGAGGGTTTTCGAATGAAGAGGGGCATGGCATTATTTAAGCTCTTCAAAAAATGGCATGTATTCTACATTTCTCGCGGGCCTGTGATAAACTGATACAACAGAACGTAAATTCAATTAAAATTTTGAAAGTTACAAAAAAATCAAAATAACGTAAAAAGAGGTCTTTCGCACAAATCCATGTAGACTACGTTCTCAATTTCGCGACTTATTTTCGAACGGAGAAGAGTATGCTGCATTCACTATTATCATAAGATCCCTCGTTTTCAACTACAACGAGCATCTCTTAGAAACACGCTACTTACCCATCCTCTCACGGGCAATAACCCCTTTTCGTCCATGTCGATTCGCCAGGACATCTTTCCGTCCATGAAAACTTTCTTGATGTGCATCAGCTGATGTAGGTGAGGTGTGATAAATTTTCGCGAAGCATCAGCGGCCGATGAAACCACCCTAGAGTTTTCGCAAAGATGACTAATGCCTGCATTAAACACATAAAATCAACATAGCACTTACCTATGTTCTACCATAGCTACGACTACGTCATTGATAGTGATGGTGTAGCTAAGCGCTAGTTGGTTCAAAGGCAATCCATCAAGCTGTGTCCAATCCAGACGTCGACTCTGAACTCAACTTCAACACAATGACACATTCAACTTGGACAGGCATACATGGTAAAAGCTGTAGAAGAACGCTTGTGGTACGATGTCCATTGGATTGATGTAATCTTTGCTGGCCAAATCCCCAGTCTTGCGATCTTTCCTTTCACGATGCACAGAGAGTAGCCAGTGATACAGGTCAACTGAAAAACACCGTTAATGAAGCATCATAGAAGCAATTAGTGAAGGACCACTCCTTTCCCGCAAATGAGTCGCGAAGTTTCAACGGCCTACATGAGTTATGAAATTGTGGATCTTCTTTTTTTGTTCATAGATAAATCGATTCCATAATAACTTTTATCCTTCAAAATTCAGATTAGCTTTGTAAAGAAATATTCGAGGCATGGCGGCCGCCTCGCGATTGTAGCTCTCGAAAATTCTAGGCATCCTAGAAATCCCACAGGGTGTGTAATGCCGCACCCTTTCAAATGAGAAGGACTTGCCCCCCCCCTCCCCCCTCCCTCCCCCCCCCCCCCCAAAGAAAAAATTCCTCGCGCCTCTACTGGAAAATATATACAGGGTGTCCCAAAAAATGTGCACATGTTTGATGGTTGATAACTCTCCTGCGTTAATGTCTTTCGCCGATCTTCAGGTACTATTCTGTAGAGCTGGCTTCAACTTACAATTAGATTTAAGCGTGGAGCAAATCGCCAATCGCTGTTCGTTACTGTAAGATTACGGCTCGACTTCCAGCATAGGGAATTATGAAATAATTCGTCTGACGATTTTTCTTTTCAAAATATGTGTAAACTGTGTACAGTCGCTTCATTTCATATGATCATGTGTGTCATTGCACACACAGTTAACCTTTGGCGTCCCCATCCTGGATTCGTGGGAGAAACAAGCCTTCAGGTAAGTGTTTCCAAGGAGTTCTTAGCATTTTCTTTCCTTTTTAGTTGCTAGTCACCTCAAATTGATGTAATCAATAACAATCGGTAAGTCTCTTGCGTTTTTGCGATTGCAAATCCAGGATGCGGACGCCAAAGTGGACTGTGTGTGCAATGGCACACATGATCATATGAAATGAAGCGACTGTAACAGAGTTTTCGCACATACAGATTACATTACACCATTTTTTAAGAGTTTTGTGGGCTTTTTCAACGGTGTACCCATGTTTCTGACAAACATTAGAAAAGCATTTGCTACGGTTTGACTGGAGTAGTCAGGAAAGAAGCACCAGTAAAGTACAAATTTCATATTCGAAATCAGCGACTTTGATGAGCCATAAGACTTTTTGGCTTGCCTGGTTTTCTTTCTAGGCAGAATATGACTTCCAATGGCCTGAAATCCTTATCGAAGTTCTTACCGTAATCCTGCATTATTGAAAGTGATGAGCTGACTTCGTGAGCTCCATGAACGGGATGAGAATAGGTGCAATAAAGTTGCATCTTTCAAAGACCAAAATCACGACTTGAAAATTTGGTCGACTTATGTGGTAAGTAGCAAGAATCGCGGGTTCTAATCTACCCGGTGAATGATCCCTAGTAGCTCTGGCAATCTCGAATGAAATATAATCATTAGATGTGTTTTGATGGAATCATTCCACATCTCAGGGCCGCGTACACTAACATCCCCGCCAGGGAGGGGATCGCAGCTTGAAAGAAAGTCATATCCTGAAGCTCCGAATATTGGATTTCACGTGCCTACCTATCCATAAGTATTCCCACCATCCATCACTATGAACGTAAACAGGAGCGAGAACCTGCTACATGCAATGTACACATTTCTCAGCTTTTTCACGATTCCCTGATGATCCCCGGCGGCCGATCGTCCGATCGTCTTTTCTTCATAGCCATTTTTTTTTTCAAGATTAACATTAACCTCCCAAATTGTACTGATTATGTAACCCAACTGTGCTAACAAGGGAAGGATACCAACATTAGTAGGCAATTGGAGATGTATATTATTAGATGCGCCTGCGAACGCTGGCTCCAAATCTGCTTTCCTTTTTTGCGGAATAAGTTTCCGAAAGAAGTTATGAGCGTTTGAATATCCAAATTTGCCAAGCATTGAGTGGCTTAAAATCAGCGAAAAGCTTTAAACAAGACGTATACGATTTCGACCGGCTTTGTTCCTTCCTTGCAAACAATATACTCGATTCAAAAATATTTCCCACTTTCCGGTATTTTGTACAGTTTTCGCCAATTTGAGGCCACCTAAACCATGACAAATTTGGATATTTGAACGCCCGCAACTTCTTTCGGAAACATGTTCCGCAAAAAAGGCAAGTAGATTTGGAATCGGCGTTCAAAGGCGCGTCTACTGATATACATCTCATCATCCATCGCCGATTAATGTTAGTATCCTTCCCTTGTAAGCATGTTGCTGATGAAAACAAATGAATTTTTGAAATATCGAATTTTTCGATAATCCCCAACTTTTAACTTGTTGTTTGTCACTTAACTTGTTGTTCACATGACTCCAACACATCATTGTTCTTATCAGCAACATTACTGGCACTGTTGGGTTAAATAATCAGTACAAGTTTTCATCTTCGAAGTGAAAAAGCTGGTTGACCGCCGGGGATCATCAAAGGATCATACAAAAAACTGGGAAACGCGGCTTCTACAGCTTCTCACTCTTGTTAGTATGCTCAAAGTGAAGGATGATGGGAATGCTTACGGATAGGTAGATAGCGTGAAATCCAGATAGCGATCCCCGCCCCGCCGGGGATGTTGGTGCATGCGGCCCTGAGTCACTCAGATCCCTCACTCAGCTTCTTTTTAGATCGCGTGCACTTGGTATCCCTCAAAGGCATTGCGTACCCAGGATTTCCGTTCGGGGGGGGGGGGACAAAAATTTTTTTTTGATGCGGCGTTAGCCACGCACTCCGAAAATTTTTTTGCTATGCTTATCAAGATTTTTGCGGTAGCTTAACCCCAAAATTTCAAAAAGGGGCATGGCGCCAGCCATGCCCACGAAAATTTTTTTTATAAAAACTGAATTTTTTAAAAATTCAAAAAATTATTCTAATTATTTACAAGTATGAATATAAGTCATTTGCGCATTTTTGTAACTCATGTAGGGGACTTTCAACTTCGCGACCACACTCGCAGCGGAGGGGGGGGGGTACCACCCCCCCCCTCCTCCTCGATGCGCCATTGTTCGAAGGGTAAGATAGCCCTTCCATCTCAAGGCTGTCAAAGTAACAAATAAATGGAACCTTTTTCCTGTGCCGATGGTCGCTGTTGACTTGTTGTTCCGTTACCAGTGAGATTCTATAAGGGAGAAGACTGTCAAAAAGCAGGTGATACTGTTTGTGCGGGAAAACACGCTTACCCTGCTGCCGGTACTAGCATTTCTGCGATGTTTCATTTCCGGCTTCTCAAGGTCGTCCATAGGTATGCGGACTTCACGAGCAACACTTCCTGGATCAGCTCTGTACTTTCGAGCTTCGACATTCGAAGCGAGCTGCGAGGGGCACACTATTTCTAAGAGGTCGTTTGCCACGAAAGTGGACTCACTTTGACCTGCTGACAGATGTCCGTATGCCAGTGACTGAGTAATGCCATCAAAGCTGTTTTTCTATTTGCTTTCTCCGAAAACTGTGGATGTGTTCCCGGCGTCAAAGAAGAAGTAGAAAGCTTTTCCGCGGATGAGGGTAGGGCGCACCATCTGGGTGGTATTTATATATCTCTGATCGGGCGCTGTTTCACCATTATAGATAAGGCGACTAGGCGATTTTATATACAGTATGTCCGAAAAGGTGATGTTGATGTATGTTGGTGTTGTTCGATCATCGATAACTCTTCTTATGTCTTTCGCCGAGCTTGAGGTACAATTCTGTAGAGCGAGGTTCAACTTAGATTTACAGTGTGGTCCGAATCATCAATTACTCTTCATTTATGTAGGATTACGGTATGAACCTCGAGAAGGGTTTTAGGAAAGTGAAGCTTTTTACTCCAGAAGGAAAACCAAACCAGCCAACTCTCGTACTGAACTAATCGAAGTCGCTGATTCTAAATATGAATCTTCATGAGTTATTTCAGTTTTAGGGTTACATTTGTTTTTCCATTGTTCGTCAGATGTATACAACATTACGAGCTCAAAATCTGGCGCAAAGATGAGTAGTGAAATCAGCACGCCTAAAAGTACTGCTACACAAATTTCGAGATTTTTTTTGCATTTTTCCATCAAAACGCCTATTCCACAGTGGCTTATAAAGATTCAATAATCCTACAGTGACGAAGAGTGATTAGTGATTTGGTCCATACTGTAAACCTAAGTTGGCCTACAGAATGGCACCTCAAGCTCGGCGAAAGACAAGAAAGCAGAAGAGTTATTAACGATAAAACAGTGTCCACATCTTTTTGGGACATCCTGTATAATAGTAAATCTGGGCCCCTTCGGAGAGTAGGAGATTGATGAATACGTCCTAGGGACGGTATAGTGCGGACCCCGTCCAGTTTCCCAAAGGTGCCTGCGTGACGCACCCGCAACGCATGCCTTCAGTGCGCCTCTTGTCCTAGCTTCTGATGTAATCCTCGCTTCTCTCTCACTTTCTTGTTTCTGTTGTACTATATTCCCTCTATTTTGGGTGTAACCAATCCGCGATAACCGGTAATCAGATTTCAAGTGTTGTAAAAGTCTGACAGCTTCAATCTTCACAAGGGAATGGTCAGAAGTCGAAGTAGCCAAACCGCACCAAACAAGCTGTATATCATTCGATGCAGTATGAAACGCTGACTTCGAATCTGTCTTCCTTATCTGCTTATCGCTTCTGTGAAGGAAGCTACAAGCAGTTTTATTATGAAAAAATGGTACATAAAAACTGCGAAATGAGCACATTGCTGCAATTTCAGCTCAGCTTTAGGCTTTGGAGTTTGAAGTAAGTTAGCTGCATGTTTTAGCCCAGCATCAAGCCGAACATGGAACATGTACGGCCAAATTTTCACTTTCACGCATAATTTAGCAAAATATTGGCTTTTAATAGCTTATAGCTTCGTCGCTTCGTCCAGAAAAGCGATAAGCAGATAAAGAAGACAGATTTAGAGTCAGCGCTTCACGCTGCATCTAACGGTATGCAGCTTGTCTGGATTAGCCACTTCGATATTTGACCATTCCCTTGCCAGTAGATTGTGTTTTTCCTTTTCTCCCGAGAAACTGAAGAAGCTTCTCATATGAAATAAGAGTCCCTTTCGGTTAAATTGGTGTAGACAGTGTCTCAAATCAAAATTAAGCCTTTTGTGAAGCCGGCAGAAATTTGCTTACAGAAACGTTCTTTCAGAAATTTCTACCATTCTAGTTTCTACGTCTACGAAGAGAAACATTTTAAGAATGCTGTAGTTCTTTTTCTGCTCCGCGTATACTTATTAACGCTTATCCATCAGTATTTCAAATTTGCATCCATTGTTTGAGTTTGAGGTACTAATGGAGGTTGCGTGTTTTAACCTTGCATAGGTTTTTTTCGAAGTGAACCTAGAGGTTTCCACTTTTCAATTCTCTCCTATGTGCGCGTGAATATGCTCTACTGCTCATGAGTGAGGTGAGAAGCATCAACAAGGGTGCGCGCTGCGGATGCGCAGCAGAGGTATCTATGGGAAACTGGCTAGGGTCTACACAATATTTACCTCCCAATCTATAATCACTGTGATTGATAAAGAATTTGGCAAACCTAAGTAGAGTATGAAGCAGCAAACATGAAGGGCAGCCAGCCAAATTCGGCCCCAGTTCCTTCACTTTCAGCATGACACTTTTGCTGATGGCCGCGGTAAAAATGCGATCATCAGTGCAATCCAAAGCCATCTTCAAAACTTGAGCAAACGTCATATCGATAGTCGCACTCCAGTTTAGAGAAAACTGCAATAAAACTCTTGTGAGAGAGCTCTTTAGTTTAACACTTACATCACTGATACTATCAGCTAGCTTTTCGGATGTATGCAACCAAGTTGTCAAACAAGGTGAAAGCACATCATATAGAGGAAATTCATTCTTGCCCGTCATTTCCAAAGGACGAGCCATCACTACGAGCGTACTGACTGAACCAACCTCAACCTTAAACATTCAATTTATAAAGCTTAGAAGAGCTTTGAGCGTATCACCAAATACGCAGGATTTGCTTCAATTAGAACTGACTTTCACGAAAAAGATGCTGCCAGAAGTGATAAAATACAGTTCACTTTACTCTTCTTGGATAGAGCCATGTGCAAGGGCGGTATTCAACCTCCTCATCTCTGATCAGGTGCTGTTTTGACATTATAAACGGAGGGCCATCGGTTTATGGCAGAGCGTACCCAGGATTTCGGCTCGGGGGAGGGGGGCCCACGCACCGAGAAAAAATTTTTGGTATGCTTTTGAAAATTTTCGCGGGCCCATAACCCTAAACTTTCAGAAAAAGGGGGCGTGGTTGAGGCCACGTCCCCGAAAAAAAAATTTGGTAAGGCTAAATTGAATTTTTGAAAGATTTTAAAAATTATTTTTGTTATTTACAAGTGTAGAGTCATTTGCACAATTCTATAACCTATGTAAGTAACTTTCAAAAATTTCGCGACCCGTTCTCAGGGGGAGGAGGCCGAAACCCCCTCGGTACGCCACTGGTTTATAGGTGTTGTTTGAAGGTGATTCACTTTCTATAGGGCAGCCTGTCTATCCACCTCATCTTGGGTCTACCTCTGAGTCTCATGCCTCGTGCCTCCACCGCCAGGGCTAAGCATTGTGGTGTGACTTTCAATCCTTCTGCGCACATGCCCATAATAGTGTAGCCTCTTCTCCTACTTTTTTGGGCAACTGGAGCTATTTTTATTCGGGCTCGTATAGTGTCATTACGGATGTGGTCCTTGTGGCTCCCTCAGTCCCCGTACGGCCAGTACTCACTGCCATATAGTGCTGCTGGGCGGATAACCGTCTGGTACAGTTAACACTTAAGTTGCACTGGCATTCTCTTGTCGCATAAAACTCCTGATAATGCTCTCCATTTCATCCATGCTATGTTCACCCTGCCTGCGACCTCCTCTTGTAGGCCTCCTTCCGCTGAGATGTTTCCGCCTAGGTATTTGTATATATTGTCTTCCTCAGATCTTCATCATCAATGCTTATGATAACAAAAGTTTGTTTCCCCACTTCCATATTATGTCTTCCTGGTGCTGAGCTTTAGGCTATACAGCTACAGCCTGTTTCTCCAGTTTTGCATTTGTACCTCATCTTGTAGATCCTTTCTGGTACTTACCGGCTATCACATCATTTGCGGAGAGAAGGGTCCAGGGAGGTTCACGTTTGGGTGGTTCCATCACGGCGTTCATCACATTGATGAAGAGCAAGGGAGAGAGAGATGAACCTTGGTGTACTCCAACACTGATTCGAAATTCTACAAATTTCCCTGCAGCTGTTTGCACGCGACTTGAAGCGTTGTGGTAGATCAACTTTATCCAGTGGACAAACTCTTTTGGCACCTTGTGCCTTCGCAAGCCCAAAACATGATTTCATGGGGCAGCTTCTCACTCAGACATTTTCTGTAACGACCCGCGCGCTCGTGGTCGGCTAGGCAAGCATCATGCCGGGGCTGGCCCTGTCATGCTAGCGCGGGCCAGCAAGGGTTTAATGCGTGCAGCGACCCCGTCACCCAAACGAGGGCCGACCTGTGTTTCGATACCCTTATTGGCCCGCGCTAGCATAACATGGCCAGCTTAGTGACGAACTCAAAGTTTTGGGGGACAACCCAAGATAAGATAAAAACATCCAACCACATACACTTGACTGAGGATCAAGTCAGGGAGTGTCATGCAAGAAATTATGTCAATAAGTAAGGTAACCGTGTTCTGTTATTCCCAAAAGCCAAACGTTACCCCTCGTGCACGTTTCCATGGCACCTCTACCACTGCGTCTATCTCATGCGAGTAACTCTTGCGCTTACAACGCGTGTTGATCATGTGGATGAGCGGCCCGCTGTTAATTTCAATAACGCCTGTATGGGTGCGCGGGCCGTGGATTCGTGAGCCCATACGGCTGTGCGGGCACCTTCTCGACTGTGAACGCGGGTCGCCAGGGTCACATCTATGGACCGTTACTGGGCCTGCTGCATGTAACGCTTGTATTTGGACGTCGCGGCTCAGTAGCGAAGCGCGACGGGCGGCCGCCGCGATTGTCTGAGTTATCGGTTTTCTCCAGATCCAGGAAGGCTGCACGCGTTTCCTTCTGTTTCTCTCTATATTTCTCCATCAGCCGAGCCGAGTGGATGGCGTCGCTCGTACCTACTCCTTTCAAGAATCCGCACTGATTCGGTGACAACTCTATGACATCTCGAAAACGTGTTTCGATTATTTGCTCGTAAATTTTTAGAGTGTGGCTCATCAGTCTGATTGGTCGGTAGAATGCGCAGTCTGCTATGTCTTCCTTGTTCTTCCATATCGAAATCATTGTGCTGGTGAGTCACGAGGCATACTCTTGCTCCTTATGACTTGATTGAGGAGACTCGTTAGCCATGTGGCTCCGGACAGTCCACATATTTTCCAGATCGCTTGGCATGTCGTCTGGATCAGTCGCTTTGCCATACTTTGTTCTTCTTACAGCTAGCCATACTTACTCTTCGGTGACTGCTGGTACGGGTCCTTCTATGGGACTGGCTTCTGGGATGGCGTTGATGGTGCGACCTGTCGTGGCCATCTCTTCGAAGCAGGTTCTTCCATCTTTCAGAGATATCCTCTGCTTTTCTCAACGTCCTACCAAGTTGTTGACATAGAAAAAGTGCTCCATTTCTTTTGTGGATTCCGCGCTTCTTCTTGCTATTCGGTATATCTCACGTTCTCCTCGCAAGACTCTAGCTGATCGTAGAGCACTTTCATGTACACCTGTTTTGCCTTCTTTACCGAAACCTTCGCAGCGTGTTTGGCTTGTTGGTATGTCTGGCGATCGTCCTCCAATTTCGTCTTGTGCCATTGCTGGTACGCATCCCTTTTCTCTTTTATGACTTTTTGCACTTCGTCATTCCACCACCATGTTCTCGATTAATCCTTCTTTCCCTGACTTTGTACTTCCCAGGATCACTGGTGTCGATCTTTTGATCTACCCCAGGATCGCTCTAGGTTCTCTTGCAGGTTTGGTAGAGTACTTAGCAGTGTGTTTCGCCGCGTTGTTGATTTTCAATCTCCACCACTTGATGCGTGTCTGGACTCTGTGGCTGTCCTAATGTGCCTATCCATTGTTATTTTGATGCCGAGAAGCAGTGTTTATGTTGAGGTGTGCAGTTCTCACCGAGGATGACTTTGCAGTCCTTTACGTTTTTGAGATCACGCTGTCGGATAGCCCAGAAGTTTATGTGTTCGTCGGTCACCAATGGCATATGTAATGAGATAATCATCCTTCTTGATATAGTATGTGTTCGCCAAGACCAGATCATAAGTTGAGAATTTGATTCAAAAACTGCCTAGGTGAAAGGAAACTTACTTTTGCTTTGTGTAAATACAACGTCTTTACCAGTGGAAGCGATGCTGCCTTATCTGAAGCAGCCACAGAATCGCTGGAAAACATTTCGCATATAGTATGCCTCTAACAGAACTGAAACTGTCAGATTACCTCTGCTGTGCTTCTCGTCGCTCAACCATGACTTCCAAATCGGGAATTTGGAAATCCACTACTACTCTCGGTTCTACATCCAGTAAACGAGACGCGAGTGCTGTTTTTCCCCAGTTCACCTGTTTACCAACTGTTTTTCCTGATGGTCTTTTTGGCGGCACTAACGACAAAAAAACGTCACAGAACTCACAGTTGCATTGAAATTCACTCTGTTACCGGCAAAGTCGCTTACTAGTATTGGGGTAAAGTGCAGCAACTGAGCCGAGAGCACAGAGGAGTGAGCGTGAAAAGAAGTACCTTTGTCGGCCTGATGATTGTCAATGAAAAGAAAGAAATCCGATGCGAACCCAAAAAAATCTACTCACAAACTCCTTTATAGTTCCAGAAGATATGGAAGCTTTCTTCAATAAAACTAGACCCAGATTAGCAGCTGTTCTGACTTCACCAGATCCGCTACCGCTGATAAGGCTGCACTCAAACATTGATATATGAACCCGTGGTAGGTCGACCGAAACACCTAGCGCTGCTCCTGTTTCCGCTGGGAAAAAAAATTATAAATTTAAGTAAACTGAAAAATAGGTCTGACACCATACATGAGGTGAAGAGTGATTCTGTAAGTGGTTGGCGATGTTCTTTACCCACACATTCCCTATAACAGATTTGCGCAAGCATTGCTGGATGTAATGATGATGCACACCGAGAGATGTCTTTTATGAAGCGATCCATCACTTCAAATGCAAGAGGGGTAAAGAAGACCTAAATTATGCTTAAGATCTGAGAATAAACAGAAGCAAAAACAAAAAAACATGGACGATTATAAATCTCAAAGGCACCGTCCACCCAAATTCTCGACTTCCAGGTTCTGATCGTTCCGGGGTTCTCGTGTCCCTGATTTCGAATATGAAGTCGAGAATCCGCGAAAACTCCGGCAATCCCCTTTCCTGAAAACACCCAGGCCGGTTTTTCGGAACGCTTATTGGATGGCCGCGCGCGGATGGGCGGGCATTACTGGAGGGCGCGGTGCCCGTGGGGTTTTCATGCCTCTTCACTTTTCCGGAGCGATTTTCTCGCTTCCAAAGCGACATTTTGGGCCGCGACTTAGGCATTTGGTTGCTTGACAGTGGGTTTTACTATCGTAAGCTGCCAAAAACTCAAAACCCCTAACTTAGGGTGGACGGTGCCTTCAAGACTACATAATGAAAATCTGAATCACCTCCATAACAGAAGCTACACAACCATTTATCGCAAAGCTGCGATGAGAAGATTTGGCCGGTAAGTCATTATTCTGTTGCCCTCCAAACACCTCACAGGACAGCTCCGACTGAGTTCTTGATGAGCCTTTCCCAAGGTCTTCTACTCGAAGATGTACTTCAGCAACTCCCTCTTGAGCCTGAATGGTACACCAACTACATAGATATAAACAGAGTATATTATTAACGAGCGCAACCTCAAAAATATCGAAGGTCCTAGACTCAACCCATTGAGCAATGTCACCAGGTGCGCCAAATTGTGGTGCTTCTGATTCTGAAAACGCAAAAATGATACATGAAATACTGGAAAAATAATAAGCAATCCATCCAAACTTGTGCTTGGTGGGATCTCAATTTAATACAATAGCGAGGCCTCCAGCTAAGTACCTGTACAAGTCCCATAGCGAAAGGTGTATTCTGAAGCGAAACATCGCTCCGGAAAATGGATACGTCTGGATCGCCACGCCCACCAACGGCGATTTACAGGTAACGAGCCCGAACTGGGACCCTACGACAACTAAGAATGTCGATAGTCCGAATTTTGATAAACCGAATTGTCGACATTTAATTACCATAGATAGTTTTGGGTTTACCACCTTAGACGGCCACGTTGATGGGCGATCCCTGCCACATCTACGTTCTAGAACAATTTCGCCACGAAATTCAAGATTTGCAACAGGACTCGGTGAGCTGCTTATTAGGGGCCTCGCTACTGTACTCCATCAAAATCTACCCAATCTCAGACTGAGGTGGACGGTGCCTTTAGTTCAATGAATCTGTAATCAATGTACAATTTTCATCATCACTTACTTGCTTTGGCTACCTCAAATTGATTGAGGTATTCGGCATAAGCTTCTATGAGTGGGCGCATTGACAACAAGCATTTCTCCGCCTAAATATCCAAATTTTAAAAATCAATCACCAAAAAAAAACCCACGTAAAATTGGGATTAGAATTAAAATAAATGCTGAGTTACCGGCATGGGCAAAGTATTAGACATAGCGGAATGGAAGGATGCCGTTTCTACTGAAGGTATTTCGCTGCCAGCGCCTGTGTTCCTTGACTGTGAGCTCGTTTTTCGCGAAGCAGTGAAATATTGATGAAGTTCTTCACGAAACAGTCTACAATGTCCTTTCATCAAAATTCATCAATTGCTGGTTTGACTCACTTCCTCTCCGGATGTAGAATATCTTGAAACACTCCTGGTTGACCGTTCGTATCTGCATTCATAGAATGTACGCACAGTTGACGATCGAGATGCGTTAGGAAAAATTGCCCTCTGAAATAAGTGCAGTACTCATAGAACATTACAGTCGTGATTCTAACAGTTTATCCTCCTTTGCCATGAACGCAGTTCCGCCATAGCAGGCACAGCCCCAAACACTGGTTCGATCCCAAAGAAACTGTAAACGTCTCGTTGCCCTATCATGCTTCAAGAGGAAAGACTGCCGAAGAACTTCCAGATGGCTGGAGTCGTAGGGGAATGGAAGCTGCAAGCAAATTGGTAACATCAGTAACAGGAGGCAGCATTTTTCACTTTCACGTTCTCTGAGGCGGGTATATATCAATCTCTCGATTCCCTGATAAAGCGCTGTTTCAAAATTATAAATTAACGTCCAATCAGTGATATGCGCTTACTTATCACATTCACGACAATACGACCCACAGGTGGGTCGTACGTGTTCTGCCGTTTTGGACAACACGACCCACCGGTGGGTCGTAAGCTTCCTGAAGCTCTAGCTTTGCCAGTAGATGATGAAATTCTACGGAGTTCTGATATATGACCGGGGACACCTTGGCGAAGCTCCAGCCAGAGTGGTCCGGCTTCGGGATACTGTATTGTAATATTACGGTAAGTATACCGTAGATAGAGGTAAGGCACAGACTTTGGCTCAAATTATTCGCAGAGTGGTGCTGTTTTTGAAAATTCATGTTTACGTGCAAGAGAAATACACTGAGGGTATGAGACTGATGTGAGACCATCAAAAATTATCGATTTTATTGATTTTTCGCATCGTTCATCCCAGGAAGCTCAAACCTTAAACATATAGGTTTTTTAGCATGCTGATTACAAAAATGATAGTCTCAACTCCTGATACCGCCTTTTTACATCAGTTTCTTAATTCTTACGAAAATTCCATCGTACTGCTACTATAGTTAGAACGACCGAAAAAATTCGTCGAACGAATGAATTTCGAATAATCGGCTTTTGAAAAATATTCGAACGAACGAATATTATTCGATTTTTAATTTTCAGATTATTCGAATTCGAATATTCGAGTAATGCTACATTTCAAAATTCGAATGAACGAATATTCGAATAAATGGGGTTGGTCGAGCATTCGACTATTCGAATAATCGAATAATTACATATAGTCGAATATTCGACTATTCGAATAATCGAATAATTACATATGGTCGAATATTCGACTATTCGAACAATTCGAATAATCTAACACCTCAAAACAATGCTGGTTTTTTCTTTGTTGCGGTTTTCTGCAAAAAATTAATCGCTAATTTGATCTTTGTAGCTGATAATTATATGTGTAGCAAGTGGTAGGAAGACTTCGTTATTGTCGTTGGTCAGGGTTCCACTTAGGAAACAGAAAAACTTCACCCAAACATGTAGTTCGAGGTGTTCATGGTCTTTTAAGATGGCTACTAAGACTTACTCAGTAATCGTTTCAAATCCGCATCTATTTTTCCTCAGAAGTTTCTCCCGAAGCTACACAGAACTTTTCCCAAAGCTGAAGATTTTACATGGAAAACATTTTACATTAGGTAGTTCTTTGTAATTTGATGGTAATGGTCAGCATTGCGCTAGTTCTAAGACTAGCACTGGAGGAGCACGAGGAAGGCCTACAGTAATAGAATATATGAACCTCTGCTGTTGTACCGAAAGTTTTGTCCGTTTTTTCAAATTAGTATCAAACCACGCACAATAAAGACCTGAATGAGTTTCAGCATTCGATGCAGCTTTTCCTTCTCTTTTTTTAAGAATACACTTCCGAACTACAATCATGTATGCTTTCTTTGACAATTGCCAAAATTCTCCATCCGTCAATTTTATCTGCTCAAAGTTAGGCTACTTTTTTTGAATTTCATTTCAAAGTTTCGGAAAGGACTAATATGGATCAAACAGAGCAATTCTCGGAATACAGGGTAATATTTCAGATTCTCTTAATTTGCTGTTTTAACTTAGAAAACATTATATCTTCGGAAGTCTCGATTTCTGGCAAAGTCATGAAACACGCAACTGCAGCAAATACACGAAAGCTTTTGAAACTTTTGCGAATTGAAATATGGTTCTTATCAAACATTATTTACGCTACATAAGCAAGTTTGATTTGCTTTGAAAAGTAGCTTTTTGGAATTTTCGGTACTTTTACGTGGTAAACGTAATCAAAAAGGCGCAGTTTTCATCAAACAAATAATTATAACGAGCTTGGTAAACATGGCCCATGTAATCTATTAGGTTGTCCGGAAATTAATGCAGGTTTTGAATTCCAACCGCAATAAGTCATACACTTCTCATTTCTAAGTAGGTTGCAAGGTACCGTTCGATAGAGCAAAGCAAGCTCTACAAGATGGCAGTCATGATTTAGCAACAGCTCCAATCCACCACGAGTTTCGAGCCAAAAACTAAAAAGATTTAACTACCCAAAAAATTGAGAAAAATAGTAATTCAGTTCATAAAAATCCTATAAAAATTCTAACTCGCTCACGTAAACACTGTCCACATAAGACGTATATGTACGCCGTTGCCGTATTTTTTTCTCGGTTAGAAACCAAAAAAACGAAGATTTTCATGTTTCTGCCAAAGTGATCCTGTGCCGTTCCCACATGAGTAGTTGTATACTACAAACTGTAGAAGTACAAACGTAAATTTTCAGCTCTCTACAAGCTTTAGTTCTCGAGAAATATCGAATACAGTTTTCCTAGTCATGTGGTTCAAGCTAAAATTCGAATTTCTCGAGAACTAAAGCTTGTAGAGAGCTGGAAATTTACGTTTGTACTTTTACAGGTTTGTAGTATACAACTACTCATGTGGGAACGGCACAGGATCACTTTGACAAAAACATGAAAATCTTCGTTTTTTTGGTTTCTAACCGAGAAAAATATACGGCAACGGCGTACATATACGTCTTATGTGGACAGTGTTTACGTGAGCGAGTTAGAATTTTTATAGAATTTTTATGAACTGAGTTACGATTTTTCTCAATTTTTTGGGTATTTAAATCTTTTTAGTTTTTGGCTCGAAACTCGTGGTGGATTGGAGCTGTTGCTAAATCATGACTGCCATCTTGTAGAGCTTGCTTTGCTCTATCGAACGGTACCTTGCAACCTACTTAGAAATGAGAAATGTATGACTTATCGCGGTTATTCAAAACCTGCATTAATTTCCGGACAACCTAATAAAAAGGGTACAATGTAGCTAAAGGCTTGCTCTACATGACATTCATCAGCGCTCTTTGAAAACATCAGTATAAAATTTTTTTAAACTCAGTAAAATTTTGGCGTTACTTCTGAGCTGCTCAGGAAGCCGTGGCGATAACATTGCAAAGACAGAGTAGATCAGAGAGCAAATACAGCTATAAGAAAGAAGATAAAAATCTGTATCAAATCGTACCTAAGTTGATCATGGATCGGTGTTCTGTGAGTTCTAGTGAGCGATGAAAAAAAACGGACAAAACTTCCAGGATAATCTAATACTTCTGTGCTCATCTAAATCCAGAAAAAGAAAACTCTTGGAAATATCTGTATATTAGCTGATAATCTAATACTTGTCGGGAATTATCAATCCCCGAGTTTCACAGTTTCTGGTGTAGGATTGAATTCTCACAAATCTGTTTTAGTTGCATTTTTGAGGTTTGTACTTTTGTTGTAAGGGATCTTCCGCATCTTTTACTTACTCAGGTTCAATAATTATTGTTCAACCTACACGCCTACTCGGAGTAGTATTAGCAATGATGCAAAGTTCGTAGAGGAATAATACTTCGAGTAGGCGCCTACACGCGTACTTCATGTAGGCGTGTAATTCTAACATTAGTTTTCTACGCCTCCTGACTATAACGGCAGCTGATTTGAGTATAATGACTGACATATAGGCTGCCGCCACAAGTCAAGCGGCTCAGGTCCTCACGATCGCCTTACTCTGGCCTTGCGTTGTAACGTATCTTTAAGGTATTTTGACACGCGCGGTGATTAGGCTGGCAAGGCAAATGAAGATCTCGAGATGAAGGAATGAATGTTGCCTATACCTGCCGCCTTAAAACTGCTGGTCCTTCACATGCTCATGCAAGCTGTTTGAGGACCAGTGGTGCGTTGGGCGCCTAATGATGGCTTTGCTTCTTCACCCAATTTAGAGCTTGGAGGTATCTGCGCGTGATTACGCGTCTCAACTTCTCAGACGCGATTTCCAGAAGATAGTTCACCACTCCAAATGAATTATGTAAAGGGCTTGTCATCACTATGCTCTGGCATGACTCGCGACTCATGCTTCAAAAGGGAAGCTTGCTAGCCATTTTGTCATTTGATAATTCATTTGTGTGATTGACCGATCGGGGACATACTTTTACTCAGTGTAGAACAGTTAAAGTTTCCTATTCACATCGAATGTTCGAATGAATGCTCTTAAATATTCGAAATTTCGAATGACTGTCTTTCAAGTTGGCTCGAATATTCGAATATTCGAATAACCGTCTTTTGAAATTCCTCGAATAAACGAATATTCGAATAACTCATTTTTCCAAATCATCGAATGAACGAATTATTCGAATACAGGCCTTTTTCATTTATTCGACTATTCGAATAATTGAATAATTGGACTGTTTTGAATATTCGACTATTCGAATATTCGAATAGTCGAATATTTCGAATAAATTATTCGAACACGAATATTCGGTTCTAACTATAACTGCTACCGTAGTCCCACTTTGGGAAGTAGTGAACAAGGTGGACACTATAGTCGTAATCAGCATATGAAATAACCCCAAAACACATTTTTTTAATGAAAATCCATGATGTTGTGTTCGTACAGAATGTCTACCGTAACCTTAACGTATACTGCCAGAAACTGAATTAAATCATATTTGGTAATCAGCCCTTCGATAACCCTTGTGGAGAAATTCTAGGGGACATATTTTGAGTTTCTTCCAAAAAGACTACCATTTCGGACAATACGATCCACGGGTGGGTCGTAAGATTTACAAAGCGAAAAAGGCTCTGGTCCGAAACGGCAGTGATCGAAAAATCGGCCTTGTCGTGAATGTGTTACAATATTATCATTCCAAATGTAATTTTGCTTCTTTCAAATAAACGCCACATTTCGTAGAACAGAATTTTTTGAGGGATCTTGGCAGCAATTGATGCAGCAACTCATCGTCTTTCGATGAGTTTATGAACTCATTGCAGCACAGTCTATGAGCTCTCGGAAAATTACCATAGACACTACTGCAATTATGAGCTCTTTTTGCCTCTAAACTTCTTCTGCAATGTTCTCAGAAGTATTTAGCAGAGTAAAGGCATTTGCACAAAGAGAAGTACGTATTCCATGGTTACAGCTTTCTGGAGGTCCTAGCATTTGGGTATAGTTGCGGAAATAACCCTGCAGAAACTGATTGCGACAAGCACCAAAGCTAATTCTGGCTCGGATCAAATTTTTCAGGAGAATCATGTGCTAACACACAATACAGGCTCTTCCACTACCTAGTGGGTAATTACTGTCAGAAATCTAAGGCAGTAGCCTTGGCAAGCTATTATGGAGGAGTAACTATAATTTTGACCAGCCTACAAGCCCGGTTTTTTTTTCGAAATTTTTGATCCTTTTTTGAAAAAACCAAACGAAAACGAGACCCGTTTTGATGACTAATAGTAGGCTGGTAAACACAGGGCTGTACAAATTTTGGAACATTTTATTAACAAACTGAGTTATGGCATCCTAGAATGGACCTATAATTTTGTCTAACACTGAAGGACACAAAACAATTCTTTTCTCCTTCGCAAAGCTTGATATAATTAGAATTTCAAACCACTGAATTTCAGCAGGCCTATCTCCAACCCAAACACGTCAAACACTAGTAAATCATCAAAAATTGAACTCCAAAAAGTGGATTAGCTTAAACACGATTAAACAAAGCAAACGAGCGTTCACGACTCGATTAAATCTCAATTTTCCAACCACAGCCTGGGGCAAATTTGCATAAATTATGATTATTTTAACCTCAAATACTTTACATATCGAAAGAAAACCACCCGTTAGAAAGAGGAGAAAAAGCTGCATCGAACGACATCCTAGTTCAGTGATGTTCTATGGGGTTTGAGTTACCCAAATATGAGATTTGATAGCATCAAAGAGACAATTTTGAAAATATTGAGAGCAAACTATAAAAAGAAGTGTCTATTATTTTGTAGGGTTTGCTTTGATCGAATGTTACCTGGACCTCTTAGGGGAATCACTACAAAAATCTAGAAAAATGGCGAAACCTGACCAAGGCAAAAACCTTGAGTCGTGTTCGTTTTCCAAAAGCTCTCTGATTGTGCAGCAATGAGTTCATAGCCATCATGAAATGATGCATCGAATGCAACCAGGATCTCTGACAAATCTTTGTTCCATAAAATGCGGCAACCATTTGAGAAGAGCGCAATTACTTTCGGAATGACCTGTTAGTAAATATCGCCCGCTCAAGAGAACATGGTAAGTACTCATCAAGTGTGTTCATCGTTTTAATAAGCGCCCATCGCCCGATATAATGTTAAAATACGCCAGATCAGATATCGAGAGGTTGATAAATACCAATCAAGATTTACAACAACAATACCTCGACGTCTAACGATGTCCCAGAAATGCTCGCTCGAGCACATTCAATCCACGTTGGACTTTCAGAGGGATGGAAAACTGCAAGATACAGTGTCTCAAAAAAGAATCTAAACCAAGAAGACCATCTATTCTCTCCCTAACCCTAGCTCCACTTCAAAATTTTCTCCTAAACTTCTTTCCTCCTTCTTTTTCTCCCTCTTCTCAAGTCACAGCAACTTACGTTGACGAGCTACAATGTTGGGTATCCGCAAGCATATGTGCTCCGTAAATCTTTTCTCATGAGCATTGCAAAGAGTAAATCGTAGAGGATCAACGGCAACCTAAACAGTTATCTGAATAAAATTTGTTAACATCTACAAAGCAACTTACAGTCAAAGCTGAATTTTCGTCTGCCAACGCTAGTCGAACTCCATCCACAGAGACTCGCATTTGACGATATTTCAGTCTGTAAACACTTGAATATTTCAATCTGTAGAAATTTGATGAAGGGGACTCAAAGCGGTGACTACGTACCGTTCTTCTGTCTCACAGGGACGACCCGGCTGCGAGCCCTTAGTACACGTAGCAGCAGTCTGTCCGTGCTGGCAAAACTTGAAGCGTTCAGGAACAACTTTTTCCTCATCCTTGGCAATCACTAGCAGCAGCAATGTGTCAAGAAAGTTCACCAGTGAAATTATCTAAAGAGTGTGAAGATCTCAAATAATGTCAAACCACAAAGGCAATCCACCACATAGTAGGAAGGAGGCGGGGAGGAGGGGGAGGGGGGAGATTTTGATGCAACGCAATAGCGGGGGCTCCTCTGTCAATGGTCGCCTAAAAATTACTGCGAAAGAGTAATTCTGGAGCAAAAAAATTGCTCCAGACGGAAAAAGCGGTGGTGTTGACTCCACCCAACACAATGGACCGCGTCAAAATCATCATCCCTGATTTGGGTGAAAGTGCCAGTAAGAATCGTGGCGCTGATGGCACGAACAGTTCAAACCGAATACTGACCTGAGATGGTGTACCCAAGCAACCGCCCACTTCCCCAACCAATATCTCCATGAGCCAACCGTATTCGACAACGGCCATATCCCAAGGACAGTCTTCAGATGAGAACATAGCGTGACCCCTGCGATACAGATCTATAATTCGAAATGGTGACCTGATTTCCAGACAACTACCGAAATTGTAAGCCAGAAAGAGTCATGTAGCCGTCGCTTTGGATTGCAGAAACTCGTTCGAAATAAGCGGCACAAGGCCCCACACCAATCTATAGGATAAAAAGTTTTGCGGAATCTGAATTGCAGCTCAGCTAACCTGAATCAGCGTCTCGCTGAAACCTTTTTTGATAAGAACGGCAATTTCCTCCGTGTACAACACAGGACACAGCTCTGCAAAAAATTGTTAGTACTCGCCTAAATGAAGTGTTCAGCGTGACTTAATATTAGCCATACCTTTTTCTTCAGAGCAAGGGCCATATGTGAGACAGTGCGCCCTGATGTTGAAAACTCTCATGTCAAACGTCACTTCCATTGGCCGATACTTTTCTACAGGAGCATTTGGAGCCACACGACTATAGATCGAGCGATTGGCCGCTGGATCTCCAGGTTGAGTGACATCCGTCATCTTATATGATAGTAGATACAGGGTACGCAACAGAATTGACCACTTTCACGAGCCAACTCACCGAATCGTAAAGTCCAAAATAATTGTTCTTCAACTCGATCACACATTTAATCAATGCCCCAGTAAACTGTACCTCAGATCCACCTATTTCCAATTTTACATCCATCTTATCAGGCGAAAGCTGAATTACAAAGACTTGAAGAACTAGTCAGACTGAGAAATGAGGATCAGCCTACATCTTTTGGGTGTTCTACTGGTTTGGGAAGAAATTCTTGCAGAACATGGAATGGTATATCAGATTTGAACTTCGGTACTAGTGGATGATAAGTGAATTCGATAATACTCGTGACGCTTTCTGTCCGCCAAACTTCATGCCAATCCTCCTGGAAGTAGAACTCAGCATCGCAATAAGCAAAGTCGAGTCGACCCTACATTATCCCTAGAATGTTTTCCATGTGGTGCCGGAGTGCTGTACAGATTCACATGAGCTCCTCGGAACAAAGCTGCTACCACCGAAGCTATTGCACTACCGGGTGGGTAACGCATCCGCAGCGCGAGACCATTCTCCAATCGCAAGGAATACTTCGTAGTTATCAATTCGGGCATAAAATCCTCGAAGGGCAAAGTGAATGCTGAAAAAGATCAAAGCGCCAAACTACTACATCGAGCATTTTTTCATTGCCATAATCTTTCATACGAATTCTGTTTGCCTATCTGTCATGTTCCGAGTAGATATTATCATTTCTGAACCGATCCTGGCACACATACACTTCCGAGTGGGACGGGTGCTGCAGGCGCTGCTATTCGTCATTGACCGATATCGATTTTATCGATTCCGCAAAATTCACCTACGAGGCTGGGAGTTGGCACAAGGGGGAGGGGGAGGGGGGGGGGGGAGGAGTGTAAGTGAGCATGTTGATTAAGAAAATAGTATTGATAAGGCCGGCCGGAGCCTGGGTTGCCAGCTAATCAATAATGAAGTGATCGATAGCGTAGCAATCGCATCATAGACATATTCACAAATTGAATCAATTGAGATGGTTGAGGTTGACTTGGTGACCATGTACATCCAATCCATCTGCTTCGAGACAGAAGGCTGCCACATGTGGCGATCCGAAAAAATTTTTCCAGGAAACCGCGGGGGAGGAGGGGGGAGGGGGCAGAGAGAGAGGCGGAGGAGAAATTTGTTTTGATAGAAATGAAGTGGCTACGACCATGCCCTCCACTGTATTCTTCAAATTTTACGGGGGTTTACAACTCCGACATTGCAAAAAAGGAAATTTTCTACGGAGTTTATCTAAATTTCCAAGAATTCAAATGATCTAGAGATTCAAAGTAGAAAGAAATTCTCACAATTTGTAGGCGGGGGGGGGGGGAGGGAGGGTGGGGAGGGGAGAGGGCTCAATCCGCTTCTGGTTATTACGTGTTACTCATACTAACTATACCGTAAAATCTTGTAGTGGAGTGAGTAAAATGTGGCACTTCAAATTTTGGACTTATCTTGAAGATCAGATAAGCGGCAGACAAGTGGTCTAGACGGAAATAGACTCAGTTTTTCTCTCTTCAGCAGCTATAGTGACCTTCTTATAACAGTTACATCAATCGCAGAAATTCTGTACCAAATCCTCTAGCTTTCAATTCTAAAGCTGCGCTTAGCCTATCAAAAAATTCAAATCATATTTTGAAGCTGTAAATGCTGGTCACTCAACAAAAACAATAAAGAAAATCAATAAGAGACATTTAAAATTAAGCTTTGGCTGATGAATTTTCGCTACTGGGGAGAGTTCCTCAATTCCACTGATTTACAGAAAGTAAGACATTTTACAGCTGCAGAATTATGTTTCTGAAGTGAAAAATTCAAGCTTTCAATAAAGTGAACTTAATTTACAAGTATTTACGGTGGTATCCAATTCATTACTTTTGGATTCATTTTATGAAAGATGGTTCTCTTTTTCATGCCGCACTACATTTACCAGAAAGAAACAAGAAAAGTACGTAAAATCTCCAAAATGACTTCATCGATCTGATTTTCAATTACGTTTATTACATCAAGTTTCTAAAGAATTCAGTTGGGGGGGGGGGGGGTCATGATGCACGGTAACAGTAGAGTAAAGAATGTAGACTCACACAGATTGAAATGACTCCCAACTATTGCTGCCTCCACATTTTCTGGATTTTTCTCCGTTGGATCAACCCAATTAGATTCATTCAAGAGAAGTATACCCTAAATGACACTTGCAGGAGTTGCGATCCCTCCAGATGTAAATTACCTCGAAACTGTCCGTGACGTCGAAATCAATCGCTACAGTATAAGGAACGAAAGTAACGAGATCGGATGTTGTATCGCCCAAAAATTCATTCAGAAGATCCTATGCATTAAAGTGATTTCTCGATCAAACCAGACTAGTAAACCTACTGTAACAAATCGTTGATGATCCCACACTAGCCAGCAGCAGCACTTTGAAAGGCGGAACTTGAAATCCCATGTTTGCTTAGCGTTAAACACCTAGATAAAGTTTGAATGAAGATGTTTCACTCAAAATATACTTATCATTACCCTAGGATAATGGAATTCCGCATCCACGCTGAAGGTCTCAGCTTCCAAAAGCTTACGGTAGGGAAGCGATGAAGTGCTTTCTAATCGCAGTAAGGAAGTATGTACACTCCAACTAAATCCATCTTCCTTCGTGATCCACCATATCGACATCTGTAAAGATATGATGGTTGTCAACGTATTGAACATAGCAACAGTTGACTATAGCGGTTGCATCGTCTAATGATCCAAAGAAATGATCTCAAAGATGGCTGAAGAAGCTTCTGCGTCCCATTAGGATGGCTGTCATTTCTACTAGGTTGATGCAAAAATTATGGCCGTTTTCAATGCCTTTTTCAAAATAACTTTTTTCCACCGAAATTTCTTTCTTGGAAAAGTTACCATTGAGAAGCTGTTTTCATGCTCTATCTAAAAATTGTTAGAGGGAACATCCAGCCTCATCTATCAAAAAGTAAAAGAGCTTCAAACAGCCGCATCCAAAATCAGAATTTCGTTGCATCCACTTTTCTAACCAGAACTCAAGCCCAATTGGACGGCGCTTCTTCGAAAATTCACCCTGCTTGTAAAAGAAATCTACATTACGCACACTTAGATATTTTTTATGAACTCATATAGACTGGGATCAGCGCCTCAACATGGATACCCGTAGCGGTCATTTTATATATAAAGTTGAATGCTGTTTGTCTGTCTGTCTGTCTGTCTGTACGTACCATCGTCTCCCGATTGCCGCGAGGGCGGACCTGGGAGAGCGTATCAGCGATGCGGTTGCCCTGTGTAGAGACATAGCTGATAGATTGATTATCGGTTGGCGATCGCGACCGCCCTCGCAGCAATCGGGGAGCCGATGGTATGTGCGGGACAGAAATTTTTATTTTTGAGCCGATTTGGACCAAACTTGGCACATATACACTTCGGGGAGGGGAGCGTGTCATAGGCTACTTTTAGGGCCGCATGCACTAACATCCCCGCTGGGGAGGGGATCGCAGCTTTAAAGGAAGCTTCATATCCTGAATCTTCAGATATCTGGATTTCCAATGTCTCCCTGTCAGAATGTATTCCCACCATACTTCACTATGAACATATTGAACAGAAGCCTGAAGCTTTACAAGCCGCATTTTCCAGCTTTTCGTATGATCCCCTGGTGATCCCCGGGGCACAACCGTCTACTCTTTGAAATTATTTTTCTCCCTTCAAAGTTGATTAAAACACTCGAAAGTTGTATTGCTTATCTAATCTAAAAGTGCTAAGCATGTTGCTGATAAGAACAAATGATGTTTTGGAGTCACGAAATTTTCGATGAACCACAGGTCGAAAGTTGGGGGTTTATCGGAAATTACGATATCTCAAAGACTCATTTGTTCTCATCAGCAATATGCTTAGCACTGTTTTATTAGATAAGTGCAACTTTGGAATGTTTTCAATAACTTTTAAGAAAAAGAAATGACTTTGAAGAATGAGCGATCGTCCCTTGGGGATCATCAGGGGATCATACAAAAAGCTGAAAAATGCGGCTTGTACAGCTTGTCGCTCCTGTTCTATATGTTCTTGGTGAAGCATAGTAGGAATGCTTACGGATAGGTAGACAACTTGAAATTCAGATACCTGGAGCTTCAGGATATAAAGCTTTTCTTTTGAGCTGCGATCCCCCCCCCAGCGGGTATGTTGATGCATGCGGCCCTTAGTCATCGATCGATGTCGATTTAATCGATTTTTATCGAATTTTTGTAAAGTTTGAGCTACAGGGCTGGGAGTTGACACAGGGGGGGGGGGGTAAGTGGGCATGCTGATTTCGAAAACAACACAGGGAACGGGAAAAGAAGTGTAGAAGTGGGCACAGGGAAAGGCTGTACAGGGATAGGGATGGGACCTTTATTACAGTGTTTTGACAGAGCTGAGCGGAGCCGGGTAAGCAAGCTAGTAATCCAAAAATTTCTTTTGAAAAAAGCAAATAACAAGTTTATTTATTTCTGTAAGCGTAAGGGTAGCGCATCCTGTTGACAGTTTACAGTCTGCCCCAATCCTAACCAGGCCAAAACTGGCACGGCGGGAACCCGTGTCGCGAAAGTATTGCGTCACGTCTACAGATGGCTAGTCTGCTCTCTCCTCAATCTCTTCGCTCTCTGCGACAGCGCGCGTATGCAGCGCAAATCCCTAGCGTTGCGAGCGCGCAACTTCAGCCGTCGGTTCGGCCTGATCGCGATTGGAGCAAACTGTAGCAAAAACGTTCAGCTATTCAATACGCACAAAATCAGAAAATTCTAATTTTTAGAACTTGAGATATTGAAAAAGCTGAAAACTAAAAATTCTAGATGTTTTCCGCAAAGTTCTTTGTCCAATTCCTCTTCATCTTCTTCTATCCTACTGGCTTGCGGATATAAAATAGGCAACTTATCATTTATACTAACAAATTTTGAAGCGAGTTTTGACTTGTCAGAAACAAGTTCTTAAAAAGAATTCTTCTTGTTTTTTAATCCATAATTTTCTGTCTGTGATGTGAGTATAGACGAAAGTGCGCAGTACTGCAAATGGTCTGCTTTCTGATGGTCTTTATCGCATTCAGAAATGTGGACTTTTCAGACTGTCGCACTGATTCCATGAGAATGAAAATAGGAAAAACTTTCTTGCAAGGAAAGAATACTCGGTGACCGTAGCCTTTGAAATAGAACGTATATCATTAAATGCATCCTGAAGCGCTGATTCCAAATCTTTTTCCATTATCTGCTGTGCGCTCTTCCGAAAAAAGTTTTGGACATTTCTTTTCACCAAAATTTGCACTGCTTTTGATGCAGGATTCACCAATATTGTTAGAATGTTTGCTTACGCACTACAAAAGAGCGTACGTATAAAATAAAGCTTCACGTTAAGCTCAGGAAAACTGTCACCGATATCAGAGTATAAAAGGCTTGGATACTGAAGATTTTGAATGCCTAAATCTCGCAAAATCAGTATGGAAAAAAGTCCATAACTTCGTTCAGGGAGTCGCACAGCAGATAATAAACACAGATTTAGAATCAGCGTTCCAAGATGCACCTACTGGTATACATCTCTTTGCAAAAGGCCACGGTCACCAAGTATCCTTCCCTTGTTAGAGATCAGACTGGTGACAAAGGATATACATATACCTTGATGTAATCGTTAGTGAAATATCCAAACAAGAAAATCCTTCTGGATATAGACAAAAAAATCACTATCGACAATAGTGTGATGTCACCAAGATAAGGCAACAAAAGAATTTTTTTCTGCATTTACTTCCACGGCAGCTGTGCGAAGTTCTGCTACATTCTTTGGTTATAAGCACGAGAAATCACTACCACGCGTACACGAAAAATGCGTCAAAAGAAAATGAATAGTATAAGAAAATAGAATACTTCAAAACAAAACAAATTTCTGCTAATTGACTTGGATCAAGGATGTAAGGCTTGAAAAGCTGTCAGCGTACATAAAGACAACGGCTTTGAGATAGATTCTTGCCACAGCTCTTTAAAATGAGCAAGAAAGAGTATGAATAGTGCGCAGATGCAGAAAAGTACAGAAGGTTAACCAAGCTCTCCGAAATAACTCAGGGTGCTTTAACAATCTTTCTGACAGAAATGAGCGCTCCTTTGAGAAACGGACTTAGGTACTAGTGAAATTCAATTACTGGATTATTTATAAGAACAATTCATTTATAATTCATAATTTAATGTAATTTAATTTAATTAACTGTAATTTATATGGACACTTTAGAAATTCCGAGTCAATCGAAGCTGTTTATCTTCTTATGGCAAATCACTAAACAGTAGCGATTCAGTGTTCCTTCGTTGATGCGGATGGCCCTTTTGGGTGTCAAACAAGGTACGGCTACAAGATATTAGAAAAACCTTACATCGATAGTGCTTCCCGGCTGACAACGACTGTGAACGCTTTCCAACTGATCACCTCGCATGAACCAGATATCGACTGCAGTTTCCTTCAGCAGAGAGATCCTGACATCATGCATAATGTAGATCCTTCTTTTCCCACGTTTCGGCAGCTCGTCTACCGCGGCCGTCTGGATTGAGATTTTTACCTTAGAAGAAAAACCTATCTTTACGCAGACCCCTACCTGATAATCTGAAGGGAAGAAAAAACTATACAGAAGAGCCCTTTGACTTTCTACCCAAGGACCATATGAAAGTACCGTATTGTGGTCAAAGCGCAAAATTGATTCCCAAACAGGACGTTGGTTCACTAGAGATTGTTCGTCCACAGTGACATAGCCTGCAAAAGTTATTATATACAGAGTGTCCTAAAAAATGTGCACACTGTTTGATCGTCAACAACTCTCTTGCTTGCAGGTCTTTCGCCGGGCTTGAGGTACCATTTTGTAGGGTGAGGTTCAACTTACAAGGGAAGCGACGTAACTTAGCTCGACCTTTTGGCAAGAGACATACTTTTCTGAATTAGCTTCAAACGCTGATTTCAAAAATGCTATTACTAGCTGTTGGGCACCATTCCGAAGCAAGTTATGGCCTTTTTCCTGAGCAAATTGGCAGACTACTGAACATGGAAAGACTGCCCGTAGGTAAAAATCTGCAAGAATGAGGTGCTGAGACACCGATATAACACAAATTCAATCTTTTCTCACCAAAAAGAAGTCCAACACAATGTATTAGCACTTAGATGATGATGCCATGATGCCAGTGAGTCGATGTGTGTCTATTTTGCGCAGGAAGCCCATAACCGCTTCGAAACGGTGGCAGTCAGAATTAGCACATTTGGAATCACCGTTTGAAGCTGATCCAGAGTATATATGTCCCTTGCGAAAAGGCCGAGCTAAGTTAGGTAGCTTTCCTTATTAGATTTTCAGCATGGAACCGAATCTCCTTTATGTAGGATTACGGTAGAAACTTCGAGAAGACTTTCAAGCCATTGAAAGCGATATTTTGCTTAAATAAAAAGCAAACAAGCCAGAAACTCTCTTGTACTGGGCTAATCGAAGTCGCTGATTCTGAATATAAAAAAAGCACTTTATCTCAATGCTTCTTTCGTAATATTTCAGGTTTAGAGTAACAACTGTTTTTCCAATGATCATCAGGAATGTGATTACACACTAAAAAGATCGAAAAACTGGTAAGAAGTTGTTAGTATCAGCACGCCGGAAAACCTTGATACCCAGATACCCAGATTTTTTGATTTTTTTCTTATCGAACGGCCTACTCCACGCTAGCGCTAGTGCTGAAAGTTCATACCGTATACCTACAGTAATGAAGAGTGATTGGTAATTCGCACTGTATAGAGTAAATCTGAGTTGAACCTTGCTGCAAAATGGTATATCAAACTCGGCGAAACATCCAAGCAAGAGAGTTATTGACGATCAAACAGTGTGCACAATTTTTGGGACACCTTGTATATTGGCTTGATTCAAAACCAATGCAAGTTTTCCATACATGTTCTGTCAACTGGTTATCAAAAGAGAACAAGTTACCTTGAAACTTTTCATGACACATGGAAGAGCATTTTTCTAAATAGTTTCTTGAGCATGCGTTTGCTTTCATAGGCCTTTGTTCATTATAAAGTTTTGAGCCTTCAAATTCAATAGACTAAATCTCAAAACTTTTCTTTCCCTTTGCCATAGATAATAATCGCCAGATTTGTTACGAAAAATACCTGCATACAAAATGCTTTTTTATACAATTTTTTTGAAAAAAACCTTAAAGGCAGTGGACGCCAAAATCCAACAACTCGGGATTTTAACGCGTTAGGTTCCTTATCGCCCAACTATGAAAACAGTGCAATCCCGGTTGCACAGCATGCTTTCCCTGTCGAGAAAATCGCTCTCAAACTTACATGCGCAGGCCAATCTTACACGCTTCTGGATGAGTTGGCAATTTTTTTCTCACTATATTAGAGGTGCCCGCCGCAACGCTATAACCATTGGGTCCTGCCACGATTTAGCGTCATCGCCCTTACTCCGCTCGTCCAATATCAAAGGGAAGGGCATTCAAAAACGCTCATTTTCGCAGTTTTCAAGCTTTCAAAAGTGGATTTCCGGGATCAGCGTATCGAAAAACCCCAGGTAAGCGCAAATTTGACTAGGTTGAGATTTGCCGAGCCACTGCCTCTAAACTGAAAAATTTTAATGCAGAATTCGGTGGCCGTTGAGAGCTTACTGTACCGTGTAAAAATCGCAAAAAACGATTGAAAACCTTCCGCACTATACAAAAAGGTCAGACTTCAATGGAGAAAATGAAAAACTCAAATAAAGGCATATGTGAAACCACCGATATGCCCAAAAAAGTCAGTACTTTCGCATTTTTTCCAAAATTTTCTCCGAAAAAAATTCCATAAAATATGAGTATGACACCATGCCTGTCCGATAACATAACTGGCTGCGCTATGAGCGCGCGCTATTCCACTTCATTTCAGAGTCAGTTATGGTCTCTCAAACAAGAGATTTGCAAAAAAAAAACTTAGACGAATTTCAGGCTAAGAATCTTTTTTGCTATGGTTATTGCACAAAAGCATAGGTTGTGTAGCCAAGTTTCACAGTAGTCTTCTCCCTGCGCTCAGGAAAAGTGTTTGGGACTTGGTAAAGGTGAGTGGAAATGCTACTTACAAGAACAGCGAAAGTTTCAAACATCAACTGTTTTCAGCTACTTCTTCGATTTCTGCATTTGCACCCAAGAAGTCCAAAAATGATGATCGCTTGGTCAAAGAGAAGATCGGAGATATATTAGTTACACAAGGGCTGGCATCAGCTGGCACGGGGCAAGCTGGATATCGTTTTTAGGATAAAAAGCAAAGGGGATATCGTTTTTGTCGACAAATTGCGACGTTTCGTTTTTTGGGAATTTTTTTAGGCTTAGGGTTCAAGGTCAAGGGGACTTCGCAAAACTTTGCGTAAATCAAGGGGGATTTCGTTTTAAAAATTCCCTGGTGCCAGCTCGTGCCGAGCCCTGATTTTACAAACCATTAGTGATTTGCGTTACTAGATTGGCAACGGGGACAGAAATTTGTGTGTGGAATCGGGAAACAACGGTGAGTTTTCTTCATAAGCCAAATGACGTGACCAAACGAAGAGGGTACGCATGGAAACATAAGAAGTAAGCTGTCCAGTATTTCATCAGACGACTTACCCAGAATATCCTGATGGTAAAAGAAATGAAGTAATGCACTCTGCAGTAAAGCAAAACCGTCACCCATAGTTCGAGGTGGATCCTGCAAAAACAGTATGAAGAGGAAGATGTCTAATAATGTCAGCAACCTTGTATGGAGTTCCTGTATAGTCTGGATGTTTGAGAAAATCTGCGCGCACACTCTCTGCTTGGCCTTCTACTGAGAGAAGAGCTCGGTCAGCAACGGACTCATAAAGACGCACTTTGCCTGAAAATGCAAACGATCACTCACCACTGGCCTGGGCAAAATGTAGAAAAAAACGTTCTTACTGTTCATGTTTTCAAGCGAAACCACAAGCATGTATGGCAAAAGTCGATTGCCGATGACAACTCTACCAGACCATATGTCTAGCTTTATCACACCAACTAATGACCAAATACGGTCCCAGTAAGCGGACGGAGCAGCGCTAAAGCAAGGTATAAACCGTGATAGAATAACTGCAGTTTCGCGAAGAGAAGAGAAAGGGTGATTTATGAAAGGCAGCGTCCAGGCAAGTCCGGAAACATGGGGATCTCAAGTGGATAGTACTTAGTTAGTGCTCTAACGGCTGAGATATTGCCCTCCAACATGGACCCCGTGATCGTATTTCGCATGGATTCATGGCGCAAAGCGTGGAGGCGCGAAACTGCCGTGAATCCATGCGAATACGATCGCGGGGTCCAGTTTCGAGGGGAATATCTCAGCCATTAGAACTACCTGCGCTGCCGCTTAGGCAGGGCCTTAGTCAGGGCCCCAAAAGTACTTTCCACAGGGGGGGGGAAGTTTCTCACCCGAGCCATATTCTCGCACCTAAGTGATGTACCTGCCAGGCACATCCGGGCTTGCTATGATTACGAGCTCCTCAGGAGACCAAGACATCGCAAGCCCCGCCCCCTTATCCAATGCTACACCAGATGATGAAACCGGGATTTCAAAGAAACTTTCAAAATTGAAGTTCAGACGCGAATTTGCTCCAATCAAGACCAAATTTCGGATTTAGGGGTTTCAAGGTTGCTCCTTTCATTAGTGGTATTTGTTTTTTGCAAAGTCAACGTGCAGCCCCGCTTTACTAGGATCGAAATTCGGATTTAGCGGATTTAGAGGTTCAAGATTTTCTTTTCCGAGTCAAGACCAAAGTTCAGATTTACGGGTTCTCAAATTTGCTTTATCCACAACAGTTATTTTGTGCTATCAATAGCGATTTGACTTTGTGAACAATTTTTGGAGACAGAAACGTTTTTCTCACAATAACCGAATTACTTCCATAGAAATTAAATGCCAGATGCGGGAGTACATACGTGATTCCATAGTGCTTCCTTCCTTGAATTCAGTCTTAAGAATATGTCAAGGTACAGCGCTGATAATGACCTAGTCAGTATTTCTTAAAACCTGATGTATCACAAGTCACTGAGGTCATCGAGGCTGGATGAATGCCAGAAAGCTTCATAGAAGACTCAGAAAGCTCGGAGTGGTGTCAAAAAGTAGAGAAAAACATCTTTATTATCTTGAAATTAACGAAATTCAAATTTGGTTTGGTTTTCAGGAGGTTTTCAGTTTTTAAGCACTCAATATCACTGGAAAAGCCATGAAAAATGTCGCTTGATGAGCACTGAAAGAAGAAAACATCATCAGTGGTTCATTGCAAAATTATTGTGTGCCACTTTCAAAAATTAGAATCAAAATATACTAAGAAAATTGTATCGCTTTCACATCAACCTTCCAAAACTATGAGTGGACTCTAACAAAAAAAAATGTTCATGGCATACATTTAAATAAATTTTATCCTGAATACAGATCGATATTCGACTTTGGGTTTTCCACGGTCTCCTTTTACAAAAAATTTAACTTATTCCAGATACAAATAATTTTCACACACGTGCCAGTTTGAAGTTTGCTTCGATCTAATTTGATTCAACCATATTCTGGCACTCAAGACTAAATTTTATACGCATCCGAATTTCGATCCTAGTAAAGCATTAGCGGAGCTAAACGTTGACTTTGCAAAAAACAAATACCACTGATGAAAAGAGAACCTCGAAAACCCCTAAATCCGAAATTTGGTCTTGATTGAAGCAAATTCGCTTCTGAACTTCGATTTCGAAAGTCTCTTTGAAATCGCGGTTTCATCATCAGGTGCAACACTGGATAAGGGGCGGGGCTTGCGATGTCTCGGTCTCCTGAGAAGCTCGCAATTATAGCGACTCTGGATGTAGGCAGGCACATCACTTAGGTGCGAAAATATGATTCGGGTAAGAAACTTCCCGCACCCCTTTCCACATAAAATCCCCATTGGTCCAGATCTGCCTGGACCCTGCCTTTAAATCAGTGAGGATAGGAATAACTATTACTTAGAAAAAACAACAAAATAGAAGATTGATAAAAAGTGAAGGCCGAATAAAATTTACCTGTCCACAGGCAATTGTCTTTTTACTTCCGGGTCATCTCCAAAAACTTTCTCCATTCGAAATAGTTTGGCTATCTCTTTATAGCGCTGCACGCGATTATACACATGTATTTGCAAACCATTCAAAGATACATGCAGTCGAGATGCATTGCTACAAGTTCATTGGTTATAGTGAACAAAGAGACAAGATAAAGCTACCTTTTGAAGCACACTTTGCGTCCAGGCACATATCTCCAGTAAGAAAATATGATCCATGCGTCGTTGATGCGGATGGAGTAGTCATCATTTGCAAAGAGAAACTGCGAATAGTAAAGAAAAGCGTAAACAACATAAAAAATTAAATTTTTGGGACTCACATCCTTGAACATAAGTTTACCACCGAGAAGACTGAGCGAGAAACTTCCCAGCTTTATGTGACCTGGCGTTTTGGTGAAACGAAGATATCTGTGAATTATGCAATGTAGTGGACGCTTCACGAAGTCAGAATAACAGGAAAAAGTTTGAAAGTATGGGAACATCGTTTCAGAAAAGAAAAGTCAAAGTCAGCAAAATGTTCATTTTCAAAGAAATTTGAATTCGGTTGAACAGAGCATCAAAGAGGATTGCTGATAATGAAAAATTGATAGTTTAGACTTGAGTGCATAACACGGCAAGTGAAGAAAAAAACATGTACCATGCCATGTACTTTGTGGACAGAAGCTATAATTTTTGACCAAAAAGGATACAACCAAGGATATTCTTATTTTGCAAGTCCTAGCCCTAATTCCAACTACACGTTCTCGGCTCATATATGTGCCCACAAGACAAATTTCATGGAAAACACAGAAAGCAGCAGTTTCTGTTTGATGAAGATCTGATCATTCACGTCCGGATGCTCTATTAAATTTCTCTTCTCAATACATCCAACGGATGCATGCGGACGGCTTTGTTAATAAACATAGGTTAAGCTATAAATTGCAAAATGTCGGAACATAGCAAAGTGTCTATGACTTGTATGCTATGCACTTCCTTTGTTTACATGCGTACAATTACAGCAATAGCCGCGCATGAGAGTCATTTATATACCAAAGATATGTTTCCAGAACGTGTTTACTTGCCATCAGCTCTATTCTAGAAACAGGAAAGACTTTATAGAAATGAGACTATTCAAGCAAAAGGTGTTACTATAAATTTCAAGGAAAACACATTGTGCTCCGAAAACAATGACAATAATCTAATCAAAATGAAATAAAGGAAAATCGAAACATCTGAATAAACGGTGTAAAATTCTAACTACCGATCATACCTGTTCAAGATGAAGGATACAATGGGACCAATTATTCTGGAGAGATAGTATGTCAAGAAGATTATCCATGCTACAAATAGCACCAAAGAAGACAAAAGAACCCAAAATGATCTCTGAATGGAGCATCACGGTGTTTATTTCCAGAAGAAGAAGAATTCAGACTTCGACTTACCTTATCGGGATCAATGGTTCCATCATCAAGCTTGATATTAATTTTGATGTTGTCAAAAAGATCGTTGTCTCCGTCACTATCATTCATCGCCATCATTAGTGCCAGCTCCGCCGCAACATTGACCTAAGAATGAAACTAATACGTTATGAATCCTCATGAGAACAGGTATCTACGTCTCTCGACCAAGTTATGACATGAAAGCAATGAGCAAAGAAAAACAACACAGCGTATCTATGTTAAAATGATAAATATGATGTTAAAATAAACACAAACTCTCAAACGCAGCTGAACAAGTACCGAAACAGTGCTTAGTTTGGTAGTTGGATCAAAGATGAGTCGCACATGGCAAATGATTATAACAATGTAGTTGGAACTAGCACTATCCGTAACGATTTGATTCAATTTTGACGTCCTCTGTTCCTTTCCAAAAAGGACATTACTACAACAGGTAAAAGTCCATTTTGCTCATTTTTTGCTTGTTTTTTTTCTGAGGATAACACCTTGAAAAAAAGGAATAATGAACCTCAACCAGCCAGTGTGTGTTTTGTAACGAAAGAGGCTTCGTTTCCTTTCCATTCTAGTTTGCAAACGCTACTCATGTTCTTCCCAATAAAGAATATGCGAACTGACACCAATATAGTGTTCCAGCGGTGCCGACAACAAAAAAAGCGAGAATGACTGCCAAGCTCTCAAAGTCCGGACTGTGCAACACTAGAAATGATGTACAGCGCACTTTAGGTTCGGCGCTCTATGTTCTGGCAGCTACGGGTCAGAAGCAATCCGCGCACCGCGGACCTCGCCGCGCTCCTCGCTAGAGTTCCGGCAACAAAAACAATGGGTGAGAGAGGGAGGGAGTGGAGAGGGGCAAATACATGATTCAGTGTTTTGAGTAGATATTCTGAGTGAATAAGATAACGCCAGGAATAGGAATACTGGCCGGGGCTTGCTTTTGCACTGCTTGGCTCGCGATGCGGCATCGCTATGAGAAAAATTCGTGCAAGCGTGACTCATGACTTGTTTCCTGTTTTGGCATCACGCGGGGACCATATTAATCATCAAATACGAGATCGACCACAGACAGACAATGATTATTCTTGTTCCTAAAGCCAAAGTTCCTATTATGCACAGATTAGCTGCTATTGTATTACAAATTTGGGTAGTGATCACGCCAGTAGTGCGCGCCAAGCAGCAAAACTAAGTTTAAGCTCGTGGTTTGTATGGTAGGCGCCAGACTAAGCGACTATTTGTTCAGCTGCAGAAGGCGCGCAGAATGAACATTTATTTGGGTGGAGGACTATAGTCCGCATCGAGTTCTGAGTATTACCTAGGTGCGGCGGCGGCCGTAATAAGGCGCACCGCTCGCCGGCTGCGAATGATGGCGCGCCCCTCGCACTGCAGCCTCAATTAAAGCGCGCCGCTCGCACGGCAGCCTCATTGAGGCTGCAGTGCGAGCGGCGCGCCTTATTACGACCGGCGGCGTGCCTACTCAGACACTCTGCGCGGCGGCGCGCGCCATAAAAGCACTAGTGCAAGCGGCCGCTCTAGTTGGGCGAGCGGCGCACAGTTTATCAGTGAGCGGCGTGCCGTGATGCCTTCCGCATTCTCACGCTGTAAGCACAAGCGATACCCGCGTGAAGTACGACGCAGTGCTTTGGGTGGGCGCTATTCGGCTATCCGGGCCCCAAAATTTTTTTTGTCAATTTCGCTCAAACTTAGCATAGGGGGGTTATCTGACATGCTGATCACGAATATCACCTTTTCTCCGCAGGAAAGTGCCTCCCTGCAGGGTTGCGGTAGGTATACTGTAGGGGGTCAAAATCACGGATTTGCCCGAAACTCCGTCTAGAGGGGTTATTTGGCATGCTGAACACGAACATGATGTTTATTTCGTGCGACAGCGCCATCCGGGGGAGTTACGGTAGGACTACGGTAGAGGGTCACAATCACGGATTCACCCAAAACTTGGCCCAGAGGGGTTCGAGCCGCTGATGCCAAATATCACATTGGTTTTAAACCGTAGCGTCATTTTCTCGGGTTACGGTTGCTACACGGTAACGATTGTAAAACATAGTTCTGCCTGAAACGGGTGTACGGCGATTGGACGATGGTAAAGCTTTGCACACACGACCACCGCCGCGCGCTACACACTTTGCTGCGGCTTGTGCCTAAGCAAAGCACAGGGGAAAGATACATCTGCCGATTTGTGGTTTTGACCCCTACCGTAAATCTACCGTAGCCGTGCAGGGAGACGTTTTCGTGCGGAGAAAGTGTAACATTTCTAATCAGCATGTCGAATAACCCGTTTGTGCGAAGTACATGGATTTCGAGATTTTGACTTCCTACCGTATACCCACCGTAACCCGAGAAAATGACGCTAGGTACAAAACCAATGTGATATTCGGCGTAAGCGGGCCGAATAACCCCCCTGGCCCAAGTTTCATCCAAATCTATGATTTTGACCCCCTACCGTATACCTACCGTAAGCCTGCAGGGAGGCGTTTTCCTGTGGAGAAAAGGTGATATTCGTGATCAGCATATCACATAACCCCTCTGGCCACGTTTGAGCGAAATCCATAACAAAAAAATTTTGGGGCCCGGATAACCGAATAGCGCCTTTGGGTGCTTCATCACTAATGAGGTTATCGCTGCTTCACAATGGAGTTGTCTCATTAAGGTCCCGGACAGACTTCACGCGATTTGATCGTCGCGACTCAATCGCCAACATTTCCATTCATTTTCATTTCACAGTCAAAAATTTCGGGCTGGAAAAGTATCACAACTGAAATGCAAGTTGATCGGCATGGAATGATGTTGTGACAGTTGTCTCGTCGCGATTCAGCCGCGACGATCAAATCGCGTGAAGTCTGTCCGGGGCCTAACACAAGTGGAGTTCTTCCACTGAGAGTCATTCTTCACAAGCACTGCGAGTAGATGCCGAGTTTGAATTCAAATTTGAAGATTTGAATTCTTGAATCTTCGAAATTTGAATCTTCAAGTTCAAAGTTTGGCAACTTCAAGTTCATATTTGAGTAACTCAAAATCCAATTTGGATTGCTTGCCTGAAGTTGAAGGGTTGCCATCAGGTCTAGTACAGATTGGGTGTATGTCAAGAGGTGCGATTTTTATTGGCAGCTGGGCACCAAATAGCACGTAATAAGTGTTTTGCAACTTTCTAAAAATATATAAAATTTAGAAGAAGATATATTAGATAGTTACATGAGTTGTTCAATGTTGACACTCCAGAAAAAATTCAAAACAGCAATTTTGAGGGTTGAAAACTCATGAAAATGCATTTCAGAACAAATTTGTAAGTATTTCAGTCCGATTCGTAGCAAAAACCAGGAAACTCAGTAGGTGGTGACCTCAGACACTGTAGGCTAATGCACTTGGTGACAGCCGAAGAAATCGCACCTCTTGACCGTCTCCCGTACAGATTCACCGTGAGTTGAAGTGCTTCAAAGGGGAATGGCAATTTTCATAGTGCGAGCGGCGTGCCATTAGCGTGTGGCACGCGTACCATTTACTCGCGGCACGCGTTCCAATTACTCGCGGCACGCGCGCCATTTGACGGACGGCGGCGACGCCTTATGCGTGCGGGGACATGAGCCCCCGCACGCATAAGGCGCGCGCGCCCCGCAGCGAGTGTCTGAGTATGTCGCCGAATGTGGAAAAGTCCCGCGCGGATTTCCTGCAGGAACGCATGCCGCGCATGTATTACAACTCTGACATTCGTTTCGGACGACGCGAGCGAAATTTGCGTACGAGCGGACTCCCCAATGGCCGTTCGCCCGCTAAATGCGCTCGGGTGATACGCGAATTTCGCGCCGCTGGTACGCTGTCACATCGGCGCCGCTGGTACGGAACTCCTTCCTTCCCGCCGCTGGTACGCCTTATATGACTTAACGCCGCTGGTACGGCATTTTTATGCTCACTCCGCTGGTACGCAAATTTTGTCTTCACGCCGCTGGTACGGCATTTTGAATGTGTGTGTGCCCGAAAATCAATTTGAAATCATTTATTTTTCTATTTTGAGATGATACAGCGTTTGAGACAGTTGAATCGATCAAGTACAACAAAATCAGTAATCGGGCTATTTCGAAACAATCCCATATAATGAGCGGAGATGTGAAAAAAATGGGAGAAATGGAACATTGAGCAGAATAGACATAAAATTATGGGAAGGATTAGGGACTTTCATCTTCAAACCGTATTCGACGACGGACTGGCAACACTCGTTGAGGTCGCGGCTTGGCTGACTTTGATACTGCTTCTGGCTGTGCTTGGACTGCTTGCGAGGGGGCTTCTTGCGACGGTGCTTGTTGCGACGATGCTTGTTGCGACGATGCTTGTTGCGACGATGCTTGTTGCGACGGTGCTTGTTGCGACGGTGCTTGCTGCGACGGTGCTTGCTGCGACGGTGCTTGTTGTGACTGTGCTGGGAATTCGTCTTCCAAGTCTGCTACAGACCTTTTCGCTTGCCGCTAAAAAAGTACACATTAACAAAGGAAACATTCAAATCAAATGACGAAAACTTACATTGTTTGGGATCCATTTCTTCTGATCTGTGTCGTAGTCATATCCGCGTACATCACGTCTAAATAGAAATATAGTGGGCTTTTTCCGAAACATGGTTAGATACTTACAGTGCGATTTGTAGACATTTGAATAGGACGGGTCGCCAGTCGTGTCTCTCTCGAGTTAGATCGTCCAAATACTCCATTCGCTCTTGCCGAGTTTTCCCCAGGCTTAGAAAAAATCTGCAAAAATAACGCAAAAATTACGCACCCTTAAGGGTGCGTAATTGTCGCAAATGACCGCGGGGACCGCCCTTTTTCGGCGACATATAGTCCTCTACCCCATTAGTTTTGCGCGGTCCTGCAGCTGAAGCAGGCAATCATACGCAGATTTAATGTTAATTCTGCGCGCCTTCTGCAGCTGAACAAAACAGTCGCTTAATCTGGGCCTACTTATAGGCTGCTGCATGACGAAGGCGCCATATCTTCGGGCGCGACCGCTGTTTTGTTAGCCGCACAGCGCACAAAGCGCAGCATCTACAACGGTGAAGATGTGCGCGCGCCGCGTTCGCACCCGCTCAACTAATAATTGCGCCTTCGTCATGCAGGGGTGTATCCCATTACTTGTGAGTTTTAATTACCAGACGCCGCGCGCGAAAGAGTGGCAGTACCCTGCACGTTGCAATCTGCAAGAGAAATCCCAGCAGGTCTCGCAACGGATAGTTTTACATCATTTTCAAGGTTTTTCAGTCTCCATTTGTTTCCACCACTTTTATGAAATTGGGGCCACAAAACCTGTGATAGTAAATTATCAAAAAGTAAAAAAAACGCATACTACCAAGCGATCATCATGCTAGAGGAGCGGTGATACACTTCAGCGAATTTACAGTAAGTTCAGGAAAATATAATAGTAAAGATTTTTACTTAAACCTCGGTGTTTTCAATCACAAGCTTTGTTCATTACAATAACTATTGGCTCATAGCATTCTCCCTGGAGTTTTCGGACTGCTCTTGTGAGAAGCGTCACTTTAAGAATGTGGGTGTTCCACGCGGGCCACTATAACGCCGCGTCGCGACGATTTCTAGACACCCGCCATGGGCGCCCCCGTCATGCAGCCTTTATGCCCATACTCGCTGCCGGATTGCAGTTATGTACGGCATGATTCACATACCCTTTAATTCAACTAGCCTGGCGCTGGAGAGCGGGGCTTCGTGACCTAATTGAGACGTTTCGGACCGGTGCTGCACATGGTGCAGCACGCTGCTTTAAAGGATCTTTTTGACGTTTGCAGGAGGTTTTCTTGCTGAGGAGGCTGGAGCGGAGATTCCCGCAGTCGCGTCGTGATTGGCTACCTGGGCCATTGGCCAGCCAATGGCCGCCAAAATGAGTGGTGAGTCTCTTGCAGCCAATCACTGTTTTTGATGGGACTCTCCGCTCCAGCCTCCTCACAAGAGAGTGGTCAGAAGTCGAAGTGGCCAAACCAAACAGTCTGTATACCATTCGATGCAGTATGAAACGCTGACTTCGAATCTGTCTTCCTTATCTGCTTATCGCTTCTGTGGACGAAGCTACAAGCAGTTATATTGTGGAAAAATCGTACATAAAAACTGTAAAATTGAGCAAATTGTTGCAATTTCAGCTCTGCTTTGGGCTTTAAGAATTTGAAGTAAATTAGCTGCATGTTTTGGCCTAGCAATAAGCAGAACGTGGCTCCGTACGGCCAAATTTTCACTTTCACGCATAATTTCTTAGCAAATTATTGGCCTTTAACGGCTTATAGCTTCGTCCAGAAAAGCGATAAGCAGGTAAGGAAGACAGATTTGGGCCCGTATGCACGTACATCCCCGCGGGGAGGGGAGGGGATCTGAGAGGGGAAGCGCCATATCTCACTGCTCTAGATATCTTTTTTCTTTCTTCTCTATCGTGCTTATGAGGGTTCTCATACCCTTATACCTGCGCATAATAGATGCCAGGTTACTGCTATACAAGATTAAATATTCACTTTTTCTTCCGATCCCCTGGGGATCCCCAGGGGATCATCTCACATTTTCAAAGTCGTTTATCTTCCTGAAAAATGAATGAAAACCCTGCAAAATTGTACTGAAGATATACTCGTTATTGCTGAGCATGTTTTCGACAGAAGAAATTGAATCTGAGGATTCTGATTTTTTCGATAATCCCTGGCTCGCGAGCAGCGGTTCATCGAAAATTTTGATATCTTGAGATTTCACTCATTTCTACCATAAATATGTTTAGCAGTGCTGTAGTATATCCACAGTACAATTTTAGAACATTTTCATCGAGTTTTCAGAAAGATAGATAACTTTGAAAATGTGAGGTGATCCCCTGGGGATCCCCAGGGGATCAGACGAAATAGTGAATATCTAATCTTGTATGGCAGTAACCTGGTATCCGTTATGCGCAAGTATCAGTGTATGAGAATCTTCAAAACCAAGACAGAGAAAGAAGAAGAAAGATATATAGACTAGCGAGATATGACGCTTCCCCTCTCAGATCCCCTCCCCTCCCCGCGGGGATGTACGTGCATACGGGCCTTGGAGTCAGCGCTTCATGCTGCATCTAACGGTATTAGCCACTCTGGTCTGGATTAGCCACTTCGATATCTGACCATTCCCTTGTCAGCAATCTCCAAGGCCGGAAAACCATAAAAAACACTTTTTATGACTTTTCAAGCAAAGCTCTGGTCTAAACGCATTCAGAAGGCTAAGGAGGAACAGAAAGGCTCCCGCCAGAGTGCCGAAGTTATGCCAGCGCTAGGCCAGCATTTAGATCGATACATGTGTATTTTGTTGGGGCGGGGCTAGCTGACGTCCCCAACGAAATACACGTGTATCGATCGAAATGCTGGCGTAGCGCTGGCATAACTTCGGCACTCTGGCGGGAGCCAAAGCGCGCAATGTTGCAATCTTCCCAAGCCACTGCCTTCAACACGTTTCGGACCGCGAAATCGCTCGCGGCGAAAGAGTGCACTTTCAGCCATTGGGCAGGGTTTATACTGAGCCGCACAAAGCGGCACAGTTCCCGCACAGCGCTCGAACTGTGCTCGAATTGTGCCGGAACTGTGCTGCATGCGCAGTTGGAGTATTTTGACCGTTTCTGACGGTTTTTCTTCTAGGTTTCTCTCAATTCGGGCCTTATTCCTCCACCCCGCTTTTCCTTTTGATGAGTAGAACTCCGAGTGCAAACGGGGTTGAGGAAAAAGCGCTGTTCTGCTTTGTGTGTCCGATTATGTGTGTTGTTCCGCTCGTTCGTGTCTCTTCGTTTTATTCTTGCATAAAAGTATTCCATTTGTTTTCAGGAGGCCGTTGCAATATTTTCGCAGGCATTTTTTTTTGAAGGAGAGCAAAAATAGTGCAGAAGAGCAGGAAATTCCATCAATCTGTTGACCACTATTGGGCTCTTAGCCCCTTTTCGTTTTCATTTCATTGTTTTTTCGTTCTTTGTTTTACCCCGCTCCTTTTTGTTGTGTAGCGCTTCGAACTTGAAGCGGGGTAAAAGAATGAACGCGATTGTGCTTCATGTATCCTCTCAGCCGCGTTCTTTTTCCATTTCAATGCTTCTTCGCTCTTTCTTCTACCCCGCTCAAGTTCGAAGCGCTACACAACAAAAAGGGAAGCGAGGTGAAACAAAGAACGAAAAAACAATTAAATGTAAACGAAAAGGGGTTAAGAACCCAATAGTGGTCAACAGATTGATGGAATTTCCTGCTCTTCTGCACTATTTTTGCTCTCCTTCAAGAAAAATGTCTGCGAAGATATTGCAGCGGCCTCCTGAAAACAAATGGAATACTTTCATGCAAGGATAAAACGAAGAGACACGAACGAGCGGAACAACTCACATAATCGGACACACAAAGCAGAACAGCGCTTTTTCTTCAACCCCGTTTGCACTCGGAGTTCTACTCATCAAAAGGGAAAGCGGGGTGGAGGAATAAGGCCCGAATTGAGAGAAACCTAGAAGAAAAACCGTCAGAAACGGTCAAAATACTCCAACTGCGCATGCAGCACAGTTCCGGCACAGTTCGAGCACAGTTCGAGCGCTGTGCGGGAACTGTGCCGCTTTGTGCGGCTCAATATGAACCCTGCCTTAGCCAACAAAGGGACGTTATTTCGTAGACTGTGTGCTATATCTGTAATCAGCTTGTCAGATAAATTCCATACCCATAGTTCTGAGTGGATTCGAAGTGTTTAAATTTTGTAGCTTGTGAGGGACTTTGGTGCTTTCCTGGAAGATAGGAACAAGATCAGTTTCTAATAGCATCCAAAAGTGAGTATCTATGTTGTAGACGGTGAGCATCAGCATTGAAACTATGGTTTTTCTCTTTGATACAGGCAAAATTGAGTTTACGTAATATTTTCAGGTCATCGATGGGTCTTGTGGTCTGAAGCGTTAATCTTTTGGGGAGTACTTTAAGAGATGTATTAAAAGTTTACTCGGTTTGCCCTAAGCTTCACCGTGAGTTAGCAAAACCAAAAACTTCAGAAAGCATACGACCCACCGTCGGTTGTATTGTCTGAAACGGCATGACACGTACGACCCACCGGTGGGTCGTATTGTCGTGAATGTGTTAAAGGCAGTGTCCGGGCAAGATGGAGTATTTGGGATTTCAGTGCCATGCGAGAGTGGCCCCCTCAGACACAACATCGCGCAAGTGCGACGTCATAACGCTCGACCTAAAGCAAGAAAAACGACCAGAAAGTGGGGGAACTTACGCCTTGGGGCGGGGTCCTACGAGCTGTCCGAATTCCGGGTGTGGTGCAGAAGGCGACAATCCCCAATTTTGTGCCTATCAAAAACTCTCCGGTGTCAAAGTGACACCCCTGGGGACTACGGAGGCGGGGGGTGAGGGCAGATAGTACATTGCTCAATGCCACAAGTAGAAATCCGTGAAAGTCATTGAGACGGATGATACACAGCCTCCATTTTTCGCCGATTGTCGCCTTCCGCGTGCCCCCCCCCCCCCGAATTCCTGCTATGTGGCAGAGTACGCATGCTGCCGCAGTCAAAATCTAGGGTCCCGCAGTGACTTCTCAGCCTGGCGCACCGTTGAATTTCAAATTTTAAGGCTTAAGAAAACGCAGGTTCTAGCCGCTTTCGCACCTTCTAATGTGGATTTTCGGATTCAGCGTTGCGGATAACCCCCAATAAGTAGATTTTCTAGTAATCGAGTTGCTCGGACACTGCCTTTGAGGCTAGGTAATGATCAAAGAGCACGCGCGCGGAAGAGACGCAGACTGCGTAGCGAGCGCGAGCAGCCTTGATTACCCACAAAGCCCCGCCTTCCCGCTGCCAAGCCAGTTGAATCAAAGGTTGAAGAGTAACGATACATATTGCGTTGACCGTGCGGGGAACTGTCTCGTCTAATGCCCGCAATTTTCGTGGGTGCTTCTTTCAGGACGGTGGTAAGCAGCAGTAAGCTCATTATTCAGCATAGTTCATGACGCTGACAGCAGATTTTGCACCCAAAAGCCGCCAATGCAGTCTTAGAAGCTGGAAACAAAGTGAATGTGGACCAAGTATGATGGTTCACAGATAATTACCACTGAAGACTTCGTTTCGGCGGAATACTGATCACAGAAGATATGCTAGAGGCGTGGAAAGATTTTCTAGTGAGTAAAGACTACGATTGCCTGGAAGTTCTAACTGCCAGCGAGAGCTTATAAATCCTCTGACTGATAAAAACGAGCGCCAGCAGAAAATTTACAAGAGTAGGATGCATTCAACTGATTCAAACAGCCTATCAGGAACAAGTCAGGACCAAGGTCATGCGAAAACACGATACACCCACGGGTAATATAGAAAAATCAAAGAAAGGAATATCGCAAACACAGGACAGAATAAGATAACGACCTGTGATGTTTGCGTCACCACCGATATAGTCATATACTGAAAACTTGATGTTGTACTGCCCTATAAACAAAAGAAAGTGTCCGATGCTGTTTTGTCCAACAAAAGTCATGATATACAGCATTCCAGCCATCTTCGGAAAAGTATTTTATAGATTAAGCTCTGGACACAAGAGATCATCTTGCGCTCATATACACTTGATTTATTATAATAAATTACACGGGAAAAGACAGATTATCAGTAGTCCTTGAGATCTATCTCAAATGTCGCATGCGGTTGTTTCTCCGGTGCTGCTGGATCAAGTGTGGTGCCACCGGCCACGGCCTAAATTACGTAAAGATAATAAAATCAACTGAAACATCGTTCCATTGCCTCACCTGGGCGACTATTTCGGCTTTCACATCTGGGGTTCTATCTAGAAGCATGATAATGCCTCCGTATGTAATCGCTTTTACCGGTTTGTACCTAGATTCAGAGGCTGAGAACATGAAATAATAATGAACACCTGCAATCATACCTTGAGTTTTCTACCATGGATAGCGTCTTCAGCTGCAGTCGAACCACTCTGGCAGGGTTGTCGATAGTATGAGTAGGTGCTTCGTTTTCCGGTACTGCCTTTCTGAATAAAATGATGAAAGATCAGAATACAAATTGAATGCACGCTTGTCACAAACTTTTCCTCTTCTTTCGCAGTCTTCAGAGCTTCATCATCAACCTCCATTTTCTCCTCCGCACTCTTCTTGGCTATTTTCTTTTTATGCGTGATCGACAAAACAGCCGTTTCGACCTACACATTATGATGCAAGACTAAGGATAGTTACAGCTACTCTTACTTTTTCATGCTCCTCCTTCTTCTTTGACTCAAGCGGTGGAGGATAGGCAAACAGCGATGCTTTGGCATTGCATTTGAACTCGATTTTTGGCATCTAAAATGCAATGGATTCTACAAAGCAACAATATATCAATCCAATGTGATCGACCACTTACTTGCAGATCTTTAGTAAGTGCAATCAGGCATGTGGGTTTGCAAGCCAAAGAGATCAAAGGAACCATGGAGTGCCAATACCAAAACTGCTGGAACGCCATCATTCCAACTACACCAGCCATATCAGTAGTACCCGAGCGATTATGCAATGCAATAGTCATGTTGCGTCCGCCGACGTCAAGAATGCCCTATGACCGCAGTTTCAGATCAAGAAGTGGAAACTAAACTCAAAGTGGAACGTTACTACCTGTGCTATGATTGCTCCAAACTTTGCCATAGAATCTTCCCCTTTCTCAGTGGTCATCTTTGTGAGCTGCTTACGGAACTCACCAACCTGTTATGAATAATTTAGCGATATGTTTGAGAAGACAAATTATTTACCTTTGGACAACTTATATCAGTCTGTTGTACGTAAATGAAGGACAACGCTATGACAGCCCCTTGACGCACATAGTTTTCCTTGGCAGATAGTAGCGGTTCAAGCAGAGATATAGCCTCCTTAATAGCGAATTTGAAACCTTGTTTTCTTTGAATAAAGTAGTCATACCTTGTATCCAGTTCCAGCACAAGCGATGCCAAGCGCCATTGCGGCACCGTATCGAACATGACTATTGAAATGTTCCACAAGCATTCCTACGTAATCTTTGCAGATAGCTGGGCTGCTGAAAATCAGCTGCAGAGTGAAAAAAGTGTTTACAGACATAGAGGCATGGTGATGATTGAAAATGCTACTAAAACTCATTCACAACAAAACCATTCTCACTTGCTCAACAGAAACCCAATGCCCATGACCGAAAATCGCTTGACGTCGTTATTTGGATCGGTTGCTACCTAATAACAATAATAGTGGATTGTGTGATAACGAAAACATCAGAATACTGGCAAACTGCAAAACAGACTCAGAGGTACCTTTTCAAGAAGTCTTGAAACAATATTAGCGCGTCCGCTGCCAACATATGCCATCGACAACATGGCTACCCCCGTTGAACGCAGCATAGCATTAGATTTCACGTCGATGAGTTGCCCGATACATGACTCTGCCTCGTCCTGTCTCCCTTAAAACATATGACATGATTTTGCACTGGAATTGGGAAAGCCGAACCGTATGCCAGCAGTGATATTCCTGTGCGCAGGCCGCGTTGTATCTTGTCATGTTGAGTATCGCAAATGTATTGTACCATATCTTGAAAGGCGGCTGAGTTCAAACTTCCTACCATGACCAGGCCCATAGCTAGTCCAGCGGCCTCTCCAGAAACGGCATCATCCAAATACAGTGCATCACGTAATTGCAAGTATACCTAAAAAAGAGAACGGTATCAAAAGCGAAAAGCATTGCAATGCAGTATCACTAACATCTTGATTTTGTGTTCCCATTGCCGCAAGTCCTAATCCAAGACAGGCACCATGCCGGACAGCAGATGTCTGGGCAGCAGCGAGTTGTTCACGCAAATACTTGATGCAGTCTTCAGTGCCATGATTCGCATGAATGAGGCCTGCATTTCTTGTGATAATATGTATAGCACAATGAAAGGCAGAGCTGATTTTGCATCCTACCCTCTCTCAAACTTCTCAGTACAAAAAAGTGAAAAATGATATGACAATAAATTATAAAATCCCAAAGTGCTCACTAACCAAGAGCATAGAGCGATCCACCTTCCTTGAAACCGAACTGGTCTGCTTCCGTTTTGGGCAGATATGGCTCCAGAAGCTTCATGGCAGCAGATTCATGCCCCTGGATGTTAATGATGAAATGACAAAAACAAAAACCTAGAGAGTTAAGCTTACCTTATGAATAAGACCCAAAGTAGCTACAGCGTTGAACTTATTCCAATTGGTAGCCTTACTAATCCAGTCCAGATTGTCACTGCAAGACTGATAATAACGCAGCTGTAGCTCAATATGCAAGACTCTCTGTTACCGCAAAAAGTCGTCGCATGTTGTTCCAAGATGCATAAGACCATTAGCCATCAATGTCGCATTATGAGCAGTAGCTGTTCGAACACAGTCTTTCATTTCCTACAAATTCTCGACGTCCCAAGCAGATGGAAAAATTAACCAATATTGTGGACCTTCAAAATCAACATATCCGTGTGGTTGTTTTTGATCAAAAATTGCATATGTTGTTTGATAGTCTCTTCTCCCCGTAAGATTGCTTTCAGTCGAGCCATTGGGGAAGACTGCTACAACAATTCAAATTTCGTGTAAGTATATACGCATTAATGCAAAAAAAGATAAGCTTCCATCATATGTTATGGTAGACTACCTCTTCAGTCGGTTTCTCCTCGGACTTCCCTTCGGACTTACTCTCAGCCTGAGGCTGCTCTTGTTGCTGTCCTTCTTTCGGCTCAGCACTTGTTTGTGCTGGAGTCACCTCCATTTTCTCTTCTTTTGGGGCAGCACTGAATGTTTTGTAGTCGATTGAAGCACGAAAGTATGCGGCTACAGGTAAGTAAGTAGACAGTAGTAGGTTGTACCTCGACGATGGTTGATGAAGACCTGCATATGTGTTGAGCACTTGAGTATTGAATTGCTGGGAAGCATTTTCATACAAGTCGAAAGCGATTTGATAAGCGATGAGATCTCCGTTCTGAAAATAATAGCTATGAATACCACTTGCTTGCATGAGTGTCAATTGATAGCCGCAAAAATGATAACGCTCCTGCACAGCTGGGCTGCAGCTAACATAAATTGCGACAGGATAATATATACCTCATGTGACATAAGCCGATCTAGCAGCTTTCCGATATCTTCTGGTCGATTTAACTTCACCAGACACTAGAAACTACTAGTAAAGCACGTAATGACAACGTTGGCCCATAAACTAACCTGACATATGGCAACAAAGTCGGCATGTTTGTTGTTCGTGAATAGACGCACAAGAACATCAAGTAGTTGTGAACGGAGTTGCACATCCATTTTAGCGTTTGTCACTTTTTGGATAGTTTCCAGGAGTAATACTGGAATTTGCTCTTTTTTTTCTATATATGTGAAAAGGCTATAGATAATGCACGGACCATGAGATTCAGCGCTCTGTATGATTGCCTTTTCTACCATATCGATGCGACGAGTATCTAGAGCCAATCCGATAACATACAGTAGTTCATTCTAAACTGAGCTGCACATGATGGAAATTGGAAACAGCAACAAGATGGTAAAGTAGCAAGACATAGTTTTCAAAGTTCGGACATACATCAATGATGTTACCGCTGTTACCAGCGTTACTGCTGTCAGTGTGATCAAAGTTACTATTATTCATTATAAACGTTTTGTGCTGTTACTGGTGTTCCACAATGAGTGAATGATGGACTGCAGTTTCAAAAAACTTGTAATCCTGCCAGTTGATCACTTACTTCTTCTTTACCTGGAGAAGGTGGCAAAAAGACGAACTAGCCACGAACAGAAAAACTTGGCGGTAAGGCGGATCGTTCACCGGAAGGCAAGTAATAACAACGATTAGAACATTTGCAACGAACAACTGTGGTAACACACTAGTAACAGCAGTAACATTGGCAACACTATTAACAGCGGTAACGTTGGTGATGTATGGCCGAACGCTGCACCATTCCACATAACAGTTGTCAGGAGTTGTGAGTAAAACCATGCCAATTTTTGGACGGAGTGATTAAACCTTACGTTTGCAACTCTTTCGCACAAAATGTCATAAAAATAACATTTATCTGAATAGAGAAAAGAATTTGGCCTTTCATACCAAAAATGAGGAAGCTGACGTTGCAAACAAGTTTGCACTACCCGAACAATCATATGAGCAATATCGCGTACCTTATCAAGATTTCGCTGGAATATTCTATTGATGAGGGCTTCCAAGCGGGGATCCACTTTAGCATCACAACTCTTGATACTTTTGTAAGCGTCAATACCAATTTCGATGATCTTATTCACATACTAAATAAACCATTTGAAAGAAATAAAGGTTGTACGGTTGAAGGTCAGAGAAAGCTAAGGCAGGCGACAGACTTATCCGCTTATCCGCTTCAAAAAGTTCGCTATTTGGTCAGATTAGTGAATTAACCAATAGCCAAGTGGACTAAGTGGATCCTGAATAAAGTGGGCATCCGCTTCGCCATTGGTCCCTACACTGATCCGACCAATAGTGAAGAGGATGGAGTGGACAAAGCAGATCAAGTGGACAAGTATGGCGCGCGCCTAAGGATGGGTTCATGTTGATCCGGAAGAGTCTCAGCACAGCGCACAATGAGCGCTGTGCTGAAACGTTCCGGAATTTACGGACCAGTATGAACCCAGCCTAAAGGCCTTGGCCAGACTTCGCTCAAAAGCGCCCAAAAACGCCCGAAAGCGCTTAAAAGTGCCCAAAAGCGCCCAAACTTCTCTGACCTCTCCTCACTCTCTCTCATCTCTCCTCACACGAGAAAGTGAAGAGACACCAGAGAAATTTGGACGCTTTTAGGCGCTTTTGAGCGAAATCTGGCCAGGGCCAAAGAGTGAAATAATGTAACCTCAGCGTCTTTCTCTCCAACGGTCTTTGACTTCGGCCTAGGAGTGAGTTTGAAGTGAGTGTCTGCGGCCAGAGCAAAATTCAGTGAGTTCTCATAATCTTCAAGACAGAAGGCAACCTAAAGTAACACTTATGCAAAGCTGAGCGGATTATTCGCACATACGAATACCTTAGAAGCTAGCAAAGCAGCCTTTTGTCGTGCAGGAAAGGTCCTGTCCTCTGCTAGTTCCTCTATGAAGCTCGCACAGTCCGCAACCTGAACAAGTAGACTGATGTTTTCAAGCGAAACCAGTAATAACTCACTTCAAACCAAGTGTTTGTGAGAACATCCCAGTCGTCAAACAAATCTATTAACATCTCCTTTTCCTTCGCTGGAGAGCGAGTGGATTGCAGTGATTTGAGAAAAGCACCTATTCATTCAACTAAAGTTCACAATTGCATTTAAAACGCAACCTACTTGCATTCACTGGTCCTCCTACTCTCGACTTCCAATTATTGACAATGAACTGCATGTTTAAGCACAAGCTAAAGTTTAGTGTTTAGTTACAGAATGTTGTCAACACAAACAAGGAGGAAAGAACATATGCAGTGGCCATGATGACTTCAAATCATGGCGTGATATATCATTGTCCGCAATTACACCACCGTTCATTTGTGTAACATCGCGGCGGGGAGGGGATCGCAGCTCAGAAGAAAGCTTTATATTTCGAAACTCCAGTTACCTGGATTTCGCGTTGTGTATCTATCCGTAAGTATTCCTACTACCCTTCACTATGAACATGTTGAAGATGAGCGAGAAGCTGTACAAACCACATTTTCCAGCTTTTGCATGATCCCTGATGATCCCCGGCGCTTTTCTTTAAAATCATTTTTCTTTCTCCGAAGTTAACGGAAAACCTTCAAAGCTGTGCGTATTACCTAACCCGACAGTGCTAAGCATGTTGCTGATAAGAACAAATGCTGATTTGAAGTCATGGAATTTTCGATGATCCACAGGTCGAAATTTGAGGTTTCACCGAAAAAGTCGACTTTTTAAAAACTCGCCTGTTCTCATCAGCAACATGCTTAACACTGTTGTGTTAGATGTTCAGTACAACTTTGGAGGTTTTCCGTTAACTTCGGAGAAAGAAAAATGGCTTCAAAGAAAAGCGCCGGGGATCATCAGGGATCATGCAAAAGCTGGAAAATGTGGTTTGTACAGCTTCTCGTTCATCTTCAACATGTTCATAGTGAAGGGTAGTAGGAATACTTACGGATAGATACACAACGCGAAATCCAGGTAACTGGAGTTTCGAAATATAAAGCTTTCTTCTGAGCTGCGATCCCCTCTCCGCGGCGATGTTAGTGCATGCGGCCCTAAGTCAAATCTGAGAAAACCCTCGATGGACAACTCTGTCACACATATTAGGGCGTGGCTGCATCTCTGGGCTTATAACACACCTTATGAAATAAGCACAGAAGAACTTTTGGCAAACCTTATTCATGCCGTTTAGTAGCCCAAATCTGGCAATTTCCACAATGGGATTTAAGCTAATTCGCCTGCACTCGTCTGACAATGAATGATTTTTGCTGGAATGCATCCACTGCAGGGTAGAAAAGCAATAAATGATTTTGGCTGGGCTTCTGATTCGTTTGGCGGTTGGTTGCTATGCGATTCCCAACCTGCATCAAGAAGAAGTAGTGCTTTTTACTTGTTTGCTGCAGAAAGGGACAGCTAACTCATTTTTACAAAATCAATCGTGATAAATTGCCACTTCACTCGGGTAGCCCATGATTTATAATCTGAGTTCGCTTGAACTTGGTCCAGAGGAGCGGACCACGCGTGGCGCGGTTGGTATTACAAGCGACTTGTATTACAATGACGAAATTGTGCTGGGATTGCTCTGGGTGCATGACAACATGAAGGATAGCTGCACATACAGTCGATTCATTTCATATGATCATGTGTGTCACTGCACACACTGCCCACCTCTGGCGTCCTTATCCTGGATTCTAGGAACTGACAGCCCTTGTGCCAAACGTTTCCGATGTTTTCTTAATGCTTTTCCTCCTTTATAGGTACCAATCCTCACAAAGTGATGTAAGCGATAAAAATCGGTCGGTCTTTGCGCTTTTGCGATCGCAATGCCAGGATGGGGACGCCAAAGGTGGTCAGTGTGTGCAGTGACTCACATGATCAATATGAAACTAGCTGGCTTACCCGGCTCCGCCGTATGTTCCGAATAGAAAATTCCATTTCTCAACCGATCCGGACCAAACTTGGCACACATACACTTCGGGCCCCGGCGGGTGTCACAGTCCACTTTTCGTTATCGATTGATGTCGATTTTATCGATTTTTTGCAAAATTTTAGCTAGGGGGCTGGGATTTGGCACAGGGGGTAATCGAGCATGCTGATTACGAATACAATATTAGTTTTCGAAACCGTGCATTACTTTTATCGATTTTATCGATTTTTTTGCAGAATTTGAGCTAGGTCCGGATCGGTTCAGAAATGGAATTTTCTATTCGGAACATACGTACAGACAGACAGACATACAGACAGACAGACATACATACATACAAACAGACATTCAGCTTTATATATAAGATGAATCGACTGTAAGTCTATGGTACTCCTGCGGTACAATATATCGTTGCCCCCCCCCCTGGGAATGGGTCGCGAAATTATAAACGTAACTTAAATGCATTATAAAAATGTGCAAGCGACTTCTCTTTACTTGTAAATACTACTACCACTAACTACTACTTCTAAAGCTCCTAAACCGCATAGTGTTCAAAAACTTAGAAAGAATTGTAAGAATTTTGTTTGTGTTTAGGATTTAATTTAACAAATGCACAAAACATTCTTGTCATAATTAAAATAATTTTTAGAGGGAAAAGCAATGCAAGCTGCACGCGGCTTCCTGGACTTGGAGAAGGCGTTCGATAAGGTGCCGCATGACATCATATGCTGGTCACTACGAAAGCAGATGCCGGAAAAATATGTGCGACAGATCAAGATGATATACAAAGATGCCAGAAGCCACGTACAGACAACAACGGGACCATCAGAAGAGTTCCAGGTCAATGCCGGAGTTCATCAAGGCTCCGTAGGCTTGATACATACCTCGCTGCTTAGGTATGGACAAAACCAGCGAGCAGCGAAGGCAGCGCTGCTTTGGCTGATCAGCGCTGCGCCCGGCTGCTTCTTGAGTGCATGTTGAGTGCAAACCGTCAAAAATAACTGCTTATGTCAAAAAGAAGAGAACTAGCATATTTTAAGTTGGATCTGGTCCATACTTTTATGAGAAGTTCTTCGTTTTTCAGTTTTCATCATTAAATTTACAATAGGAAGGTAGCTCATACGAGCAAACTCAAAAGAGCAATTCCAGTGTATTCATTCCATTCGACCCCTGATAAGGCAATGGCTGTCCCAGTATTGTGAAAGTGTCCCTCAGACATTAACATGATTGGAGTCCACTGGAGGCCAAACTTTATCTGATTACGCTGTCTTATCTTATATATAAAGCTGAATGTCTGTTTGTCTGTATGTATGTATGTATGTATGTATGTGTGTACGTATGTTCCGAATAGAAAATTCCATTTCTGAACCGATCCGGACCAAACTTGGCACACATACACTTCGGGCCCCGGCGGGTGTCATAGGCTACTTCTCGTCATCGATCGATATCGATTATATCGATTTTTATCGATTTTTTTGCTGAGTTCACCTACGGGGCTGGGAGTTAGCACAGGGGGGTAATCGAGCATGGGGATTCCGAATACAATATTGGTTTTCAGGATTATCGATTACTTTTATCGATTTTATCGATTTTTTTGCAAAGTTTGAGCTACGGGGCTGGGAGTTGGCACAGAGGGGTAATCGAGCATGGGGATTCCGAATACAATATTGGTTTTCAGGATTATCGATTACTTTTATCGATTTTATCGATTTTTTTGCAAAGTTTGAGCTACGGGGCTGGGAGTTCGCACAGGGGGGGTAATCGAGCATGGGGATTCCGAATACAATATTGGTTTTCAGGATTATCGATTACTTTTATCGATTTTATCGATTTTTTTGCAAAGTTTGAGCTAGGGGGCTGGGAGTTGCCACAGGGGGGTAATCGAGCATGCTGATCACTCCCAAGGGGGGTGATCAGCATGCTCGATTACACCCCTGTGCAAACTCCCAGCCCCGCAGGTCAAACTTTACAAAAAAATCGATAAAATCCATAAAAGTAATGGACGATCTTGAAAACTAATATTGTATTCGTAATCTGCATGCTCGATTACCCCCCTGTGCAAACTCCCAGCCCCGTAGCTCAAACTTTGCAAAAAAATCGATAAAATCGATAAAAGTAATCGATAATCCTGAAAACCAATATTGTATTCGGAATCCCCATGCTCGATTACCCCCCTGTGCCAACTCCCAGCCCCGTAGCTCAAACTTTGCAAAAAAATCGATAAAATCAATAAAAGTAATCGATAATTCTGAAAACTAATATTGTATTCGGAATCCCCATGCTCGATTACCCCCTGTGCCAACTCCCAGCCCCGTAGGTGAACTCAGCAAAAAAATCGATAAAAATCGGTAAAATCGACATCGATCGATAACGAAAAGTGGACTGTGACACCCGCCGGGGCCCGAAGTGTATGTGTGCCAAGTTTGGTCCGGATACGGCGGAGCCGGGTAAGCCAGCTAGTATATGATATAACCTCCGTGGGTCCTGATGTACGCAGATGATGTGATGCTGATGGCAAGAAGCAGGAATGAAGTGAAGGCCGAGGTGCAGAAGTGGAAAAATGAACTTGAGCTACACGGCTTGCTGATCAATACCACCAAGGCGAGTATATGGAGGTGGGACCTCAAATGCCTGGAACTATAGAGATCGATGGCGCCCCACTCAAGAAGATCACGACATTCAAGTATCTAGAAAGGGGTGGCGGACTTTATGAACGATAGCGCGCGCTTAGGCAGGCGTGTGTCAGTAAGGTGCGCACCGTTAGCCCCGCCTATCGCAAGATGGACGAGCTCTCTACAGTACGGGGGGCGCTCGTTACGTGCGGGCTACTCATTGGAAAACGTCGCAATGCGGCAGCGCGCGGGGAGAAGTAGTGCAGCAAACTTGTCAAATCTATACACCTAGATCATCAATGCTTCTTCTATATTGTTAGTCTTTTAAGTGCTAATTTTACAGGTTTTGTGGGGTAACTCCAAATAAGTAAGCAAAACTAATATGGGAATAGTCTGTGAACAACAAAGGATGAGAGATTGAGAAAGTGTGTGCTGAGAATCATGCTAGCCGAATTTCCTGAGTGCGGTCACTGGCAGTCTGTCGCGCGCGACGTTTTTCAATGGGCAGTCCGCACGTAACGATACGCACCCCTACAGTACTGCTCTAGCACTGGTTCATGGCCATTATACTTGGGACCGAATCGAATGATTATTCGATTATTCGAATAAATCATTCGAATGCGAATCATTCGAAAAGTCGAATATTCGAAAATCTGAGATTTCGAATAAAATTCGAAAGTCGAATATTCGAAATTTTCAGTTTTCGAATATATTCGATATTCGAATATTCGAGAATTTCAACTTTCGAATATTATTCGAAAGTCGAATATTCGAAAATCTCAATTTTCGAATATTATTCGAAAGTCGAATATTCGATGGTCATCAACTCGATCATTCGATGGTCATCGAATATTCGAATCATTTGATGAACATCGAATATTCGAATATTCGATAATTTGAATGATGAAACCAGAGCCCGGCGCAGATTGTATGGAAGCAAGCTGGATTTGGTTTTTTGGGGCGGAAAAGCAAAAGGATGTCATTTTTGTGGCCAAAAATTGCGACGTTTTTTAGTCGGCGTTTCTTCTTTTGAGGGTTTTTTACGTTTAGGGCTGACAGTTAAAGGGGACTTCATTTTCAAAAAGCCTGGAAACGATCTCATGCTGAGCCCTGGATGGTAAGCCTAGCACGTCACTGTAGGAGTTTCTATCAAGCTACAACTCTCAATGGGGAGTGTATAGGCGCCGTAAAACCTAATTGCCCGCGCCGTGCCTTGAACACCAGCGTAAACGAGCGGTCGTCGCAAACGATTGTCGGCGTTCACCATATTCCAAGAAATCTTCTTTTAACTTTCATGTTGTTCTCGTCAATGCAGGGTATATTGACGAAAGCTCCTTTCAAAAGTTAAAAAAAAATTTTGTGCGGAAAAGGTGCGCGTTCACTTCGCTCGCAAAAAGCCTGGAGCGCTTCGGGACCAAATGTTCCCAGCCGCGTCGCGCGTTGGTGTGTCAAAGCGACGCGTGGGCAATTGGATTTTACGGGGCCTGTATATGCTTTGTGGTCCTGGCGCAGTAGTCTATACGGTAATCGTAATGCGCCATTTCTGTTGCAGATGTAGCTGCTATCGATTGATTTTTCGCTATCCAGGGACGCCAGATTTTGATGTTCTTCAACAGCTTCTATCAGCTCTTCATGAGCGTCATTGAGTAAACTTTGAAACTTAAACTTAGAGTTTAAATGTTTAGATCCACCGTAACAAGGCTTTATGACCCCAACAGGAAAAAGTGAAAAATGAGTACCATATTTTTGAGCTGCGCACCGAACAACCTCCTAGACCAAGGTTGAATAAGGTTTCCGTATTTTGTAGACTAGTGAACCAGCAACTGAAGGTGCTAGTAGCATGCGTGCGCTACGGGACCGCCACGTGGTTTCCCGCTATGTGCACATTTTGGAATTGCGCTTACGATTCTTTATATATTAGATACCGGGCGATACGATACCCCCCCCCCCCCACATGCCTGCTGAAAGTACGAGCAAAATATACTCCGGAGGACTTTTTAGCTGCATCTCTTCTTTTGTACACTATTTTTCTTTCTCTGACCAAATTCAGATTTATCTCTGAGTTCCACGGTAGACTGTAACGCCCACCAAACTCAGAGTTATGCAAAGCACATCTGCGCGTTTGGTGGGCTGTTTCTCGTGCAGAACGATTTCGACAATGTTTTCTTACTAGGTATAAATTACCAGTTACGGAGTCTCCTGCCATATATCGCTTTCCATATTTGGTCCATTCAACTGTTGGAGGGGTAAGAAAGGTGCGAGTCAGCTCAGATATAACTCAAGAGTTAAGTCAGAGTAACTGTGAGTTCCGACCAGATTACTACCGACCCTGCCTGAGGTCTAGTGCACGCTGTTCTTCATTCGCATTCGGAGAAGGTGATAGATGTGAACGTGAACGTGAAGATGCCCCTGATATCGTCGCAGCGTTACTTCCACTCGACATCGTAAATTGAGGGCGTATTCAAGGTAATGCAGTAGTGACCGGAAGGATAATGTTGTGTCAAGAAGTTCGTCGTTTGTTGTGGTGCGAGAAAGGGATATGGTAGAACCAGTCATTGTATAGTATTTCCAGCAGCGGTCTAGCTTACCGCATTGCCAACGACAGGAAGATATTGCCATGAGTGTCGAGTCGAAAGTTGCGGGTAAAGCACTTATACAGTTCAACAATGTGTATATTATATGTGTATCGTGGAGTTGTCGACGGCGGTGCTAGATGTAGAGAATCCGCTCAACGCGCTGAGATATACGTCATGTACTGCAGAGTAGTAGTCGCATAAAAGGGCATACAAAGACCTACAATACTTGTAAACTATGCGCTTGGTCATGTTATCTTATATATAAAGCTGAATGTCTGTTTGTCTGTTTGTATGTCTGTCTGTATGTCTGTCTGTATGTGTGTACGTATAAAATTCCATTTCTGCGCCGATCGGGACCAAACTTTGCACACATACACTTCGGGCCCCAGCGGGTGTCATAGGCTACTTTTCGTCATCGATCGATATATCGATGACGAAAAGTAGCCTATGACACCTGCTGGGGCCCGAAGTGTATGTGTGCCAAGTTTGGTCCGGATCGGTTAAGAAATGGAATTTTCTATTCGGAACATACGGCGGAGCCGGGTAAGCCAGCTAGTCATATCATATAGACATTAAATTTTCGAATGATATTCGAAAATCGAATGATATTCGAAGGTCGAATGATATTCGATATTCGAATGATATTCGATATTCGAATATTCGAAATTATCTATTTTCGAATATCATTCGATAGTCGAATATTCGAAATTTTCGATTTTCGAATATTATTCGATAGTCGAATATTCGAAATTTTCGATTTTCGAATATTATTCGATAGTCGAATATTCGAAATTTTCGATTTTCGAATATTATTCGATAGTCGAATATTCGAAATTTTCAGTTTTCGAATATATTCGATATTCGAATATTCGAAAAAAAATTCGAATTTCCCCAAGTATAATGGCCATGTTCCCTAGTCAATTGAAAGCAACTTCTTATAGTGAGCTATAAGCTTGTTGCAAGCTGGGGTGAAGCTTGACTATTTACAGATTTGTTTTGATTTATTTATTTTTTGCCAGACAATGAACAGCTGATATGTTGAACTTGAATTTCAAGAGATTGGCTTTTCTACCTATGAATGACCAAGTGACTCCCGGATATCCAACTTTGGAGTGCGAAATCGATCTGGAACACCTCAGGCATGATTGTCTGAGTGACCTCACATCTTGCGACAACTTCACACGCAATTTTGATTGTGTTACAGATCGATTTATATTGAGGATAGCAGTTTTTGGAAGCAAAATAAAAGACTTTTGTTTTTTAATGCAGATTATAAGTGCAGTGATTTTCCTTTTCCTGAAATCTGAAAAAGTTTGTGGATATGACCGCATATTTGCAAAACGAGTGATATCCGATTGTGCGAAACATTAACAAATGTAATGATGTACACAAGTTATTGAAAATACTTTGCTTGAAACAAAATTCGCCTATAATGCTTGTTTTGAATTCTCGCAATGAAATCTCTTTTTAGCTATGTTTAGGGTTTCAAAACTTACTTTTCTGATTAAAGAGATAATCGTGTTGGTCATTTCAGCAATGATAAAAATATTTCTCGATAAGCTGACTTCTTTTTGAATTAAACTTGAGAGTGCACAATAATATTCAATATAGTAACAGATGTGAATAAAAAAACACTTTTTCAAGTGAAAGAATTTCCTCATACCTACGATGAAAAACCAATTTGATCAAACCTACTAGGAACAAATAGCTGAAATACATTGAAAAGCGCTTGCGGACTGATTTATAATGAAAAAAGATCTGAAAACTGATTTTTTAATTTAATCGAAATTTTAAAATCTACTGTTATCCAAATTGCAACCAACTGAAGAAGCATGAACGAAATACTAGAGAGTTTTCCAATAGCTGCAACTCATTCCTAGGATAATTAACAAAGGGGCGGAGCGATCAGCGCACCGCGTACGGTACCCAGCTGGCGGCTGGCACATGCTATCGTTCATAAAGTCATACACCCTCTAGAAAGTCGCATCGCCGCAGGTGGTACGCTTCAGAACGAAATAATCTGCAGTAAAAATGTAGCTTGGTCGAAATGGAGAAGTGTCAGAGAAATCCTCTGCGATAAGAAGATGCCACTCAAGCTAAAATCCCAGCCGTGTAGCACTACAGTCCGCCCAACTGCTCTGTATGGCAGCGAATGTTGGCCGTGCACCTGAGAAGACAAACGAAGGATTGGTGTGATGAAGACATGCATGCTAAGCAGGAAATGGTCAGAACTTGACCCAGCCATCCCAAACAAGCTGTATATCATCGGACTCGTCTTGAACGCTGATTTCAAATATATATATTTTTATTGCCAAGCGACTATCTGGAAGGATTTATGAGCGTTCAAATATAAGAAATTTTTACGAATTTCGACGAATATATTCCTTGAAATGCAGCCTGATGGCGCGAATTTACAGTGGCTATGGTTATTTTGATTATAAGGAAGAAGCACATTCAACAAAAGCCCAAATAAGTGTTTTTAACACCTTCATAATACGACCCACCGGTGGGTCGTACGTGTTCTGCCGATTCGGATAATACGACCCGCCGGTGGGTCGTAAGATTCCTGAACCTCTAGCTTTGCCAGTATACGATGGAATTCAACGAGGTTCTGGCACATGATTGGGGGCACTTTAGCGAAGCTCCAGCCAGAGTGGTCCAGGTTCGGGATACTCTAATGTAATGTTACGGTAGGTACACCGTAGATAGAAGTAAGGCACAGACTTTAGCTCAAATTTTTCGCAGAGTGGTGCTGTTTTTAAAAATTCAAGTTTACGTGCACGAGGAATACAGGGAAGGCAAGAGACTGATGTCAGGTCATCAAAAATTATCGATTTTATCGATTTTATTGATTTTTTGCATTGTTCATCCCAGGGAGCTTAAATCTTACATACAGGGTGTCCCAAAAAATGTACTCACTGTTTGATTGGAAATAACTCTCTTTGAATTGTTTCGGGAAGCTTTAGGTACCATATTGTAGAGCGAGGTTCAACTTACAAGGGAAGGTTACTTGGTCACCGCGGCCATTCATAATGATTTGTATATCAAAAAATGCGCCTTTTGATACTGGTTCGAATACTTTCCTCCATATCTGCGAAACGATAATCTGGATGGAGTTATGATTATTTTTCCGTGAATGACCTGCGTTACTGCGGAGGGTCAAAATCATCAATAAAAGTTTTCTTTCCTTTTTAAATGCTGAATATGATTAAGATAGGTATAATATTCAGTATTCCTAATAATACAACAGTATTCCCCTTTCTTGTAAGCCTTTCAGATCTACTGTAGGTGTACTGTAGACGGCAGCATGCGTAATTATAGTTGAAAAAAAAAGCTGGTCCGTAAGAAGGTCTTGGTCCCAAAAGGCAGACATCTAAAAATCTGCATGGTCGTCAATGTGTTAACTAAACAAAAGTACGCAAATTTTCCACGAAAAAAAGTTCATAACTTCCTTCAGAAGATCGTTTCGCGATGTCGAGCACAGATTTGGAATCAGCGTTTCGAGATGCATCTTACAATATGCATCCCATCCCAAATGGTTACGGTGACCGAGTATCCTTTCCTTGTTAGATTTACAGTATAGAGCGAATCACCGACTGCTCTTCATTACTGTAGATTACGGTAGAAAATTTGAAGAGGGTTTTGAGCCATGAAAGGCCATATTTTGCCTTGGAAAGGAAACAAAACAACCTGAAAAGTTTCACACTGGGCTAATTAGAGTTGCTGATTCTAAATGTGAAGTTCGCAGCTTTTCATAATGCTTCAATAAAAAGTTATGCGAGGTAAGCAGTACAGGGTTTTTCCAATGCTCTCGAAAATTGCACTTATACCGTTTAGCTTCGCAACCTTGTACATAATTGAGTATTGAACTCAGTGTCCATGGAAACCCAATTACACAATTTTCACATCTATTTGAAAATTTTTGAAACCGCAGCTTTTTTCACAGTGACACCATATGCTTGAAGTCCCTACCGTAATCCTATAGTAATGAAGAGCAGTCGGTGATTCGCTCTGTACTGTAAATCTAAGTTGAACCTCGCTCTACAAAATGGAACCTAAAGCTTCCCGAAACACTTTTACAAGAGAGTTATTTACAATCAAACAGTGAGTACATTTTTTGGGACACCCTGTATATAGGTTTTTTAGCATGCTCATTACGCAAAAGATAGTCTCAAGACCTAATACCGCCTTGTTACACCAGTTTCTTGATTCTAACGAAAATTCTACCGTACTGCTACCGTACTCCCACTGTGGGAAAGTAGTGAACAAAGTGGACACTATAATCGTGGTCAGCACGTGAAATAACCACAGAACACAATTTTGCATGAAAATCCATGATGTGGGTTCGTACAGAATGAATACCGGAAACTTACCGTATACTGCCAAAAAACTGAAATAAATCTTGTTTTGGTAATCAGCGCTCTCGACAACCCTTGTGGGGAAATTCTCGGAGACATGCTTTAAATCTCTTCCAAAAAGACTCACTTCGGACGATACGACCCACGGATGGGTCGTAAGTTTGACAAAGCGAAAAAGGCTCTAGTCCGAAACGGCAGTAGTCGAAAAATCGGCCTTGAGACTTATTTCGCAAAGGATGCGCTACAGAACAATTGACAAATCGCACATTCACACGCTCATAACTCCAGATAGTCGCTTGGCAGATAATAAACATGTATTTGTGATCAGCGTTTCAAGGCGAGTCCGATGATACACAGCATGTTTGGTAGGCTGGTTAGATTCTGACCATTCCCAGCTAAATGGACAGCGGAAGTCACGATGCTGGACCATATCACTAACGAGACCATTCAGCTACGATGAAGGTCCCCTATCGTCAAGAAGATACAAGAGGAGAGATTGCGATGGTATAGACACGTTAGAAGACGAGTGGAAGATCATGTCGCTAGGTTGGTGATGTCAGTCGAACTACCCGGAAAGAGGCAAGAGGGAGGCCGAAATTGAATTGGATAGACAAAGTGAAAGCGGACATGAGAGAACTTAGATAGAGGAAGATCAAGATGAAAATCGAGAAGTCTGGAAGAAACTAACAAAAGCAGCAGACTCCCTCTGAGGGAAGAATGCAAGGATAAAAAATAATTCAAATAATTTTCAAAAATTTTTGAAAATTCAAATTAGCCTTGCAAAAAAATTTTTTTTCCGGGGCCAGCGGCGGCAGCCACGCCCCCTTTTTTGAAATTTTGGAGTTAGGGGCGCGCAAAAACCTTGGGAAGCATCCCAAAAAATTTTCCTGAGTGCGTGGCTGACGCCACGCACCTTCGGAAAAATTTTTTTGTCGCCCCTCCCCCTTGAACGGAAATCCTGGGTACGCCACTTGCATCTGGTAATCATTTCTGAAGCAATATGTTCTTCGATGAGTTAAAAATGATGTCGAAAAAGTAAAATCGGTGTTTCCTGAGCTTCCAACTTCCGAACCCCCAGTTAAAGCGGCCACATTCCGGCCGTTTGACCCTCACGCTCATCAACTGGGAGATCTAAAAAGAAGGCGTCATGCCACCAAATTCATTGTGGAAAACAGACTGGAAAGATGCTTCAGATTTCATTATAACACTCCTTTCTTGACAAGTCTCTGGTGACCAATCCCACGAATTTCAAGGATGACAGTGTCACGTTTATTGAATCGACAACGATACTAAATTGGTCCGTTCACGCTCCAGACCCGAAGAGGATGTGAAAATAGAAATCAAATTTAGATCATCATCCATTCAACTGCAGCACCGCAGCAACTGCAGACTAAAAGTTCTTCCACAGCAAGTTCGATCACAAAGTCTATGCATATCACATCGAGTAGGAAGCAATGAAATTTAAGTCTCCAGACAAATAATCAGTAAATGAGAGAGTGAATTGGAGTTGGTCACAATCGTAATGAATATGCTAAAAAGCAGTTTAATTTAACGTAAGATTCCTCAAGCTAGAACTTACAATTAATATGTTCTACAGATTTTCACAGTATGAATATGCTAAAATTGCAACTTTCTGCATTTGCATTGAAACTGATTGGCACAAGCATAAAGCAAAACGTGAATGAATACCACTGTTGTGAATATGTAATTCTTTTCAGCATCTATGCATGTTAACAATTCTACGCTTTTTACAAATCTCCGAGTTAAAGCTACAGTGAAAACAACATTTTCTAGAAGACAAATGAGAAGTTTAATGCACATAACAGTGGAAGATAAAAATCACTCTAACGAGTTAACCTACGCCCGTCGCAAACGTCGAGAACACATCACTGAAAAAGCGACAAGAGAAAGTTAAGTCTCTTTGCTATGTTTTCAGGAGAATAAGAGATTTTCTGCGCTAACTCCTTTACAACATCTTCACTGTTGCCATCGATACTATTGTAAGTCTTTAATATCATAATGTCCACTTCTTTCGTCCAAAGAGGCTCCTGGAAACAAACAAAAAAGTTTCTGTCTGAAACATACGGGACATTTCTTTAGGTGACAACAACTACCTGAGGTTCCTTGTTTTCTCCTAACTCCTCATTTTCTTTTGTGACCAACACAGGCACATAAGAACCATTTTGAAGGTAATTAAGCTGACCTCCAGCTACCTATAACACATTTGCTGTCAACTTTGAATAGAGATCTATGAATATCAAAGCAGCACCTGCAACAGCCCCCCTTTCCTCGGCGGCAAAGTCCCAAGCACTGCATTTAAATCATCGATACATTCAGCGCCGTCGTCTTGTGCCGGTTCTGCTTCCGTTCTCTTACGCAGATCAATGAACTCGAAATCAGCTGGTGTAACGCTGCAAGCATTTGGACTGACTAGTCGTATGTAACCTGTAACAAATGGTTACCACACCTCTCTTCGTAAGGCAATGGAAGCCACTGTCGGATATAATTCCATAACGGTCTCTCATTACTTAATAGATCAGACAAACGATCACAAAAATCCGATTCACTTAAGGCCTGACCTGGACAAGTAACCCAGTAATAGTGAATACCTTTAGAACATGAAATGACCTCACCCATTGTTCCGATGGTCTTCAACAGACTTCTAGTATTTGAACTTCGAGATCGTGTGCCATTGCAATAAGCCTTAAAACCTCGCGAATGACATTGGTTAGATAAAAAAAAGTTCGCAATGTTTGTATATGAGATTACAAAAAAAGCAGTTTCAGTGAGAAAAAGTCTGATGCAATTCTCACTGCCCATCAACTTCTTGCCAACTTGTCGCAAGACAGCTGTCCAGCAATTCCAGTGCAGATAACCTTCCCTATCAAAGGCTCAGTTGAATGGCGACCTTGTTTGATTCAAGGTAGTTTTTTTGCCATAGCAAGCCGTTCTTTTTACCTCATATTGACTTATACATGAAGTTTTTTCATGCGTACTCAGTACTTAGAGGAAGACGAAAATTTTCTTTACCTCAATGGCTAAAAGCATCTGCAAAGCTCCATGATAGCCTCTGCGCAAAGGACTCGTGAGAAGTTCAGGAGGTAGAATCGAGTCATCTGTTAGTAAAGACAACAACGCCAATACATCCGCATGCTTTGGCAACAAAGCTGCTTTCAAACGATCAAACTGCTAAAAAGCTCCGATCTCAAATGCAATAATCTTATCTACAATCAACTCACCGCTTCCAGATTATCATCGCCCAATACAATTTTCTCTACAGTGCGCCATATATCTTGATGCATGAACGTTCGCTGCCGAACATCATCAACTATTTTCCTGGCAAGATTTTGCATTTGTCGTGCGCGGTGATGGAAGTTCTGCATGCGCTCTAATCCCATTCGCTCCTAATTTACCAATCATTTGAGTAAGATAAATAAACAGACAGAGCGTACCTTCTCAGTTCGAGTGCGCCTCTTCATCCTCGTCCTTCCACTAGCATCAAGATCATCCATTTCCTACAATTACGCATGTAAGTGCCTATAGATATCCAGTAAAAAATATGAATCATACTACTTACTTTTGACCTAGAAACATCTTCTGAAGCACTGTGGGCGGCATCGTCCAACGCTGATAACGGCCTACTTTCGACAGATTCACCGAAGAAAGTTGAATCGTTGTTCTCACAGGCCCAGGTCGATTTCCAGCTAGTAGAAAATCCCGAACTTGCAGCACTGTTTCTCTTGACTTCAGCGGAATTTTTGATCTAGATGTTTGAAATTGGAGAGTTTAGAACATCGGCCATGTCACCTGAGAGTCAGTATAAGCGATACCTCAAAATTCGATGTCAAAAAAAGAAGAACGCTACGGAGATGAGATGCGACCCACCTCTACTTTGGCAAACAGTGCTCTACTGATCGCCGACGGAGCTCGTAAAAGCGTAGGACTTCTTGTGAGTGCATCGTCTCTCGGAGTTGCGGGAATCCCGAACTAAATCTCGTAGTTTTATTACGATAGAACGGTAGAAACCCCATGAAATTAACTTACATCCGAGATAGGACTTTGAGATCGCGAAGCGCCTAGATGGTCAGATGTTAGAGGAGAGAGATTGGACGGAGTTCCAAAAGTTGGTGTTCTAGGAATGGTACAACTCTGAAAAAAAAAGTATACAAAAAACGTCTAGGATACATGTTTGAAGATCATTACAGTAGAAGGAAAGTTTTACATAATCCGCTCCCACAGATTCTCCTCTCGATATCTCCAAAGGCTGAAGGCTACGGTCGTCCACGTCACAATCGTGAGTGATTCTAGCTATCGAAGCTGGCTGAAAGACATAATAATGATTTCTATGGATAGCATAGAAACTGAGATGTTGTGACATTTCTCGTGAAGCTGTTGGTTGCGATGTATGATGTTTTATATCAAAAGCATTACTATTTTTCTTTGATAAAGTGGACTATTACGAGCTTGCTCACCGTAACCCTGAACCGCGCCCAGCGGACGTTTTTATCAATCTTGTGTTTCACAGAATGATAGGTATGGCCCAGGGTGGTGAATGATAGATATGGCCCAGGGTTTGCAAAGCTTTGAAGATAGACCTCCAGGTCGCAAATGAATCGCCGGCTTAGCTATTTGAGCAAAGCTTTAGTTAGGCACCACCACACCTCCACCAGTCACTCACGTCCCCAGACTTCCTGGATGTCGTCTCCAACTCAAGTTTTACGATGCGAGATTCCGTGCTGCTATATGGCTCACAACTGCCACAGCAGCACATAACTTATCAAGTAAAAAGCAAGTATTGCCAAAGCCGTTATGTTCATAATGGGTGTACGGACAAACAGGTTCAACAAGTTGACGAGCGAGCCATTTTCGGGCGGAACACCCACTAACGTTTCTCGCGCAGTTGACCCATGCATATGCGCGTATGCACGAAATCATTATGTGGGGGTCTTTTTGACGCTTATTCATGAAGCATGCAAACTCTTCCACAAATACATGTTTATCACAGAGTCTTACCAGTGGCTGTATTCATAATCAAGCTTTGAGATAGAACCTGATCTTGAGGCAGCTTCGTGAATACGGGTCAGTGGCATAGCGAGGTAGAATCTACCTCAAGGTAGGCCTAACCCTTGAGAAATGTTTGTCGTGAATACGGGTACCCTGTGACCTTGTTTTGCCACGGGTCTCATTCTGTCGACCCACTGCCTTCAAAGGCAGTAGATCGGCAGAATGAGACCCGTGACAAAACAAGGTCACAGGGTAGGAGCCCCCATATGGAACCTATCGGCCAAAGTCCGATCTTTCTCTGCCACTTCTGACCCCCGAAATTTCAACGCGGAAGCAGCGCTCATCTCCTGTATTCTCTGGCCCCGCCCCATGGGATGGGATGGTGGGCGGGGCCAGAGAATACAGGAGATGAGTGCTGCTTCCGCGTTGAAATTTCGGGGGTTAGAAGAAGTGGCAGAGAAAATCGGACTTTGGCCGATAGGTTCCATATGGGGGCTCCTACCCTATGACCTTGTTTTGTCACGGGTCTCATTCTGCCGATCTATTGCCTTTAAGGTAATCAATCTCAACGTTCGTTGACGAGCCACAGGATTAACTCATATCGGGATTTCTGCAGCGCTTTCTCCTCCAATAATCCGTGTACTGGCTGTGTGGGAAATCTCCCTCCGAGAAAAGCGTTATAATACTAGGTCATTTTCGCCTGATTCATCCCTCTTTGTCCTCACAACAGCTATACAAAGTTTCGCCTTCTTGGAAAAACATGATTATGACATGATTTAATACATCAAAAATGGATCGATTGCCCAAATCTGCGATTTGAACTCCTGAACAGCTACTGTTATGTCCTGTGTTTTATATGACAATCACCATCAGCAGTAATACTGCATAGAAGTTACCTTGGAACTTTTCGTTTACACCTAAAAAATTGACTTGCATACGTGCATGCACGAAAATGCTAAGCGGGAGTCAAGGCGTGCATACGCGCATATGCACACGGTCATCAACGTTTTAACTGACAGGAATGTACAGTCTGCCCCAATCGGGATCAGGCCAAACCGTCAGCTGAATTTGTGCGTTCGCAGCGCTAGGAGGTTCGCGCTGCATACGCGTGCTGTCGCAGAGAGCAAAGAGACTGAAGAGAGAGCAGACTAGCTAGCCGTGGGTGCAGGACTCTATGTCGCCGAATGTGGAAGAGTCCCGGGCGGATTACCTGCAGGAACGCATGTCCGCGCATATACAAGGGTGCGTATTTGTCGTAGATGACCGCGGGGACCGCCCTTTTTCGCCGACATATAGTCCTCTACCCGCTAGAGGTAAACGTGACGCAATAACCTCGCGACAATCACTCCCGCCATGCCAATTTTGGTCTGGTTGGGATTGGGGCAGACTGTATTGTCGATTCGCTGCAGCAACAAGCCTTCGCGCCTCAACAGCCGGTTCGTATAGTGACAAGCGCTTTCCCTCTCGCCGCGTGCTCCCCAGTAATGTCCAGTCCGTGCGGCAACGAACTGAAAACATCATGTCAAACATTTCTTGCAGATTAAAAAGTCTTTTGGGACCGCCGATACTTTTTGCTAGGAGTAATGACTTAAAGGCAGCGTCCAGGCAAGTCTGGACACATGGGGATCTCACGTGAATATTAATTTTGGGGCCCTGACTAAGCTCCTGCGCAACCGGCAGCTCAGGTAGTGCTCTAACGGCTGAAATATTCCCCTCAAAACTGGATCCCGCGATCGTATTCCGCATGGATTCATGGCGCAAAGCGTGTGTCCTGGCGCGAAACTGCCATGAATCCATGCGAATACGATCGCGGGTTCCAGTTTCGAGGGGAATATCTCAGCCGTTAGAGCACTACCTGCGCTGCCGCTTGAGCAGCGCTTTAGTTAGGGCCTCAAAAGTACTTTCCACGTAAAATCCCCGTAGGTCCAGATCTGCCTGGACGCTGCCTTTAAGTCTAAGGCATCGGGCATACCCTGCGCGATTACTCCACTGCACATATGTTCCTGACGTCTCGTTCAAGTATTCAAGAGACTGGGTCCCAAAGCATTCGCGCCAATTTGTAGGGGCGACAAATCGCGTGCAACCGAGCAGCTTTTTGACAGGCATACCTTCAGTGGCGATATCGCCACGACATCGCCGAAACCGAGAAATCGCGTCGCAGAGTCTGCACCAGCGGCGATATGCCGCGCTACTTTCTTCTCTCTGGAGAGATTTCGCAAGTCTTTTTCTTCAATTTTAACTGTTGTACCATGCGAATAGCACCCCATGATCTGCGCTTCCGCCGCTCACTTGTTTCCACTCACCACTCTGTATTGCTTATCCACTTTTTCACTTATCCACTTCTTTCTCTATCCTTTCCACGTATCCTTTTTGACTCTGGATTTACCGAAGCGTTACTAAATTGCCTTGGCAATAGACGTAAGTGTTTCTTCTTCTTGTTTCTTTGTATTTTTTGCTTTCCTTTTCTTCAGAATTTCCTGACTACTTGAGGGTTTTTCACTGTGTAAAATTGTCTGTTGTTTTGGTAATACTACTCTTCACGATTGCTGCTACTGTTGGTTTGCATCTCTGACTGCGTTAGGGTGGCTAATGTGTCACAACTTGCAACAACTTGTTGCCAGCATGCAATAGCATGTTGGCGGCAATGTGTACCGTCCTTGAGCAACATGTTGTTGCACGTTGCAACATAACTATACTTGCCGCAGTCAGAGATGCAAACCAAGGCTAGCAGCAACCGTGGAATGGACGATGCTGTGGTGAACGCGTCTATGAACATGACTAGCATTGTGAGAATAGTGTGTGAAGAGGAATGAGATGAAAGATGTTAACCGAATTGAAAAACTCGATAATGTTTTGAGTTCATTCGGGCGCGACGTGTGAGCTGTGAGTTTGTAAAAAGTATGCCCGGAATGAGCGACATGCGATGTCCCGAAGCGATTGGACGGCGAGGCATTCGATGCCCCAGCGATGAGAATCGCTACGATGGAGTCGCCGATGTTATGCTTGATATCTAAAATATACATCAGATATACATCACACGCCTCCAGTCGCTGCTCTTCTCCACTCCAGCGACTCCTCTTAACCAGACGTGAACCCACTTCACTTGGGCAAAACTTGATACGTCTGCGAGACTTACCCAAGCTACGCGCCTATGCATTCAAGCATCGCGCAGAATCGAATAAGCCCTTAGGCCTCGGGCATACCTTCAGCGACTCCATCGTAGCGATTCTCATCGTTGGGGCATCGAATGCCTCGGTGTTTGATCGCTTCAGGCTAGTCGCATGTCGCTTATTCCGGGCAAACCTTTTACAAACTCGTAGCTTATACGTCGCGCCCGAATGAACGCAAACAATGCCGAGTTCCTGAATTCGTCTGGTATCTCTTATTCCCTTTTCAAACGACGCTAATTAAGCTCAAAGACGCGTCCATCACAGCATCGCCCATTCCACGATTACTGTTAGCCTTGGTTTGCATTTCTGATTGCGGTAGGAATGGCTATGTAGTAACGTGCAACAACATGTTGTTCAAGGACGGTACACAATGCCGCCAACATGCTATTGCATGCTGGCGACAAGCAGTTGCAAGTTGCCGACATATTAGCCACACGTACCGCAGTCAGAGATGCAAACCAAGGATAGCACCAATCGTAAAGTAAAGTAGTATCAGTAAAGCAACAGGCAAGTACACAGTATAAAACCTTCAAGTAGTCAGGAGATTCTGAAAAGGGAAAAGGAAAGCGAAAACCACAAAGAAACAAAAAGAAGAAAACTACGTCCATTGCTAAGGCAATTTAGTAACGCTTCCGTAACTGGATCAGTAAAAAGTAAGTGATAAGTGATCAGTGGTAAGTCAAAGTGGTGAGTGGAAACATGTGTGCAGCGAAGCGCAGGTCATGCGGTGCTATTCGTATGGTGCATCAGTTATAACTGAAGAAGACTTGCGAAATCTTCCCAGAGAGAAGAAAGCAACATATCGCCGCTGGTGCAGACTCTACGGGATTTCTCTCAGTTTCGGCTATGTCGTGGCGATATCGCCACTGGAAATATGTCAAGAAACTGCTCGCGATTGCACGCGATTTGTCGCCTCTACGAACTGGGTGGAGGACTATATGTCGCCGAATTTGGAAGAGTCCCGCGCGGATTCCCTGCAGGAACGCATGTCCACGCATGTATAAGGGTGCGTATTTGTCGCAAATGACCGCAAGGACCGCCCTTTTTCGGCGACATATAGTCCTCCACCCCTACGAACTGGCATGAATGGGCGGGACTCACTTCAAATACTTGTGCGCGAGAGGTCCGGAATCAGGAATATGTGTGCGGTAGAGTAAACGCAACGATCAAAATCGTGCAAGGTGTGCTCGATGCCTTGGTCTTTGACAAATCACCAAGTTGCGTGGAGACTCGACAAAATCGCGGAAGGTATGCCTTAGGCCCTCAAGGATTTAGAACCCATCTGAGGTGAACGGGACACCAAGAGATCTTAAATTTCTCATCTTACCGTCACCTGACGTCAAGTAAGCACCAGTTTAGTGTAAGAAGGGATTATAAACAAACCTCAACTTCCCTATCAGGAGTGTGTAAACGGCAAAATTGTGAAGGCAGTGATGATTCCAAATCATGTGTGGTTGTCATCAGAGCATGTTCGAGGGGGGTAAATGAAGTTCCACTTAGATTGGCTGTCAACCTAATCACTGCATCAACTTTGGACTTGATCAGCTTGAACACCTGCGCTTTCCTTTCATGTGCTACCAGTTCGGTATCAAGCGAAGAACAAGCTGTTGGAGATGGCTGCCTAGTCTTTTTGGTCACTTTACGAGCAGAATTCCGATGTATTGCTTTCTCTATGCTACTGCTAGCCTTCAAAGATGTGAAGCCTTCTCTGTGCTGCGTTCTGTTGCTCGGCCTTCGAAGAGACTCTTTTCGAATACCATAGGCCTCTTTCTTCATCCGCTTCTGTGCATGGACTTTCTCAGGAACCCAGTCACAATCAGAAGATTTCCTTCTACGTTGTGAACGAGAGTCGTGCTTATCAGGTTTGGTAGAACTTCTGCCATGAGTACTCACGGCTCCTTCTGACGTGTTCTCATGAATTCTACTTGTATTGCGCCTTGTAGATTTTCTCGTACTTGCTTTTGATCCATTTTCATTTAAAGTTGCGGGAAATTTTGTTTGTAATCTCGAACAGCGTTCGCGTCCAATATTTTTCGCGTCCCGTCCTTCCTTCCTGACGTCACTTGCTTCTCTAGAATTTTCTGCACTCACGATTTCTCCCTGAAAAATTTTAAATAATGAACATGAATCATAATTTGATTTTAGGAATGTCGGTTATCATTTGCGTTCAAACACTATAATAAATACTCACCTCCTCCAACTCCTCAACAGAAAACTCAGACTTTGGTAACTGCAGGCTCTCGGGACATTTCAGTGACTTCAGCGTTTCCGAATTTTTTTGCGGTTCTATGCTATACTCTGTCTCTATTCCGCAAACATCTGGCAAATTAGAAGCTGCAAGCTCTTCAGTGTGGCTGAGATTCAGCACACGGTTGCAAGAAGGGGAATCCAAAAAAACCTCCCCCTGTTGTGGAATCTCAATTTCCATTGAATCGGCGATGGGGCTTCCTGTTGGCTGTGGGAGATCAACTTCCTCGGGGTCTTCTTTTATAGTTGGACGGAGAAGATTAAAGATTTCGGCATCGCCCTGCGCCACATAGTGTCGCGAGGAATTGCTCGTATCACTTTGCGCAATGAAAGATTCATGCTCTTCTTGGGGATTCCGGACTGAAAGCTGCGAGGACTCCTGAAAACGATACCCGCTCATTGACTATAGCTTTCGAAGAGAAGAACACACTCACATATACATACGAGTAGGGCCTAGCATGCACGCCAGTTTCTTCTGACTCTTCGCTTTGGTGAAAAACGACGTCTATCTAAAATGCACATGTTTATATATTCAACATAACCCTGACTCAGGGTTAAACCAGATCTAATGCGTCAGTGAACAACACATGGCATAAGCGCCCTCTCCTTCCATACTTGCTTAGTTTACGAACATGAAGGTGTTTAAAAAAGAATAGAGTGGTAGAAAATAGCTGATAGCCTTTGGTTCATAGTCTCTTACTCGAAAGGAAAGGCAAGGATGCTCGCTTATTGAAGCACTATAATATAAAAATGCTGGATACTTTGCTCAGTGCTCAGTCCCTTTTCTGAACTTTGTTTCTTTGTCAAAATAAGGTAGAAGTTACTTCTAGGCGAAAATATGCAAACTCTGCCTTCCCGCAAGTCAGAATAAAACCGAACTGCGCAGTGTTGTTAGTATAGCCCAAAATGAATAGCAACAAAGTAAACCTCATAAAAGACTGATGAGCTCGATATTGCCACAGAAGGTCTCTTCTCTGGTTTTGCCACAACTTCGATGACAATCGGGTTAGTAATCTCATACGTTGCGTTGGATGGCGACGCTTGCTTGCTGCCATGGACACATGGAACGATCAATGTAGGTCCGATGGTTGTAAAATGTTTGAGAAATTTCTGAAAAGGAAGAATACAAATCCAACGATGAGTTCATACAAGCAAAAATGATAGTAAAATAAGCTGACACAGTAGCTTCACTAATCTCCAACTGACACGTCGGAGGTTCCCAATAAAACTAAAGTCAGCTTTCTTCCTGTGTGATGATTCACTGAACTCTTTAGCTGAACCGCCTCCTAATCACTGCGTCGTGACGCAAGCAGGCTGCAGGTTTACAACTTCGAAAATTAGGCTAGACTTTAGCACACTGAAGCGTCATCATGCTCCAGCTGCCCAACCGGCAGCTCAGGTAGTGCTCTAACGGCTGAGATTCCCGAGGGACCGTAGATTCGCCCGCAGGAACCATTACTTTTGGATTGGAGCAGGAATTGTGTTTAGAGCGCTCAATCGTCTCTCGTTCTGCTACGCGCAGTTATGAATTTGACGGAACTCCTTTTTCCAGTACAGTTTAGTCTATATTAGCTCTTTACACTGTGTTCTTGTGTGACCAAGAGGTTTAGATTCATCTTGTAGGTTTGAAGTTCTAGAGTTTCTCAAGTGAGGTGTGCATCAGAGTTATTGTAATTTTTATTGTCAAGTTTACTAGAGGTGGAAAGAGCAACTGGCTAGAGGTCGTCAAAAGTAGTCTACAGCAAACTCAGCCCCGGTCAACATTTTGACCCAGTTGCATCTTGATGGTCCCGTCTCATTCGGTTTTCATATAACAAGGCGGTGACGAGGTTGCATCGAGGTTTTTGCGCTCGGATGTTCTACACAAACAAAGCCATCGAAATGTTTGCCACTTTACAGCTGACACTTATTTTGCAGACGCTCTTGCCGCTTCTGTCATTTTAGCGGATCTCTTCATATGTCATGTTTGGCAACAGAAATCTATCCGAGGACATTTGAATTGGCAACAAATTTGTGCAAGTTGTGTGCATTATCAACTCTCTGCCAGATAAACGTGGAACAAAGATTGATTTCATGAGGGCATCGCAATTCAATGCATAAACACTAAAGCATGAGGAATAAAAAATACATCGCAGCGCTTTATTGCTCCGAAAAGGAGGGCATTTCACAGTCAAGCTCTGCCATGATTTGCTTTGTAGTATTTGAGATTTACTTGAATCATTCAGGCCTGTTGTAGAATCAACTTTTCTCCTTCTGGTGTAAGGCACATTTGATACAACAAACTTGCATTATGGCCCCAATCCTCATATTTCAAGTCACCCAATAATTTACAATGCAGATTTTCAGATTTGAGAAGAGCATTGATTCAGGAAACAATTTTGTGCCAAGTACCAAAAATTAGGTATGAATGAGTCTATTGACGTTTTATCATGTTCTTGTAAATCTGAAACACTGCAAGGGCTGACATGAAAACTGGAGTCATGGTTCAAGTTTGTTGAAGGTGACATCTGCAATTCTTATTGCAAACGGTTTCGGTTAATGGTGCGCACATTTTCGAAAAACTAAGTCGTAAAACCTAAGCATCTGCATTTCAAATTCTTTTGCAAAATTATATTCTTGGCGAGCTTTGAAAAATGAAGTTCAGTGGTCTTTTCCCCGCTTACATTTCTGTGACCGTACCGTGGTAGAAACTCGCCGAGATTACCATAAGTCTGACTTTTTTTCAAGTATATTTGTATGTATATTTGTATAAGGCAAATTCGCCTGGATGATGCAAAAAGTAAAAATTTTTCAGTGAAAAGGAGAAAGTTCTGTGCATCTGATACTTGAATTAGCCTTTCAGGTCCAAGCAGCATGATGTATGGTGATAAAAATCTACAGCGCATCCCAAATACTGTGCAGACTGTATGATCGTTAATAACTCTCTTGCCTTCATGTCTTCTTGAAGAGGGCTGTACAAATTTTACGGAGCTGAAAGACTTTGACAAAAGCACAAAAGAACAAATCTTGCCAGCTCTCGAGAAGTCACAGCAAGAAGACGACGATCAACCGCTGATCAGGGCGCAACATTCACAATCAGAGACAAACTACGATGTTAAGAAGATGGTAGAATCGTGGTTTCCTAGTGCCACCTTTTTGCAAGAATTTCGCTTATAGGTAGACTCCCCAATAGTCAAGGCATTCAATGAAGCTGAAAGAAGACGGTTGTCCAGATCGAAAAAGTGATATCTACTAAGGAAAAAAGGAAAAAGCAAATCAAACTTTTATGTACAAATTCAAATCGCATTAGTAAGGAATTTTGTACTTGATGCTGATGGTAATGGAGACCTGGAGCTTGAGTAACTCATCTTATGCTGTAACTCTGCGCGGTTTCCCAAAATCAGTTTCCGCTGGTGATACCCATTTGTCCAGATTTGCCTGGACGCCGGAAGAAAGTGGCTCGGCAAGCTTAATACGGAGATTAGAGTTGCAGTAGTAGAGTTGCAAGACGCAACATTGAGTTATTTGGTAAGCGCATCCTCAAAATCAGCATTGGAAGGATAAGGTGCTCTACGGAGGATTCCTGCTCCAATCCAACAGTAATGGTTCCTGCGGGCGAATCTACGGTCCCTCGAGATTCCCTCGAAACTGGATCCCAGAATCGTACTTCGCATGAATTCATGCGCGACCCATCAGTTTCGCGTGGGTAGCTGGCGGCTTTCGTTCCCCTACCCCTCAACCGTTGGTGAGTCAGCTGCGCTGCCGCTTGGGCAGTGCCTTAGTTAGGGTCCCAAAATTAATTTCCACGTAAAATCCCCATAGGTCCAGATTTGTCTGAAGGCTGCCTTTGAAAGGCGCTCACTTGGTCTGTCGTCATCATGGCCTGCCACCAGTGGCGTACCCAGGATTTCGGCTCGGGGAGGGGGGGGGGGGGGGCGACAAAAATATTTTTCTAAAGAAGGTGCGTGGCGTTAGCCACGTACTCCGAAAGCGCGCCGCTCATACGCAACGAATCTCAGAGGCAAGTGAGCCTTTGTTATGGCTTGTGGGAGGATGGGAAGGAGGAGTTTTAGATTTCAGTTCAATTGCAACAATTCAGTGCTTCAGCCCTCGCAAAATGCTCTGATACCAGATCATCTCCAAACGGTAGAGAGCCTAACTAGACATCGAGGACGGAAATCAAGGCTTTGTTCGAACCGGTGAGCCGTGCTCCATAAAAATGCGCCAACCGTCTCAGGCATAAACAAAGGTGAAAGGAAAAACGGATAAAGATATAATATAGAATAGTTCCAAAAAATCTAACAACTGACATTGAACCAAATTGGCCTTTCCTCATCAGGCCACATCTGTAACGTATCGTAGCGGGCAACGGGACGTTCGAATGGAAATCGGAGGTGACAAACGCCATTCAGTGCTTGCTGTAGTAAAGTACGTGATAATGACACGACAAGGTTCGCTACAACAGCTATTTCTTACCACAATAATTTGGTAGATCGGGTTTCTATTATTCACTTGTCCTTCAGTGTGATTTCTTGCAAGTCGGATGTGTGCTCGTATTTGTGATATTGTCTTACAGGGTAGTAACATTTTTTGCACCCAATATAGCCTAAAAGCACAAGAGAATCAGATAACGTCAGCATTAAATATGGCATATACATCGAAGCTCAGCAACTTGTGAACGAATTTTAACTGGCAATGTGATGAGCAACGCGCAGTCTGTTGAGCTTCGATACACTGACAATTTTGACATTGAAAAGCACAGGAGAGCAAAAGATTTGTCTACACGAACTTCAGTTAGGACAATCTCACAGAGTTTACCTTCCAAATGGATCATGACCCGTGGATTGTGGAATATGCCTAAATTGTATGAGAGCATGTGCCAACAGAAGATCTTCCCCTGGCGTGAAAAACTGATGAGGACAATCAAAAAGATCAGGTTGTACACCAGGTATGAGATCAGGGTAGATAATAGCTCGACTACGACCCAATACTAAAGCCGCTTCCGGTCGCGGTGACCATCCTGAATATACTGCATAGAGAAACTTGAGTATCTTACGAATACAAGACTGACCAAATGGGTTCGGATCCCATTTCACTTGTTCTGTTTCAACCTTAGTTATGGCCATGATGTCATGACAAGATTCGATTGCACCAGCAAGGTTGTAGATATTGAAAAGAGATGATTCGCCGCCTTCATAGAAATAGTTATCGAGTGAGTTCTGGAAAGTGATCCTTTACAGCAAGCAATGAAGCAAATCAAATCCAAGCAAATCTATCGAAATGGCGACTAATTAGGAAAACAAGCCTGGAACGTACAATCATGAGCTGATATTCATTCTTTACATGAAGCAACCTTTCGTCATGAAAGCACATAACCACTGATTGGGTGAGAAGCTGCACATGCTGGAATCAGACTATCAATCAGAAAGAAAAAAACATGAAATGGTGAACGAATTTCGCAGACAATGACTGAACAAATAAATGACGTTCTAGATACCTGTTCTAACTGTATTCGAAGCTGTGCTAGTTCTTCAGGTTTGAAAGTTACCGGTTCTCCTGAAAGCAAACATCAAATCTGAGGAGATCGAAGATTGATGTTTGACATCGCAAACGCGATAAGATCATACCGCTTATGAGACTGCAAGAATAAGAGCCATCCGGTGGAGGCTCATCTACGGGGAGCGGTACCTATAAATCAAATCAATCACAAGAAATTTGCAGCAGAATGCCCTTACATTTGCTTGTTCCGCGGAATTCTTATGTTCACCATCAGATCTGCGCTTTTTTGTGCGCTTCTTTTTGGGTGTCTGTGTTTTGAGAGAGATCAACTCTGGACGGATGGTTTCCACATCATCACCAATAAGATCCAAAAACAGTCCTTCGACTTCACGCACTGAAGAACAATCTTGCAAATTAGAAACAAAAATGGATTTTTTGACTTTGGACATGTATCGATGATAAGTAGGATAAGATTCTCTTGCCAGAATATGAAGAGAAAGATAACAAGTGAAAATTTTACACACTGCTCTTCTTCTAGCTGTATGAGAGCTTCCAATATAACAGAAAGTTATTGTAAACGGAAACTGTCAAGCGGTCAACATCTACAACAACTAACTTGGGATTTCCGTAAACTTGTCCATCCTGAGCTCATCTTTATCTTTCTCAAACTCCTTGAGTCTGTCCAATTCCATCAATACATTATATTCTTCGTCATCAGGGTCATCTTCATCCACGGCTACACTTTCGACTTCTAAGTGTTAAGAATCAGAAGCAAATCATGCATGCGACTATAATTTCAAGAACTTCAACTTTACTCTGCGAGTACAACATTAGTAAAATGTTGACTAACCATGAGCAGGCGTTGAAGACTGGATTCCTTGGAGGAAACTCAAATAATCGGGATTCTCCACAAACGTGAGCATCTGAACTGAAACTTGAAGAGGAAAGCTGACAAAGAGAAGATGCTACCTCTTGTCCGTGGTAGTCGGTGAACGTCTCAAAACTTTCATGCATGAAGCCACTGTCCAGCGACTCAAAGTCACAATTTTCTTCGATATGGGGTACACGAGAGCGAAGTTGGTACGGCGATAATTCATTATCATTATTGACATCATTAGAGATCTGCGGAACTTGTTTGAACCAAATAATTATTTCGTTTCAAGCATTACCATCAGAGTTTCGCCAACTACTTCGCTTGTCTCTTCAACATCTCCTTCTAGCATCTGGCTATGGCTATGTACGACTTGCTCAGCGTCGCGCGTTGAGGTATCATTTGTCTCCTCTTCATCTTCACTTTCATCACTCTGAAGCATATGGACATTTACAAACAGAGCTAAAGCTGGAGACTTCAAAGCAAATTCTGATGAAGTAAGAAAGTTTTATTGAATGAGCAAAATCACGGCTTATAACCCAAGGCACAAACCTGAACCTCCTCAGGACGGTAATCTTCATCCTCATCTTCATTCTCAAACTGCACGTCGAGAAATGTAAGTGGTGGTTGGACGGGCTTCAACTCAACCTAAATGCCAAATTCAACACTCGTTCTCCATTCCTACACGTACCTTTGCTGTTTCTGAGTGCTTCACTTTGGATCGCGTTACCTTCACTGTAGGAATGTCGTCGGTATCACCCTTGATTCCCATGAGTGTCGACAGCACATGCGGATCCCGTATTAACCTCTGACAGACAGGCATGCTGATATGCAAAAGAGCAAAGCAGTGCCTTACATGAAGTATGGATTTCACATTCAATGCGTTCAAATTATGCATTTTTGCCTTCTCTTCCAACTGTGTGTCTAACTGTCTGCAGAGATCGACGATGTCTTCCTCGCCTTCCATGTCAACTTGAGTGCACGGCTCTAGCGTTGAGCTCCCGATAGACTCACTAAATTACGAAGCCGTCCTTACCAAAAATGTGGTGAAGATATGACGCAATGAAACTGTAATGTTTATCCCTAGAATATGTATAACACCTACGCTATCTTACTCGTCGATGGTTGCTCAGAGCACTGCTGGGCTGATGAGTTGGAGGAGCACGGATCAGACATATTGTGCAGTCGCCCCTGTAAACTGAATCCTGATTTTTACAAAAATGCAGCCATGAGATGTTCAGAGAAGAAAATATTGACGCGTCTCCATACCGTTCAAATGACTATGCAGACAACACATGCAAATTGACGTCACGCATGTCGTGAGAGCCCTCCCACTGTCTGATTAATACGCTACTGGAAGCGTCCCCAGTGCGGCCATTGTGCTCACATTCGGATTTTGCCAACACACGCCTTCAAAGGCATTGACCCGACAAAATGTCGAACTGAAGATTATCGCTGATTCCAAGAAATTTAGCTCGAAAACGCTGTGCCGAAGCCTTGATTCCGAATTTAGATGAGCGGAGCAGAGCTCGCCAAGGTTGGAGAAGCAAAGTCTTGTGGGAACCTGTTCACACCTTGTGTAGGGGAGGGGGGACACGGAAAGCGGCAGTTCGCGCAAAATGCAAGCAACATCCTTCTGGCAAACTTTTGCGAAATTCTACTAATGGCATCAAGGGTTCCCACCTCCACCCCCTAGTCCCACACCACCTTAGCGCCGAAGAGCTTTTGTGACGCAAAAATTGGGGATTTCGCCTTCGACATGCCCCCCCCCCCCTTCGTGTGGTATGCGTGCCGAAACGCAGTTCAAAATCGTTGGATGGTTGAAGTCCGATAAAGGCGGTGTCCGGAAGACTTCGTATTGGATTTTAACGGCAGTGGCCCGGGAAAATTGCGACTGCGAGCTTTCCACACCGAGTGTAGTGCAAGAGGAACGATAGTAATTGCCAGGCGCTGGTACCAATGCACTATTTGCCTTCACATTTCGCAAATTGCAAACTTAAAAAAATAATAGATATGAAACTAATGCTCTACTCAGTTTACTTGACAAGTCTTGCTTAAAGGCAGTGTCCGGGCAAAAACTCGATTTTGAGATTTTGTGCTTACTTGGGCCTATTCGCTACGCTAAATCCGAAAATACACATTGTAGAGCGCGAAAATGGCGAAAAACGGCTCTAATACAGGAGGGAAATGAGCAGGTGGGCGGGGTCCTCCCCACTGCGAATTTACGTTCCCCGCTTCCGGAGGGACCTTCTCGCTTCCGGTTTCAAGTCAATCATTCGCACTTGGGCCGGTAGCGACGTTAGAACGGCTAGCGGTATCGAAAAAATCGCTCCGGCAGCTGGGAGCGTGAAATCGCATTGGGGAAAGCCCCGCCCACCTCCTGATTTCCCTCCTATATTAGAGCCCTTTTCCGCCGTTTTCGCGCTTTCCAATGTGATTCGGATTCAGCATGGCGAATGGGCCCGTATAAGCACAAAATCTCAAAATTGAGTTTTTGCCCGGACACTGCCTTTAAATCCCGGTGATATGTGCAATTCGGGAGGATGTTCTTGCAGGAATAAGCTTGAAATACTTGAATAATAATACACCTTTGAGACCCTTTTTTGACATTTTCAGCTAATTTCTCACCTCATTTTTGAGCAAATACAATCTATTCGATTCTCCTATCTAGATGAAAGCCCAAAAGAAGGAAATGCTCTAAATTTCTGTGTGCTGACGGACAAAAATGACGGTGAAGTATGCGCGAGTTCTTGACAGGGTCAAGCGTGGGGTGGGGCGTGCCACACCTGCGGGGTCGTATTGAGGTATTAGGGAGAGGGGGGGAGGGTCGTTATCGAAGCGTCCGCTGTTCGTATAACATGATTTTAAACGATGTCAAATAGACCCGTCATGCAAAATACTAGCACATTGATGTTTGACCTATTATCGTTTACGTACAGTAAGCATAATTAAAGGTCTATAAAGCATTAGAGCATCGTTTTGTAATTAGCAAGTAAAATAACTCCTGTGGTCCAAGTTTCAGCGAATTCTGAGGTTTCCAAATACAAAACCACCTAAGTGAGCTGGTCGTTTTCAACGGTTGTTTCAAAGGTAAGTTAACTACTTCTTTTTGCGCTTAATACAAAGAACTACTATTTCTTTGCTCACATCAGGGATCCTACTTCAAATGACCTCCAAATTAAGGAATTAAAAACAAGCCAAAATCTTGTTTGCTGCATTTTTCGTTCTCAATATTTCAGGCTAGAAAAGACCAATCAGGCTCAAATCACTTTGAAGGCAGCGTCCAGGTGAATCTTAGCGCGTGGGTTTTTCGCCTGTAAATTGATGAGGGGGTCATAACTAAGGCACTGCCCAAGAGGCAGCGCAAATGGTTCATTTACGGCTGAGAAATCCGTCACCGAAAACCCCGCGCCTGCACCGTGACTGTAAGCCCAAAACGACTTCGCTCACTTTAACATTACGTTCGCGCTGAACCCTAAGTGTTACGGTCACGGCGCAGCCGCGGAGTGTTTGGGGGCGGGTTTCTCAGCCTTGAATGAATAATTTGCGCTGCAATTTGGGCAGTGCCTTAGCTGAATAGCACGTTACCCATGTATCCCATTCTCGCAGTATTTTATCAGTACAGGTTGGGAGGAAGTCTTTGAAGACGGTATTTTAATCGTAGTCACGCAACTAGGCAACTTATATACATGAAATAAATATATAATGTTTATCAAACAATCTGCTATATGAAAGAAATTTTACATTTCTAAGACCCCTCCTTTGGCGCGAACACAGGCTCGAAGACCCTTGGGGAAGCTGTCCACGGTGGCCGGAGGTACTCCACGTCGATTTCCTCCCACGCATTCTGAAAGAGCACGTCGCATTGACTCCACAATTTTGCGTGAGTGAGCGCAGACTTTGGCCAAAGAACTGACCACTTGAGATAGTCAAGGGTATTTAGGTCCGCCCAATACGGAGGCAGGGTCAAGCTTGTGATGCGACTGTCGCAGCGAGGGGTCGTAAAGAGGGTACCTAAGGTGGGGGGAGGGTCGCAAGAGGATGTATTTGGACTAAAATCGGTACATTTAGCATTTTTATCAACTCATACATTCTCAAAAGTGTATTGAGCCCTAAGCTTAAAGGGAATCAAAAAGCAGATAATTAGTTATGTTTTTTACAATGAATCTATGAAAAAAAGTGGAATAAAAATAAAAAAAGAATAAAAAAGACCCAAAAATCTGTAAAAATTCTCAAAGAAAAACATTTACAAGGGCTCAATACACTTTTGAGGATGTATGAGTTGATAAAAATGCTAAATGTACCGATTGCCTTAGAAATCTTGCTTCTGAAGCCTTCCTGTAACCTCACACACTCAACAAAAGCGAATACCTTTACCAGCTGTGACCATCATGAAGTTCTAAATCTTTTTGTAATGTTTTTCACGGACCCATATGAGTTATCTTTACTTTGGAGATGCTCCGCTACATCACTGCAAAATTTGGTGTTATTTTGTCAACTGTGGATTTTCTTATAATTTTATGTATGGTAGCAAAAAATCAGGAAAGGGGGGTCGTATCTGGGTCGCATCTAAATTTCTTCGGAGCTATTGAAGCTTGTTGGCTGCAATTCTGCAGTAATATAAGGCCATCCTCCTATTTTCCCTCATAAAAATTGCAGGCTGTTTTATAGCTTCTCTGGTAAGTTACAAAATTTTAAGCTCAAAAATCCCAGTTTTTGCTTTTTAGGATCGCATCTAGATTTGCGAGAGTTGCATCTAAATTTTTTCGAGCTCACTGCTTCTCAAGGGCTGAAACTTTCTCTATGGATAGTGCAGGCATCATGCTACACAACCTGTGCTTTCCAACCTCTCAGTCTTTTCCTGGCCTTAGTTACGAATTTTCAAACTACCGTGCTCATGCACGTTTTTGACGTCGTTCTGGACGGCGCTAAAGCGGTTTTTTTCCGCGGGAAAAACTGTGGAAGAGGTAGGAAGTAAGCTTCTTAGTCGAAAACATCTTTTGTAGTTCAAGAATGTCACTTTTTTTCTCCGTGCAAAAATTTGTGTCGCTTACGGGAACCGAATTTGCTGGCCTGAAGTATGCCCAAAAAAAACTTGCAGAAACTCAAACATTATTAAAGGTGTGTATGTGTGCTACAGATGCTGGGCGCTCCCGTTGGCCTAGAAATTCTGCTTTCGAAACCTCACTGAAATTCTCACGCAGGTGTTTTTTGAGATTGACATTCATTTATGCAGGTTACTTCGAGGAACGTGGGCAGGGGAGGTAAGGGGGATAGATGGGGATGAATGGCGGGGGGTCGTACGGATGGGTACCTTCAAGGGGGGGGGGTCGTAAATGAGGGTCCTGGATCGCATCAACACGCTTGACCCTGTACGGAGGCTATTCCACGGGAGTAATGAAGTCCTTAACGTTACTTTGGAGCCATGCTTGAACAATTGATGGGCAAGTGCGCTAGCCTGCTGTGAGCACCAGTAGCTCCCAGCAAATGTATATAAATCCAGGCCAACAATTCTTTCTTCAGGATGCTATTAACATGCGTGGTAGTGTCCACCTTGAGCACTGCGACCCTAAAAATCAGCGGCGTTTTGCTGTCGGAAGCGATCGCCGCGAAAGTTGTCACAAAAACCGGATGAAGCTTCCCTTCGCAAGTCAACCCTTGCTATTGGCTTCTTGAGGCGTATAGGTGATGACTCTGTTGTTTTGGCGATCAGGAACCTGCTTCACGGTGAAAGTTTTGACGTCAGAACAGAATATGTTTGGTGGCGTGCCTTGTAGAGACGTTCAGGATTCGATGGCATTCGCGCAGTCAAATCAGCTTCGTATCTTCCCAAAAAGCATGAATTATTAGCGTCTTGAAAAGCTTCATCCCAAGCCTTGTTCCACGATGTCAGAGACTTTTCTATCAGATATGAACAGCATTGTACCCAGCTCAATCAAGCTTCTCCGAGGATTGCGACGATGTCGCTGGCGAAGGATCTTCAGAATTTTGTGAGTGTCCGCCGTAGCCATTTATCAATTCTTACAGCAGTTCTGGGTGCTGTTCATATCCTAGAAACGACGAGGTGGAAAAGACGCTGACTTGTAAAATTTGGGGACCCGCGCAATCTGCTGGTTAGCCATCCTCTCCTCGTGCATCTCCGCCACTAACGCTCGCTCCGTTCCAAAAGAAAGAGATGAAGCTAGTACTCCAGTTTTTGGAGGGTTTGTAAATAAGGGTATAAGAAGCAAATAT